CCCCAGCTGGGGTCAGAACAACCACACAGCTGACACAACGGCAACGCCGCGGCCCCGTGCCACAGGTGCCGAGGGCCCTGAGATGGCAGGGGCGGGACGGTTCCCCGCAGGTGCCAAGGGCCCTGACACGGGGGGCCGCGCCCAGCAGGCCCGAGTGCCGGACAACTGGCAGCACACCGCAACGCCGAGGAACACGCCCAGGAGGCAGCCGGTCCCACTTCCGGCGCCCAACATCATCAAGCAGGACCCGGTGGTTTTTCATAAGAGTTCTGTTGGGCTGAATGAAGGGGGCCAACGCTTTTCAGCTACCCCCCTGACAAGTCCCACGGAGCTGTCACCGGGAGGGGACACCTTCCCGTGGATGGAGAACATCCCGGAGCGCCTGGCACAGCGGCTGAGATGGACACAGGGCACATCGCCCAAAGTTCCATCCAGTGGGCCCATCATTGTCCTGCTCTATGCAGGCAAGGAAGACCCAACTTCCTTAGACAGCTGTCTTCATGCCAACTACCCGCACCTCTCCAGCATGGTGGTGGCAGTAGACATCCTACGATCGGACCAAAAGGGAACCACGACATGCTCCAACCCGAGCTGTATGGAGCGCTCTGCACGGCAGCAAAGCAGGGCCGAGTGGTCTTCATTGGGGGAGGACCCAACTGCAGGACATGGTCCATCCTGCGCCACATACCAAAACCGGGGGCCCCCACCCCGGTGCGAGGACGCACTCGAGAGACACTTTGGGGCCTCCCACACCTGGACCAGGCCGCCCAGACTCAGCTTGATGAGGACAGTACCCTCATTTTGAGGCAGATGTACATCACCAGCCTGGCAAGGGCCTCAAGATCGGCGGCCTCGCTGCCAGGGCCAAAATCCTTCTTGGAGCACCCGGAGGACCCAGTGGTGAGCAGCTCGCTGCCCAAAGCCAAGGAATGCTCATCCTTCTGGATCACGGAGGAGGGGCAGCTTTGGATGGAGGAAAACTCCTTGACAGCAATCTCCTTCGACCAGTGCCGCCTGGGCCAGCTGGTCAAGAAGGCCACCACACTTGCCACGGATCTCCCAATCCAGGACTGGGATCAAATGCGGTGCACACATCAGTCACATGTGGGCACCAGCGAGTCCTCGACTCTCAGCAGATACCCCTGGGATATGATGGCAGGCCTGGCCAAAGCCATCGCTGTGTCACTCGCAGCGCCGGGGCACATCCGGATCCCCTCACAATTCCCGGGAAACCCTAAGGAACCACCTAAGGGAAGGGGGTCGGACCCCCCTGGGGGCCCTTCTCCCCGGGGGAAACGGGGACCCAATCAGGGAGGCGGTCCCTCCTCGTCACACCAGGGCCCAGAGCCCGGAGGCAAGAATGCCCCGAAGCCCCGCCAGCACGGGCACATCCACCATGAGGCTGACACCGTAAGCCCTCGTGGAACTATGAGTCCAGACTTCCCATCTCCCATGCCCCCGATGGCCGGAGATGCGGAACAACTGGAAAAGGAAGAACATGGGGACCAGGTCCTGGACCGCCCCGAATGCCTGCCCGCTTTCCGGGTCCCACGCCTCACTGACCGAGTTGCGATTGTCCAATTGGGTTTCCGTTCACGCCCCCTGAGAGATGGGGGGGGGAAACCTTCCCCGGGGAGGCTCAACCCCCCTTTTCGGAGAGTTTCCCCTTTGGCTACTTTGGGCGCCCTGATCATGACCCTTACCAGGCCCTGGATTGATAAGGTCCGGATGTCCCTGGCATCAGGTGCCACCACACACCCCTTCCAGGAAACCGACCTCGAGGAGCTGCGGGCTATCCTAGGACCGAGGCACCTCCATGAACGATGCCCAGGACAACCCTTCCTCCTGGACTTAGTGTCGCACTTGGCATCCCTTTCAGGTGACCCTGATTGGGAGTTCCCCCTGACACTGAAAGAGGGGGTCCCCTTGGGAGTCTCGGACCCTACCTTGACCTCCCCGGGAGTTTGGCCCACTAAGGAGGAGCTTAAGGGAGAAGCCTGGCTGGGGGAAGATCCCCCCCCGCCAGTGGCTCATGATAACTACCCAACGGCTGAACTCTTTGCCAAGGAAATCGAATCAACCTTTTACGAGGAACGAGCCTTGGACATGGTGGACGGTCCCTTCACTCGCTCCGAGGCGGCAGAGAGGTGCCGCTGCAAACCGGAGGAACTTTGCCCGGGCCCCCTTGCAGGGATTGATGAGTCGGACAAGATCAGGACGATCTATGATGGCTCAAAAGGGGGAGCAAACGCACACATCCAGGCTCACACGGAGGAGAAGACCACCGCACCGATGGTTGGAGACTGCCTCCATGCCATCCACTGGCTCAGGACAGCGGCGGACCATCCTCATCTACTCCGAGCCCCATCCTCGGGCACTGATGAGGAACCTCGGGATGTTCACCAGCCGGTGCAGGGGCAGTCCCCAGGTGCCGAGGGCCCTGAGAGGGACCCCCACAGCACCAGCCTGCCCCCAGGTGCCGAGGGCCCTGATAGGGGCAGGCGGATGATGGAGACCTCCGGCGGCCTGGACGTCTCTCCGCGGTCAACACCCTCAGGGAAGGGGCCACTCCCAGGTGCCGAGGGCCCTGATAGGAGGGCCCCATTCCCCCCAACCCCCCCAGGCACGGAACGCCCTGGGGGGAGCAGGGGGGAACCCCTGACGTGGCAGCCGCCGACACAGGGGGAAACCTTCATCATCCTCAAGGCGGATGTCACCAAGGCCCACAGGCGCATAAAAGTGCTCCAGAAAGACTGGAAATACCAGGTGGCCTGCATCCAGAACCGGTGGTGGGTCAATAGAGTGGGCACGTACGGCATGGCCTCGGCACAACTGTACTGGGGAAGAAAGGCATCCTTGGTGCTCAGACTCTTGTACTACATCTTCCCTCAGGTGGACTGGCACTTAGTTTTTGTGGACGACTACTGCTGGGTCCTCAGATGCAGCAGGGCGGACTGGGACGCCACAGCCATCCTGGCCACTCTTCTGGCGCTGGGAGTCCCGCTTTCTTGGAAGAAGACGGCGCTCTCCCCGGTCAATACCTGGTTGGGATTCGTGGTGGACCCAATCACGCCCTGTGTGCTGCTGGCTCCAGTCAAGCACGTCATAATCCTGGCCACTCTCAAACGGCTGGCCCAGGGGGACATCTTTACCAGCAAGGAGGTGGAACAAGCCCTGGGCCGGATTCAATGGGCTACTTCGGCGTGTCCATTGACGAAACCTTTCCTCCAGCCCTTTTGGAGCTGGAAGAAGGCCTGCACCACTTCGGGCAGGCCACCGAAGCTGGTTCGTGCTCTGGCCATCCTTCTGGGGAAGCTCTTCAACCAGAGGTTCCCACTGGCATCTCCATTTGCTCCCACACTTCCATGGACGGGGGCATCTGATGCGGGAGCTGGCAAACAGGCGGACCATGCATGGGTTGGTGGTTGGTGCTCGGACGTGCCCAACCCCGACAAGTCCCGAGTGAAGTGGTTCCAACACAGAATCACACCGGAGGGCGAGCCGTGGGCCTTCACTACTGGGGACCCGCAGCGGGCGATAGCGGCCTTGGAGCTCTTCGGCCTCCTCCTTTTGGTGAGGGCTGTTCTGCTTTGTGCAGCCGGCTCGGCTTCTCACACTAGGATTCTGGTTGCTAGTGATAACCAGGGAAACGTTTTCTCCCTGCTTAACGATTCCACTCGCAGGATGCCCAATGCGGCCATCCTCATGGAAATTGTGTTAACACTGCATGACCACCAGGTCATGTTAGGACCGTCGCATGTGAAGCGCGACTTTAACACATGGGCGGATGAACTTACTCATCCGGACCCGCAATTTCCGACTGAGAACCGGGTCTTCCCCTCAGTCGAAAGCGAATTGATCAAGCTGATCTTCGCTACTTTCCTTCCTCACCCATGATGCCGGGAGGGCATCCGGTGAGGTGGGAGGATTCCTCCCTCGCTGTGGGAGTGGCATCAATCCTACTCCCATCAGCTGCTGAGGGGAGCTGCCCAGTGGAACTGGGCAATCCTCCCATTTTGGCACTAACCCTTATGCGGCAACAAAGGAGGCACCGTTTTGCGAATAAGGCCTCAGTAGCACCTGAGTGGTGCTTCAAAGAGTCTGGACTAGCTACTTAATGAAGTTGGCACTTGATCAATACTTGATGAATGTAGTGAAGGAGCCTTTTTTTGCACCTCCGGCGTTGCGGCACGCTGGGCTGTGCTCCTTTTCTTTGGTGGGAGCTTTCCTAATCAGTACCCGAAAAATTCGGTGCTTGGGGAGGGATCTCGAAATTGACTGAAAAACATGTGGCAGGGGAGCTCCTTTGGCTCCACAAAGATGATATCAAAACACCAAGCTACAAAGTTGACGGACGGTTTTGTATGCTGGTTGCTGGTCTCTTCCAGCCTTACGTAGACTAAATCATGGAGTCAGGCAATTTGTTGGGGGGCTCTAGACTGGTTGGTTTACTTTTGGTGTCTTGTAAAAACCTTTCCCGAGCCATAAAGGTCTAAGGGGCGCTCTTGGTTCGGCATCATCTGTCCAGCAGTCCCCCTTCGTTCCAGGGGTCCTTCTTTGCGCGGAAGGTCAGATCAACCATTAGGGAATCTCGGTGGTTGTCGAAAGAATCGGGGATCAAGCTGGGTAACGGTTCAGGGGATGGGTTTGATGCAGAGAAAGGCAGCCACGGGGGATATTCCCTTTTGACTCTCCTGGGCGTTTCATTCTCATTGCAACCCCAGATCGTTTCGACTCTCAAGCACGTCGATCCCAGTTCCCTAAATGGGTGACCAGCCCCAAGCATGTAAACCCAGAGGTCAAGAATTTTGGGTGCCCTGCAACCTGGTAATAAAACAAGGGTTTAAAAAAAAAAAACAAAAAGAAAAAAAAGACTAGGGCCAAGCATGTAAAATTCGGAGATCAAAGCCCCGGGCCTACAAGAACGGGCGCCGCTTGCCGCGCCGCTTGCCGCGCCCGCGGAAGCTCCAGAGAGTTTTGGTCCGTCCTTATCCCCAGAGGTGTGCTACCTCGCGGGGATCTACGCCAAGTTCAACGCCATTTGGGTGCTGCCCAACTCCTGGTACCTCACCATGCGGGTCTACTTCCAGGCCCAAGGCGCCCTCGACGCGGAACGGCTCGGCGAGAAACCTGTGCGACGCGACCGGCCCCTTTTTGGTCGAAATCCTATTGGTAGTTTGGTGAGTTTGCTCGAAATGACCTCAACCAGTCGCTAGCTTCCTTTTGGATGCAACGTCGCCTTTGGGGTTGCCATTCTCTGGGAGTTGCTTTTCGGAGGGCGGAGTACCCGCAAAGGATCCCCGCTTTCTGCGCCTGACCTTTGGCAAGCTCAGATCTCCTGCGCCCTTTCAGATTTCTCAGGAGGGAGGGGAATCGCACATCAAAAAACCGACCAGAAGCCGTTCCATTTTTTTCCCGTGGCAAAGGTGTAGAGTCGGCTGCCATGGTTGTTTTTTCCGCGGGCGGAGGGTCAGAGTCTGTCAGCGACGGTCAGATTGGGGGCTGGAGGTAAAGCGCGGCCGGCCATGTACTTCGGCTTGACCTTCCTCTTCGTGAACCTGCTGCCCACATGGATAGTCTATCCAGCAAAAGCCCGGAATGGTGCGGGCTGAAAGGACCACCCTTCTCACCCAAATTCTGAGGCCTATCGTTTTGAGAGTTTCTACGGGGTTTTAGCATGGTTGTCGGGAAACATTTTGCATTTTTGTTTATTGTGGTTTAGTGGTTGAAACCCCCACTTAACTGCTAAAGCTTTTCAATTTTCGCCCCCTTCCAACGTCAACCAAGTTAAAGTCAGAAACTGGTGTTGCCTGTGAGCTGGTACTACGAGATGATCATCGGACTCGAGGCTGAACCAAATCGGGATCCCTTTGGCTGGGAGCTTCGAGCACGGGTTTCGTTTCGCCGTGTTTCCCTTGGTCCACGTTCCCTTTTCTTACATGGAACCCGAAAAGGGACTCCTGGATCTATGTAAAAAAGAAGCAAATCGCATCACAAAGCTCGGGAGGTGAACCAAATAAACTATAATCAAGTATGTGTTTTTACAAGCATCAACATTTGAAGCACGCACACACCCAAGAAAAGACAAGAAAAGAAGACACATCAACTTGGACGCCCGTTCTTTTTTTTGGGTCTGAGGTTCTTCCTTTGGATACTTGTGGATGGTGGCCCCGACGGCGGCAGCTGGTGGCGATTGGGGGGCCTGGGCTTCATCGGCGCGGCCCTGTCCATCTCCTGCTCGCGCATCGCACCTCGGTCGAACGGAAAAACGGAAATCGGGGCCACGGGTCCTTTGGTGCATTTTGCCAAGGGATGTTATGACTTGAAAACCTTTTCCCAACGAATGTGGGTTCTCCGAATTAAACCGCGAAAAGTTATTCACTTCTTCTGCAGGGGAGCAGAGTTCGCAACCGGTGATCCAGGTCCGGAACTCGGAGGTGATTCTAGGTCCCTCGGCCAGGTGCCCTTTCTTGCCGTTTCGTTTTTTGGGGGTCCCTTTTGCCAACTTTTTTGGGGGCCCCTTGTACTATTTTTTTTGGGAGGTGCCAACTTGTACCGTTTCGTTTTTGGTTGGGAGGGGTCCAACCTACTAAAATAGAGGTCCTGAAAAGGAAGTACCATATTCGAAGCTCTCAAGTCTTTTTGGACCTAGTGGTCACTGTTTCATACTTTACTCTTTGAGTTGGACTCTGGTCACTTTGTGGGTTTGCCAGGTTAGTGGGAAATAAGGAATTTGGCTACTTTTCGTTGGGCCAATCCACTCAGGAAGGGAGCCAAAGGACCCACCTGGGGTGAAGGTTAGTACCAGAATAATCCCAACCATAAATGGGTGCCGAATCGCTGCCTTGTCAATTCTTGAAGCATGGTTGTGCACTGTGTTATTACAGGGCTTGATTACGACGTGTTTCACCCAAAAGACCAAACAAGACCACAAGAGCTGACAGAATTGCTGGCAATCTATTGTTTTGGGGCTGTGGTCTTGGAAAATCGGGTGCTAGGTTGCCACTGTCAGCGATACCAAGGGAATGCGCTTCAAAGTGATAAACTAGACAGTAACATGGGAACGACCAACGTTGGTATGATGGAAAGGGCCGTTTTCGACATTCATAGGTCCCCCAGTAGTGCCCTTTGACCGTTCCTTTTTGGGGGGGAGGGATCCCCAGCTAAAATAGACTACAGAAAAAAAAAAGAAGTTGGCACCTGTATTCTAACCTCTCAAATCTGGAGGACCTAGATTCCATCACCAATGTTCTGATAGAAAGGGAAGTTTTCGACAACCACTATTCCATCCATGACGATTCCATGCAATTGCCAGGCTCCTCGTTTCCCCTGCCCAGGCACAGGCTGTGGGATACTGGCTGCAACTCGGCATGATGGTCTTACCTCTTCGACCCCCCCCCCCAAACCTTTTCTAGGTCCCCCAGCTAGGTGCCCTTTTACCGTGTCTTTTTTGGGGGAGGGTTCCCACCTACTAAAATAGACGTCCTGAAAAAAGGAAGTACCAACTTATTCTAACCTCTCTACTGGAGGACCTAGTTTTGGTTTGGTCTTTCCAGGTGGGTGATATGCTTGATGTCCAACCCAGAGGACATGTTCACACCAGACCCGCTGGTGCCTGTTTTTGTCAGGTCGTTTTGAGTTTCTTTTTTTCTAAAGGAGGACAGGGTACCCTATTCCCAATGGCCACTGGGCGGGGCTACCTGGGTTGTTTGCTTCCATTTGCTTAAGAGTAGTTGTTTATTATTATTATTATTATTATTATTATTATTATTATTATTATTATTATTATTATTATTATTATTATTATTATTATGTTCTCCTGGTTGGTTTTAAAGAAAAATCTATCACTACTGGATTTTAATATATATATATATATATGTTTAATTACTATTATTATTTTTCCTAGGGGTCTCAACCAAATGGAAGTTTGGAGGTGGTGAGAAATACGCACTTGCAAGTCTTGACTTTCAGTGGTGCATCGCCTCACCTTTAACCCGCCCGCCTGGACATGCCCACGAAATTGATTGGGTCCAAAGTCGAAAGAAACTCACAAGAACAACCCCAGCAACTTCCGCAACGCGAGAGACGCCTAGGTACGCGGTCGTACATGTAGGACACTCGCAAAAGAAACCACCCAACAATTTGAAGGGTGGTTTCAATATCGCCTTTTGAGCTGATGCTAGGTGAGTTTCCTCTTTGTGATGCGTTTAAAGGGGGAATGTTTTGGGGAACCCGTGTTTCAAAGCAAAGTATGGGAAACCCGTGTTTGGGGGAGACCCGAGGTACATGTTCGTGTGGAAGAAGCAGCACAAGCCCACCTGGCCGGGCCACAACTGCGACTTCCTGCAGCGGAAGTACGTGAAGCCCTACTTCGCCCAGGTGCTGCCCCAGGCGGAAGACGAGCGGGCGACCTGCGTCTCTTCCGACGGGTTGGAACCATAGGCGTCCTTGTTGGTTGTTTTGCTCGAAAAATAGACGGCCCTGGTTTACCTGGTGGTTTAATAGTCTACCAGTCGACCAGGGCCATCTATTGCCCTAAAAAGGACACCTATGGTTGGAACGGCTTTGCTGGGTCCCCCAGCTAGGAGCCAACTTGTACCGTTTCTTTTTTGGTTGGGAGGGTTCCAACCTACTAAAATAGACTACTGAAAAAGTTGGTGCCCTTATTCTAACCTCTCAAATCTGGAGGACCTAGTTTGCGCGGAATAGGCAAAGCTAGGTCCCAGCCTAAATGTGAAGGGTCGCTGGCTTCCCCCAGATCAACAGTTGATCAACGTACTGGTGGTGTCCATGGAAACGATCGCCCACTTCTGGAGGTTCCCTTTAAAGGGAAACGGAGGAACCCGTGTGATCGTTTCTCGTGCGGAATTGACTTGTTTCTCTTCCAATGGGATTCCTGTGTGTGTGTGTTATAGGGTAGACTAAATCGGTTCTCAACATCGGGGTCTTCTAAAATGGGTGGTTTCGTTTTGGTTTCCTTTTTGTTTCCCTTTGGTTTGCTTGGGAGAAGTCAACGCTGGAATCCCGTCGTCGTTCAGCGGCACCCACTCAAATCTGAAGGTCAAGGGTTCCGTGGCTTTGGACTGGGCGGGTTGCAGACCACCTTTTGCATGGCCAGACTGATGTCAGCTCTCTTTGCCTTGTTGCCCTGGGGGTCCTTCCTTCTCCCTTACCAGCAAAAAACGCAGGTGGCTCTGTCTTTCGAGGCTACCCCTATTTTTGGTGGACATGTACACAGAATCCAAAAGTTGAACACCGGCCTTTTTCCCTTGGGGTCCGATTCCCCAAAGAAACGAGGAGCCTCCCATCAAACTTTCCGCGGATTTTATCGATCCCCACCCGTTAGGTGGCGACCATGCTGCTCCAGTTCCTCATCAGTCAGTCCACCACGCCCCTTTGGGCCAAGCTAGCACCACGTTTTGGGCGGGTCCTATGTTTTTTTAAGGGTTTTGCTGGTGGTTTCCTTGTGAAACGACCAAACAACGGTACTATCAACAGAAGACACGTTATGCCCTTTTCCCTCGGTGGTTCCCAGCTATGTCCTTAGGCATTTGGCTGTTTTAGTTGGTTTCGTGGCAGTTTCAAGGGATCTGAGGACGGCCCAGTTCCTGGTGTGTTGTCCATCTGTCCAAATGCCATGAATTTTGTCCTGCCGTCTTCGGGTGAATGGTTCCTTCATTTTTCCCCTTTTCCCCTGTCGACACACGCACACATAGGTACCTGCTCCAGGTTAGCTTGTTGCAGCTCTGCTTGCCTTGTGATGTTCAGGTTTGTAGTTGTTCCTTTTTCCATTTGAGCGAATTTCCGAATTTCAGGTGTTGGGGTGTGTGTTTGCTTTGCTCCTTTTCCCTTTACGCCGACAAAGAGGTCTCCCCGATTTCCCGGAGGTCGAGGCCGATTTCTCCGTAAGGCTCTTGGTGGGCAAGCTCGGGGTCTTGCAAGTGGCCTCCAGCACGGCCGCCACCCAGGCAACGGTGCCCGTGACCATCTGCGCCTGAGACGGAAGCAACGTTTCCTATGCGTATGTGGTCTTTTTTAGGGGGGGAACCCCCTTTTGGCTATTGTTTTTCTTCGCGAACCAACAGGAAAACCACAATGTTGGTGTTTGTTTGTTCAGATAAGTCCATATTTATTTGGCTAGGAGTGGTATAGGAAATACCCTCAAAAGTAGTTGGTGGTCAGGAATCCCAGCCTAAATGATGTCCACCAAATGGTACTCTATGGAAACAACCCCCCAATCTTTCTTTGCTCTATAGTGAGCTCACCGGGTAAAAAGAGAGCTGGCCAAGACAAACAAAAATTTCCACGGGTACATTCTAGAGGCGTCAGGTTTCATGGATGGTTTCGGGGATCAATTCAGCTTGTTTTTTCCTTGGTAATTCCCTGCCATCCGGTTCCTTAAAAATTCGTTTTTCAGCTGGTTTAGTGGTTGGGTAAACTTTTAGCCGGGGAATTCCGAAAACGGCGAGCCCAGGTTATTCTAGCCCAACACAATCCCAAATAAAATACATCTCCAAGTTTTATTTGGAAGGGTGTCCGTGATGTTTCCCATGCGCACGCAGAGTTCCCTTACTAAAATAGACTACAGAAAAAAAGTTGGCACCCATATTCTAACCTCTCAAATCTGGAGGACCTAGTCACTTTTCGCCGGGGAATCAGAGCACGGCGAGCCCAGGTTATTCTAGCCCAACACAAGCCAAACCATACCCAGGTTTGATTTGGGAGGGTGTTCGTGATTTCGCGTCATTTCCCCGACCCGACCCGTTTTCAGCTTGTCAGGTCTGCTGATCACCTTCTCCTCGATGACGGGCATCCGCGTGGGCATGAAGCTGGGCAAGGGCGAGGCCCAGGACGCCAAGCGCACGGCCTACCTCTGCATGCTCTCCCAGGCCTTCCGGCGAGGGCCTTCGGGAGGTTTTGAGGCGAGTTTAGGCGTCCGTGTTTTTGGCTCCCGAAGGCCATGCGGTTCCTTAGCTTTTTAGATCCTCTGAGCTTTTTTAGTGGTAGTTTCTCCCATAGGCCTCCGGCGGGACTTTGCCTTAGAGTCGCTAATTTTAATGAAAACCACAGCAGGAACCACTGATCTAGTTCACCCCACACCGATCGCAAACCAGCCAATGGGAGGACGCTACCCCTCTTTTATGGCTTTTGAAGAGAAACCTAAAGTAAAACCCACTCTTTTGGTGCATTGCGCTTGGATGTTACGACTTGAAAACGTTTTCACTAAAAGTTATTCACTTTCTAGAAGGGGAGCAGAAAGCAACCGAGGGGAAGGCTTTGGCAAAAGAGGCGTCCGTCCTTTTGGGGTTGCTGTTGGACAAATCCAAATGGCACCCGTTTTTTTCGGGGCTCCCAGCCATCCGGTTCCTTAGCATTTTAGATCCTCTGAGCGTTTAGTGGTAGTTTCCATTTGGCTGTGGCTCAAAAAACCGGTACCCAAATGGGTTGCCCTGGTAAGTGGAAACATGGACCAAAACCTGCGGTTTGCCCCTCCTGGCTAATTTTGAGCCACACCCATTTAAAACACGAAAAGTTAAACTTGTAGCGGGGAATCTGAGGGCAGGTCTCTTTGGGAAGGCGTCCGGGCAAAACGGTGAGTTTGCGTCTGTTTGAGGGGTATCCCTTGGTAGGCTAGGCCCCCCAGCCAGGTGCCAACTCTTACGTACCGTTTCCTTTTTTTGGTTGGGAGGGTTCCAACCTACTTAAATAGACGTCCAGAAAAAAAGGTGTACCCTTATTCTAACCTCTCTACTGAGGACTAGTGAGTGTTGGACAAATCCAAATGGCACCCGTTGCATGAAACCCTCTGAACACTGGGATAAACCAATGATCATAGGTGTCTGTTTGGTAAGAGTGGCCCTGAAAATTGAATCAAAGCCCATCCAACCCAGTACCATCTATTGCTACGTCAAAACGGTGGGTTTGCCTGTTTCAGGGGTACCCTTGGTGGAGCTTGGTTGAACTCACTCTCCGACTGGGTTCAGAAACTCGGACTTGAGTCACTTTTGGGGTATTTGGTTGCCATTCTAGTGGTAGTTGTCAAGTGTCTGGACTGTTTGTTGGCCAATCCACTCAGGGAGAGGCCTGTTTGAGGGAAAATGCACCATTTCCGATCGTGTTTCGGGTGTTTCTCAACCGTGCATCGGTTTTCTCAAGTTCCAATTGCCTGGATCCATATTATGTACCAAGGAAAGGATCCATTCGTGTGGAGTTGCCTTTTTGGACTTTTAGAGCCCTTTGAATAGGCCCCCTGCAATGCCGACTGCCATTTATGATGCCAACCCCGGACGAAGCAAGGAAGCATGTACTAGGGAAAGTCTGGTTCTTTGAAGACTGGCGCCCCTTTTACCATTTCTTTTTCGGGGAAGGGTTCCCCTAAAATAGATGTTTAGAAAAAAGTTGGTATTTTTATTTTAATCTCTTTATTGGAGGATTTAGTTAAAACCGCGGAATCTCGAGCACCGGACGAGAGGCCTGCATGACGGCGCTCTTCGCCTGCATCGTGCTGCCCCTGCGCAAGGACGAATTTGGGGGGGGTGGAATTGGTTTCAAGGGAAGCCAAAGGGAACTTGGTGGCTAGCCATCCGGTTCCTTAGCCTTCTAGCTTTTTAGTGTGTGGATTTCCATTTAACCCACTAAAAGTTAAACTTTTAGCGGGGACAGCCAACGGAACCACCCATTGTGGGTGGTTAAAGACAACCCCGATTTGGCCGTGAAACTAAGTCGGGAGCCACCTCAAAAGTCCTTGACGAACATGATGTCCACCAAAGGGTCCTTTGCTGCCATATATGCCCAGGAGCCCCTACATTTCCCCTTCCTAGCTTTCCCTTGGTGAGGATGATGTTTTGGAGGAAATGTCGAGACTGCCCCAAGTAAGTTTGGACTTGGTTTCTTTTTGGTCACTTGCCTTGGAAATGCTGCGCCGACCCGCGCGCCGAGCGGCGAGCGCCTCGGCGAGCGCCAGGAGCTGATGTCGGCGATGACCAGCGATCCCGAGGTGCAGTCCCTGGCTGGGGAGCTGTTGATCCCCATCGTCCTGCGCCCCGGAGAAAAATCGGCCGGGGTTCTTCCGTTGGGAAAATAAATATGTTGGACTAGGTCCCCCAGCAATTGGTGCCCTTTCTCACCCTTTCTTTTTTGGTTGGGAGGGTTCCCCTACTAAAAGGCTTGTCGTTCCGATTTGATGAGGCGTTATTTGCATCCCCCCCATAATTTCTCGCGGGGGGGAATCATGGATTTCTTGGGGGGGGGGGGGGGCATGAAAAGCTGAGACACGCCCACGTAGACACGTTCCCCGTCCAGGCTGCCGCTGAGCAACCACGGCCAGCGCCGGCCCAGCCATACTTACATATTTCTGTACGCCCACTTTCGCATGTTAGAGACTTTCCACACAAAGTCATCCATTCTCCTCCACCACACGTGCAAGCTCATTGTGCCGCAAGCGGGCCATCATGCTTGGAGGGCTGCGCTCAATCACCCCAACTGATAGCCACGTGCCAAGGAACTCCTCAGCAATCTCCCGCCGCCAAGAGCGGTCTGTCACTGCCCACAGATCAGCAACGTCATACGAGCTTTCAGCTGTAAGAGTATGTATAGAAACGAGCCAAGGGCTAACCGTGCCTTGCCTGTGCATGTCCTAGGGACATTCTAACATGCTTCCTTGATCAAAAACGACGAAGCGCAACAAAATGTCTCACTCGTCGTCGAAACATAAATACGCCCTCATCAAAAATGACCGGCGTGCGTGCTAAAATGGACTACAGGAAAAAGTTGGTAGCCTTATTCCAAACTCTCTACTGGAGGACCTAGTTGATTCTAGGGCTAGCTTCCACACACTTTCTTTGGATCCTTCTTTCTAGCCCTCCAGAACCCCAGGTAAGACGGATCCGGTTTTTGAAAAGAACGATGGTTGAACAAAAAGAATGGAATAAAGCCCTAGAAATATGTTCGATTGTCCCCTCTTGGTTTTGAGGGGTACCCTTCATAGAGGTTTGTTTGACTCACTTTCGAACTGAGCTGAATACCGTTGCCATTTGCTTGGATACGCTAGCTGAGTGTTACTTGGATGTTCAAGCTACTTAGTCAGGTAACCATGGGAAAAAAAGCGGAGATGATCACCCCAGTTTCCCCACTTATAGGCACGGATAGAACCTAGTTAATAAGTTGGCCGAACACCTTCCATGTGCTTAAGAATATGTTTCCCTTGGCTTTTTTAAAGAAAAAAAAACACTACTGGAAACATGCCTATTTTTTCCATCCGAACCAAATCCTGGGATTTGGCATCGTTCGGCCATGAGAAGTCTGGCCGTTTCGGTTTGGGGGTACAAGGGTTAGGGCCTACGCAGGGGAAGCACCACTGTGCTTACCCGGGCACATGTCCAACAAAACACTACCTGGAAATGGGTAGCCGATGACAACGGTTCTAAGATTCTCAAAAACTCGTCAACCCAGGGTATTAAGTTACTACCCCCACCCTAGTTTATGATGCTGCTGGGTCATCAGACCCACTTCCCTCGCCGAGAAGAGAAGTATATAATCGCCCTCCCTTTCCCTCACGTCACCTGAAACATGAAATGGATTATGGGCCCCTTAAATGATCATTTAAGTATATGTGTGTCACCTCCAAGCAGAATAATGGTTGCGGGATTTCTTTGTTTGACCCCAATTCCTTCGCAGCCGCCACTGTATGACACCTTGACCGCTTGCCTTACATACTCTGATCCGCCATTTTCTCGTCGAGTTACTTTGCCCCTTTTAGGTTAGAAGCGCACCCAACTCAGTTGGAATGTGAATCAACCACGGTAGCTTCCTTAGCTGGTTTGCAAAACCTACCAGCTGAGCTGTTCCCTTTTCCTACCGCCCCTTCCTGGGCTCCCTATATCTACAGTATCTTCCCTTTGGGTTGGCTCAGACACTGCCTTGCCAGTTCAAGGCAAGTAATGTTGACCCGGGAAAAGAAAACCCGTCCTACTCTTGGGGTGTTTCCAAGTGATGAAGCCCCTCTAAAAGGGGACACACCCGATCTGAGATTCAACCAGGGAGTCTACTTCGATCCGAAGGTCCCACTAAGTCCCCTTTTGATATAAGACACGGGGGTTGATCTATATTCATGTCCCCCACACCATGAGCAGCTTTTCCCATGTTGCAGTTAATATGTCTCTTCTGTTTTTGTCGCTTTCCCAACGGTCATCCCATGTTCATCGGACCTTTGGATCCCCCCCACTGAAATCATATAAAATGACTATAAGTACTATCTTTGATCGGCTGTTTAGCTTGCACATAATATGTACATATGTTCCAGGCCGTGGACCCCCCCCCCCCCCCCCCCCCCCCCCCCCCCCCCCCCCCCCCGTGGGGGGGGGTGGGTGGGGGTGGTAGGGGGTGGGGGGTGGTGGGGGTGGGGGTGGTGGTGGGGTGGTTGGGTGGTTGGGTGGTTGGGGTGTGGTTCGGAGTTGGTTTAGGCTTGGTGGGTTGGTTTAGGGTTGGTTCAGGGTTGGTTCAGGGTTGGTTTGCGGTGGGTTTCGGGTGGGGGGTTTGGGTTGATTTAGGCTTAGGGTTGGGGTTAAGGAGGGGTTGCAGGGTGGTTTGGTTTAGGGTAGGATGTTGCGAGAGGTGCGGGGGTGTTGGCTCACGGGGTGAAAGGGGGTCTGGGACCGAAGCTGCAGGGCTCGCACGGTACTGGACAGCATCCCCAGCATTGCCAGCATCATCCCCAAGATGCGGATGATGCGGGGGAGTGGGGGGACCATACCATTGGGGGGGGGGGGGGGGTACGTGGCCCAGGGACTGGTACATGTATCATATATATATACATATATATATATACATATATATATATACATATATAGGTATACAACATACATACATATGTATATATGGTCCCGTGTTCCGTGTTGCTACCCCCCCCCCCCCATATGGTATGGGTCCCCCAGGACCCCCCCCCATCCTGTCACCTACGGTCCCACCCCCACCCCGACCCCCTGAACTCGCACCCCAACACCCCGGCACCCCCACCCCCAGGACAAGCCAACCCGCGACCAACCATAAACCAACCCTAAACTAACCCTAAACGAACCCTAAATACACCCTAAACCAAATCCTAAACCGTAGACCTCTAAACAAAACCATCCCTGAATCAACATAAACCAACCCTAAACTAACCCTAAACCAACCCTAAACTAACCCCAAATGCACCCTAAACCAATCCCTAAACAATAAATCCTAAACCTAAGCCAACCCTAAACCAACCCTAAACCAACCCTAAATACACCCTAAACCAAACCCTTTTCCGTACACCTCTAAACCTAAACCAACCCTAAACCAACCCTAAATCAACATATACCAACCCTAAACCAACCCTAAACTAACCCTAAATACACCCTAAATATACCCTAAATATACCCTAAACCAATTCTAAACCAACCCTAAACCACCACAACCCAACCACAGGAACACAACCACAGGGGGGGGGGGGGGTACTTGTCTGACCCATGACCATTGGTGGGGGGGGGGGGCTGGCAACGCTGTACCATATATATATATGTATATATGTATATGTATATATATATATGTATTTAAACAAAAATGAGAAGAACAAAACCCATGAACAGACTGGCCACGTCGTCCGCGGTCTCGAGTCAGGAACTTCCTCTTCGCGGGGGCGGTGAGTACCACCAACGGCGGCATCTTGGCCTCGCAGGGCCGGACCCACCTCTCCGCGGCGCCTCGGTGGAGTCAGCCGCCGTGTCCGTCGGAAGAAAACGCCGTTGCGGTTTGGAAATGTTTGCCTTTTTTAGGCCATGGGTAAAACGTGGCAGAATCGTGCCGGAAAAGCATCAGGGCAGATATGGACAGGGGTTGTGCTGTATGTTCCTGTTTGGTTGGTTTGAAATATCACCTTCTTGGCCCATGAAAGGTGAGTTTTCGCCGACTTGCCTATGCCACGAAAAAAATCGCCTGTCAAGACCTCAACAAGGTGTTGGTGTGCAACATGAAGCTTCCTTTCTTCCAGCGTGCAAACAGAGTACGTGGCCATGTTAAATAATACGAAAGTGCCGGCGGAGGACGAGAATCCGAAGCCTTGTGAAGCCTTGAGGCGTCCGGGGCCCGGCCCACAGGGCCGGGTGACCCGAAATGGCGTGACCAACACATTTGATCCCGGCTGAGATCTCCGATTTTGGTGAGGGAAAGGCTGAGGTATGACCGATTTCTGGGATCCAACCCTAGAATCGCAACCAAAAAGAACCATGTCTGACGATCCCGAGAGCTGTGACGATCCGATTGCCTTCTTTAGGGCGGGCTCACCTGGGGGCAAAGCGAACTCACTTTGCTGTAGGTCGTTCTCTTGTGGCATTCAGTTGTTTCAAGTGTTTGTCACCAATTCACAAATTCAAGTAAGATGCTTGTTTTGTTACTTCACTCATTCAAGTGTTTTCTCTTGTGTTTGTAAGATGGTGATATCCAAACATGTGGCCATGAATTGTTCAGAGTTGGAACCTGAGTGTTTGCTGGGCATGGGCTGCTAAATGGAAACATCGCACCCATGTCTACAACCCAAAAAGCGATTCCTCAAGAGTGGTGGACAGAATCCCCTAAATGCTGTCAGGCCCACTAAGTCAAATTTCGCACCCAAGGCTTCACTGTTCTTGATTCAAGTTGTTTTTGGTGTTTGGTTCTGTTCATGTTTCGTCCAGAAGGGTTGTGAAGAAAGCCGAGCTTCTAAAGGGCCAACTGAACTTTGCGCCCAAAAGCGGGCGTCTGGATCCTCTCCAAGCGACCCTATCAAAATTCGCAGCCATACTGTTGGTGGACGGAATCCGTCACCACTTTGAAACCATGGTTGAAACCATTGTTTGTCGGCATTTTTCATTCTCGGGTTTCTTACTGCGAAATGGATTTCGTCCACCCACAGTACGTTGCCAAAATGGCTGTGGGTCAAAACCAATAGGATCCCATTTTGGGGTAGGTGAATTCACCACCCATTCTAGAACCTATTTTATTAGGTTTTGACCCATAGCCATATTAAACTAAGCGGTTTGTGTGACTAGGTCCCCCAGCCTAGCTTTCAGCCCTTTTTTGGTTGGGAGGGTTCAAACCTTCTGAAATAGACAAACCAGAAAAAAGTTAGTACCAACTTATTCTATCCTCTCAAATCTGGAGGACCAAGTGGTTTGCGTATCTCCCTTGGGTTTTCAAAACGGGTTTCTTTGAGCCAGCGGCTGGAAACCGGGGGCTTTTCGGACGGAGGCCCTGGTGATGCTTTTCGAGCTGCCCTTCTCCCTGGGCTCCGTGGCCACGCTGGTCCTGGTCTTCCACGCGGACGTGCGCCTGGTGTACTGGACGCCCCTCCGCCGAGAAAAATGAAAAATCCGGGGGGACAACCCAGTGGAAACACGTGGGAAAACCGGGGGAAACCGGAAAGGAAAAAAGAAGAAAACGGGACTCCCTGAGTTCCGTTTTTCGGACCTTGGACACTTTTCTGGGGTAGACTTAGGATACATGTTGCATGCTACCAGTGACTCAAAGTGAAGCAAACAACAAAATATGCATTCTGTATCTGGGCCTAACTCTAATCATGTTTTGGGGTTCGGTTGCCATTTTAGTGGTAAATAAGAAGTCCAGACTTTTTTTGGCCAATCCACTCAGGAAGTGAGAAAAAAACGGTTTTCATCGGGAACTCAGTGGAAACCCGGGGGAAAACCCGGGGAAACCCGGAGAGGGTTTTTTTCAGGAGCCTTGGACGGAAGCCTTTTTGACCCTGAGTTAGACTTGAAACTTGTTGGGTTTGGACCATTGTGGGCAATTCACGCAGGAAAAGTGAGAAAAAAGATGGTTTTCAGCATGTGAATGCTACGTTTCGGAGCCTTTGGTCAGGGAACCAGCAGTAAATTGATCAACTTTGGGGAGCTCTGCAAATTGACATCTCCACCCATAGCCCCACAAAAGTGTGTGTGTGTGTGTGCGTTGGTTGGCCGATTCACAGTCATTTTGTGTGAAATCCAGCCGCTTCCCTCCCAAGAATCTGACGAACTGAGCCTTCCTTGCCCTTGAACCTGCGAACGTCGCTCATCCGCAATATCATCCCCCTCATCCCCCCCTGGTGCAAAAAGATGCGGAAGTCACAGAGGTCCGCCTGTTTGGGCTGGTTTAAAGGAAAACGAAAAGGAGAACAACCGCCATTTGGAGGGGTCCGACCTAAAACAACAAGTGTCCCCTGCAAAACCTCCCGCCAAATCTAGGAAAGCTCTTTTTTGGACAGGTCCCCTAAACAAAGACGCCCATGTTTTCCTTTGCGGGCCTTTCAACATTGCCCGAAACGGGGCCCAGAGTTCCTCCCCGACCTCATGGATTACGGTTGCTAAGTTGCCCAAACATGAGGAAAGGACCCTTGATGGTTAAGGGGAAACCAAAGTTAGAAGAACTACTTGTAAGTATATGTAGAATTAGATTTATAAGGATGTAACTTGTACACACAAGGGTTAGACTGAAGTCGCATAGGCTTGTGTAAAGTCGCGTCGATTGCGCGTGGCCAGTAAGCAGCGTGGGCAATGTGATTTGCACTTGCGCAGCCGGCGTTCGAACTCAAAACTTGATGACCAGAAAACTGGCGTGGCCGGCAGGGACCGCAGGCAAGCGGCAGGAGGGCAGCCCCGTCGAACCAGCGTGGCAGTTACGTTTCTGTTGTTCGTTCCGTGTGGAAAGGTGTGCCGGGGGGCGTGTCGTTTCGCCTTGCCGCAGTGCGCCAGCAGAGAGTGTGCAGCTCAGCCTACCCCAGTGCAATTTCTTGTGCCACAGCGAAAGCAAACGCTTGGAGGCGATCGCATTCTGTGATATGTTTTGGTTTTTGGCTTGACAAGCCAGGGAGGGGAGTCTTTTTTTGGCGGGATCAGAGCGGGCCAATCACAAGGACGCAACAAGATGGGGGCAGGCAGTCCGCAGCAGGTAGGTGCAATAAACTTTTATATCAATGCGCCTGCTACAGGCCGAAAGGTTTTTGGCCGTCTCAGACCTTGGGTACCACATTCTAGTGACAAGTGTCGGGCAGGTATCGGGAGACTTCAGGTATTTGGGCGACTTGAAATCAAAGCGCGTCAAAATGGTGGGTTTTCCCTTAAGTTCTTTTACGCACACACACACACACATCTTAGGTCCGCAGGCGTCATTGGAGATTCGGCCCTGGGATTGAGGTTTCAGGCAACGGCCATTCTGCGGCGCAACTTCACTGCTCCAAAGAAGCTGCGCCAGGACTCATGGCAGGCATTTCTTCCCAACCCGCAGCGGGCTGCCGGGCCAACGAGGCTGCGACCGAGACGTTTGAGATGTCAGTGCGCGGCACCGGATTGACTTGCGATTTGCTTTGTCAGGAGAGCAGCACTTACATGTTTCCGAAGCAAGACGGTTGTCATTTGTCGTCTAGTGGACGAGGCAAGGCCTTCAGCCCTGCTGGGCCCTAGTTGGTTGGCTGAGCAGTAGCTTTGGTACCTTTGGCTTCTGACGCCCATAGCTGACTTCTGGATTTTCCAATGGCTACATTCAGGATTGTGACTCATTCAGCACAAGGGGCATGTGTGAGCGTGTCTACAAGTGTGAGAAGTTGTGTGTGTGTGTGCGTAATGTGTGTGTGTGTGGGAATGTGTGTGTGTGTGTGAATGTTTGCGTGGGTGAAGGCGCGGGTGCCTGCTTAAAAAGCACTATTCTATGTTGGACATACGTACATGCGAGGATCGTTGTTGAACATGGGAGTTCTTGCTTAGAAATAACTTGCCTTGAGTTGCTTCTTGTCCTTGAGTTGGCATTGCATCATCCGCATCTTCGTTTCCTTCAGTTTCCCTTCATTTCCTTGCAGTTCCCTTCACGCTCTTCCAAGTCCCTGCATTTCCCTTACTTTTGGTTTCCCTCCAGCGCCCTCTCATCTCCCTGCGCTTCCCTTCTTTTCATTGAGTGTGCCATTCAAATTCGGACTGTGCCAACGTGCTGCGGAGGTTGCAGTTCATGTTGTTACCCGTTGGTCATCAACCAGGAGGGCCTCGCGCTCTCCTGGATCTTCAACGCTGGCCGCAGGCTGTCAATAAATTTCATGTCTGACTTGCGCAGCCAGCGCGCCGCCTTGGCAGGGCCACAGGCGCTGCCACTTTCAAGCGATGTCTTGGCCGGTCCCTTTACAGCAGGTCTGGCGAGAACTGCTTGATCCTTGAGAGGGATGAGCTGATCCAGTGGCTCTGCGAAGATCGAGCGGGAGGGGACAAAAGTTGTACCACAAGGTTCGCATGATCTTCGCATGTTTCCATCGGACATGTCAGTCATGTTTTTCCAGGTGAAGAGTCACAGCACACACATGTAGACCTGCACATGCGCACATTGCTCCTGTCGCCGACCGAGGCCCCAAAGGGACCCATTGCCTATTCAAACCAATGAGTACATACGGAAGCTGGCCAGTTCCAGGCAGCAGCGCTTGACATGTTCTGAGTCAATTGTTTGGTTGGTCGGTTTTTGTCTTTGTTCGCTTGCCTGTTTGTTTGGGTTGGGTTGGGTTGGTTTGCTTTTTGCTTTTTTGTTTGCTTGCTCGCTGGCTGGCTGTCTGGCTGGCTTGCTTGCTTGCTTCGAAGTTTTGCCTGGTTGCCTGCTTGCGTTTGAATAATTCTTGTTTGTTGGCCGGTTGTTGTTTCTGTATAGTTCAACAATCACACATCCTCACATGAAGCGTGTTGAGCTAGCTAGCAGCTTTTGATGGCTATGTTACTGTTGCCATTTGCTGACAGCAGCCGTTGGTTCAAAGTTCAAAGTCTTACATCGAAAGCTGCACTATGCCAAGCTGGGGGCCCGGACTTGACGAACAGCAGAGCTTCACGCGTCGCACCCGGCCTGGCAGGAAGGACTGCGTGGGAGGTGGTAGGAGCCAGCTGCATACAAATGCAAAGCAGTTCAGTAGCTCGGCGATTCACTTTCAGGAAAGCGTTCGCAGCCAATGCGTGCAGCACGCCGTCAGCCGTGATGAGGTTGAAGTGGGCTGCTCACGCGAAGGGGTACGCCAACGCTTCCACGAGGAAGCCAGGCCTGCATTTGTCACGCAGGGAGTTTCGCTCCACACACACACATGCAAGCCCCTTGCAAAGCGAACACATGTGACCTGGACCCTGCACCTGCTCAGCACAAGGGTTTGAATCTTGTTTTCAAAACGGTTGCTATTCTTCCTTTTCCAAAGCAAGTCTCGGTCGCCTTGTCTGGCCGCTGGCTGACGTGCATGCCTGGGCTTCCCGATTGAGTGCCCAAGCGCCGCGAGATTGCAGAGCGGAAGGCTTGTATGCCCAACAGGGGCGCAGACAGAAAGTTTTCAACTGTTTGCATTGTGTCGCTTACACGCGCTGTCTTTCCGCAAGTTGGGACGCAAACAGCTCGGCCAATGTGATTTGCTTTCCGCGCTGCTGTTCGAACTCAAAACTTGACGACCAGAAAAATAGCGTATCTCACCAATTGTTTGCTTGCTGTTAGCTAAAGCCCTGTTTCACCTAGGAGGGGGGCGCAAGCATCAAGTTGTTCGGCACAGTGCAGCGTTCACTGTGGACTTGCGTAGCCAATGCCATATGCGCTGCGGGCGCTTGATGATCAGAAACTGGCATGGTTGGTAGGTAAGCGCACGGCAAGACATGCCCTGCGTGCTTTTTTGTTGCTTAAAAGCCTCCTTTATCCCAGGCGCGGACTTCAATCAGGTAGTTGCGCGGCGGGCACTGAAGCGCATGGAAGGTCATCGTTGCTCGCAGGATGTTATTTGAAAACCCTGCTTTTACCTAGGCGTGGGATGCAAAAGGCTAGTTTGTGGCAGAGCGCGGCGTACACTGTGGCAGAGCGTGGCCAGTGTGATTGCAGTGACAGTCACGACGCATGATGAAACTTTCCTCGGGCTGAAACCGGGCTTTGGTTAGATTCCCTTTAAGGCACACCAGGTTCGTGGATTCCCTGAGGAATAACACCAGGTGGATGGTGGATTCCCTTTGAGGCACACCAGGTGGAGGGTTCTTGGGGTCCTTCCATGATGTGACTTTGCGCGTGCACGCGTGGCCACGCAGTGATGCGTTGATGCGACTTATCGCGACCGCATGTAGATGCATAACATATCACATATATATAAAATAATTGGCATTGTCTCTTTCAATTCAACGCCTTTTTAAAAGCCGACATGCTGGGGAGGGGAGATCTTGGAATTTCGAGGCCCAGGTGTCCTAAATATTTTCGCAGCGGTGGCCAAAGATGCCGGGCCCTTAAACAAAAACCAAAGGGAAGCCACTGGCGGTTTCTTTTTTTGGGGGGAGGGTCAAAAAAAAAGAACCCAAAAAAGAAACGATGTGAATAAGCACAGCCGAACGAAAGTCGGGTCCCTGGCTGCGCTCAGGAAACAAGAACTGCTGTTTCATTGCCACACCCCCTGTAACGCGTTGTCCCTTCTTCGGTGTTCCATCATATTCCCCAGCAATGGGATCGGATCAGTCTGCACCAGGCATGGCATTGCAGTTTGATTGAGTTTGAGTGTCTCGTTGTTTGCCCTCCGAAAGTTTTGGCCGAATCCTTCTGAGCCAACCCTGCACACTGACTTGAGATTGCTGCGAATGGCCCCTCCGAAAACGGGTCCTTTCATGTCAAAAAAATCCGAGAATGGCCCCTCCAAGAACTGGTCCTTTCCCATTGAAAACGAGACACCTGGCCTTCCAAAACCCGAGGCAGGCAGGGGTGACGCTCATCGAGTGCTTCGTGGTGCTTCTGCTCGTGTGCCGCAGCGACTGGGCCAAGTACGCCCGCGACGCGCAAGCGCGGAACCGGCTCCACGAGGCGCGGCTGGCTCTGCGCGGTTTGGGCGCCGCGGGTCGCGGGTGGCGCGCGGTGAGTTGGAGTATGCTGGAGTAGCCTTGGGATACATTTTACATTTTACCAGTGACCCAAAGTGAAGCAAACAATAAATTATACAGTCTATAACTGGGCCTAACTCTTTTGTATGAAACTGGTCCTATGGGATAGTTGCGAAATTCCGTCCGCGTCAAATGACACCATGGTCGAAACCCTGGTTTGTTGGGTGTTGATGGGCGAATTATCATTCCAAGATTTCTTTGGTGCAGAAGTTCGTCCATCCGCAGTATGATTGTCATTCATGGTTGGTCGTCATTCACCAAAAGAGCGAGGAAATTTCACGTGAACTCAAGGCTGGAGGAAATTTTAGTCCGCCCCTGCTTTCGAGTATGAGGAGGTTTAGAGGATCTCCATCCATGGTTGTCCAATCCTATGGTTGTTAAGGGCCTGCTCCCCCCAATAGGAGGGGCTAAGGGGTTCTTTCGGGGTGTTCCCGGGTTGGGCCTGTGACTACCATGTGACAACAACGTTGACAACCATGTTGGGTTCCCTCTATTCTCCTTTTGGGTGGCTTTCAACAATACCCATGTATACTTATGTAGATAGCATCACACTCCCTGAGTTCCTGAACTGTATACTTGTTTGGGAAGATCATAGATATAAGGAGCAAGTCGCTAGGCAAAGCAGCGATGCGAGCGGAGACCTTCTGGTTCTCCAAGTTTGGTCGGGTCCTGTTGCAAAAGACACAGATGCCAAAAGGGGCGCAATTAAAGCCATGTCCAGCATCTGCGATGCTGGCACCCCATTCTAGCCAATTCGTCCGAACTGCCTCAACCACATGGAAGCTAAGTGGGTTTGATCCTGGAAGACCAAGGCCACTCTCTGCTGGCTTCACGTTAGTGGGCGGGAGGGTACCCTCATCAATCAACCCTCACAAAAGCTCAAGCTCTCTGTCCGAGGAAAGAGAGGAGCCAGCAAGCTCGCCCGCTCAATGATGTTTCATGGGCGCCTTTTGCTTAGCCGCGCTTCCTTGCGCGAGTCATCTGCCAAGAGCATTACACGAAGTGCAAGTTGGCGAGAACTTCACCGCTGGCAAGTCTTGAGATTGTTAAGAGCGACGCATGGAGCTTGTCCAAGGCGCTCGCTCGAAAATTTGCACGCCTGCCTTCAGCCGTGCCTTTCCCCGGAGCTCCAGGGCCTTGTCCCTTAATTACCTGACCTGGGTGTTTTCGGCCAATCCGCTCGATCGGAAGTGATATCCAGCAAGGTGTCTGCTGTTTTCCGCTTGGCCACTGGTGGTCCGGGGCTTTGGGCCCGTTTGGCTCAAGTCATTTGCCGGCCCTTTGAGTTACCCAGAAAAGTTGTGGTTCTCGTTTTAGAAGGAGTCCCATTTTTGGGTGGATCCAAATCACCCAAAAAACGCGCCCGCAACACCAATCCACCAGGGTGCATTTGTGGGAGGCTCGGTCAAATGGGGCCAGAAGTTTCAGACTTTCGGGCCACAGCTCCGGCACAGTCGCTGCCCTTTGCTTCAAGGCAAGGCCATTTTCAGCAGGGGCGTCAGGACGCGATGCGAGCGAGAAGTCAAGCGCAAAAGACTCGGACCTGACTTGGGTTAGTAGGGATGGTCATGGACCCTTTAAAGACGACAGTTGTAAGGAATCCTAATTCGGAACGATGAGCAGGGCACAGGTTGGTCAAAATGTCCAGTTTATGGTCCATTTGAGAGGGGCAGGAGGAACGAGCTCGAAATGTTCCACCCATGAAACTCTCCAATTCTTACGTGGGTCGCAGTAAAGTTGACTGTTCATGTAGACAGCTTCGAGTTAAAATCAAAACCTGAATGCTAATCAAACGGAGTTCGCTCTTGGAATCGCCCGTTTCTGAATCGCCCGTTGAATCGGGGACGAAAGTGAAAGGGATGAGCAATGACAACTGGCAACAAGATTTGGAGAATGTACACTTCCTTGTGTTTTTTTCCCCCTGGTACTACGATGTTTGAGAAAACCAACTCTTGGTATGGAGACTTGAATGGCCGGGGTAAAGATCCCACGCAAGGATTGTTTTTGTTTTCGTGCGGTCCATCCTTCTATTGCGCTTGGGAATAATCCGGGGCTAGTTGGATGGCTGGCACATGGCCCAAGCTTAGGTAGCCGGATGGCCCCTGGCTTGTTTCCAGTTTTCCCGTTCCATCACCCAAAAGAGGGCAGCCACCCATTTGTTCGAACCCGTGGCTGTTTCCGAGTAACGTGAGGGATTCGGTTTGAAAGCTGGTATGCGTCAGAGGCCGGCCATGCCGAGAAATTGATGTGTTTCCTTTTGGTTTCCCTTTCAACCCTGCAATGTGTCCATGCGAGTTTGAGGAAGCAAGTCCAGGTCCCCCAGTGGTGCCCTTTACACTTTTTTGGTGAGGGTTCCCCTACTAAAATAGACAAACCCGAAAAAAAGTTGGCACCCCAGCCTCCAACCTCTCAAATCTGGAGGACCTAGAAGTCATGTTCTTCGCTCAGCTCAGAAGCCAGAGAATCATCAAAGAGAGACCCTCCCATCCTGTGTCGCAGCAGCTTGGGGTGCGATACGGCAGGATCCAGGGTTGAACCGGGGGAGTCTCAAGGAAACTGCTTTGTTTCCTCTTTCCCCGAGAACCAGCGAGCAAGGTGACTTTCGAGGTTTTTGTTCGTTGCCCTTTGACGGCCAATGGACTGAAAGCCTGGCTTGAAATTGACCAATCGAAAGCAGGAGAAATAAGTCTCGGGCCGGGAAGACATCGTCTCTTCGTCTGAGAAAGGAGGGAGTTGGAGCCACCCCCCCATGTCTGGTCCCTTTCCAACATTGCCAGACTCAAGTCACCTTTTTGTGTTTTGATTGTTTATATGTTCTTCATGTCTTCACGTTCCTTTTATCCGGCAAAAAGCTAGCGTTTGGCAGGGGGTCGGATCAGTTTGGCCAAGAAAACTCAACCAAAACGACCATGAAGTGCCCTTTTTGGCTCATGGGAAACCACTGGGAGCCCTCGAATGACAAGCTAGACTTCCTGGGCTCCTGTTTCCTGCCTGCCCACCACAAAAAGGGGGAAACGAGAGCTCCATGAAGTATCTATAATATCATTTGCCAGTTTTTATGTGGTGTCATTCGACTTTACCATGAGGGATCCCTTAATTCGGGTGAGCTGATCAAACTTGCAGGTGTCATGTTCGCTTGGCAAGCGCTCAGGTGCAGACAGACTACAAGGACATGTCCGGAGGCTCATCTCCGCACATCCTCATCCGGGTGAGGTGCGCCCACGGCCAGCGCGACGCTTGAGTTGAGACCCAACCAGTCTGTCTTTAGGTCCAACACCTAGGTCCCCCAGCTAGGTGCCCTTTCTCACCAACTTTTTTGGGGGAGGGTTCCCCTAAGATAGACGACTTAAAAAACGTTAGTACCCTTATTCTAACCTCTCTACTGGAGGACCTAGTTTAGGTCCAATACATTCGCCCAAGGCAAAGGCGCAAAGAGACATGTTGGTGCAAGATTGGCGGGGCTTTAGACGGCTATTGTGACACCAACACAATCCCCTTAAGTAGTCACAAGGTTGGCCCGCTTTGGTAAAAGGGCTAGTTTTCATAACCCCAGCAGGGTTGCTGGAGCTACGTAGTAAAAACTGAAGGGTAGAAGTTTGGGCCAAGTCTCTAGCTTGCGGCGTCGAATTGGAGCAATCCAGAACGCATCGTGCTTTCTCAACAAGAAGGTTGGGTCTGCCGGATCCTTTGTGCTGCAGACTACGACATTGGCGCATCCTGGATCGCACGGGTCACTCAGTTGGTACATGTCTCCCTGCTCACTTGAGGAGTAGCTAGAGCACTACATCAAGCTCCAGCAACAAATGGAGCAGGATGGATGCAAACCTTGTCACCTTGAAGGCTGAGAAGAAAGACGCGGCCCCTCCTACTGGTGAGACAGTCTCAGTTCGCTGCAGGGAATGGCTGCACTGCCAAGTGATGTTCCTGTTCCCCATCTTCGGAAAGTAGGTTGGATCGGATTCAGGCTCCTTCAATCCATCGTGTATCTACTATCCACAGATTCCTGCACCAGCGGGGATGGATGAACCATAGTTACTGGGATACAACGTCAAAAAGCGCCTTTTACCTGGGATTGGTAGGGATGGCCATCGACCTGACATTGAACAGGTTGCTACTAGGAGATTGGTGGCCATTGCCCCTATGCAGTTTTGACCATGGCACACATGGCAAAAGGGTCACCGATCCCAAGTCTTGCGGGAAGCAGGCGAGCTGCCCGACTTCTAGCGGTGCCTTCAGGCGGAATGCACGCAAAAGGGGGAGGGAGGGGCTGGAGACGGGTGTGGCGTTTTCGAGGGTGCCCTTTTCAGGCCAGTTGGGAAGCCAGCAAACGAAAAACCACAAGTTTTGGGGCCCGAGTTTGACACATGGCTGCGTGCTTCCCCAAGTTTGGGTAGCCCAAGCGCCACTCAGCCAAGCTCCCAGGGAGGGGAGGTTTCGCTTCACACATCTCGATCTGGCTCCTTAGCTGAGGTGTTTTTGTTTTTCGCCGGTGGAGTGGTCGGACGTCCACTTGACCCACTTACCCGAAGCCTCCAGTTGTGCCTGTGTTTTCTTTTGGAGGGGATTCACTCTAAGATCAACTAGCAAAAAGGATGGGCGTGTTTTTTTTCACAGGCACTGGGGGGGTCTGGGAATTTGTTTGCAATGTCATTGGTTTCTTCGGAGAGATCACCCTTCAGTATCGTTGGTGCGCTGGGTTTTGCAGCACGCGGGCTTCTCTTTGTGGGATGTTCTTGGTAATTTACAGGATTTGCGACTTCATCCGTGAAGGTTACTTTCCTTTACGGCTATTTGGCAGCACTGAATCCTGCCCCAGGTCCAGGCTTTGCTCTATTTGGAGGCATGGAGCTCTGATATCACATATAAAGGAAGATGCTGCCTAAAAGGTGAGCCTTTGATTTTCTGAAACGAATATGTTGCATTTTCCCTTGTTGGAAACACAGGGAATTTATCACTCCTAGAGGTATGTGTTTTTGTTTTCAGCGGGCAACAGCAAAAGCCTTGTGCCAGCTGGTAGTCATTTCTCTTGTGCCCCCCCCAAAAAAAAAAAGAACGGAGAAAAACAAAGGTAAGTATCTCTCTTCTGGAGCCGTGCACCAAAAATATACGGGAAAAAAGTTGGGACCCCCATTTCAACCACAAAATACGGAAATATCATGGGAATTCCCTCCCCCCAAAAAGCGGGGTTTCGGTGCCGAGAGCGCGCCAGGCGCGCTGGCGGTGGTGAGCTGGAACTTGGCGGCCATCAACAACAACCCCTTCGAGCCCCGGAGCCCGGCGGAGGGAGCGAGCCATCGAAACGCGAACTCCGATTTCCGAGAACCTGGGAATTGGGCGGGGATTTCGGGGGGGGGGCGGGATTGGAGGGGGCTTTGGGGGGGGGGAGGGCGGTTGGGGGTTGTTTTGTGGGAAACGAAAGGGAAACTTATATCGAAAATGGGGGGGGTCTTGGGGTGGGGTGGGAGAGTCTTGGGGTGTGGTGGGAGAGTCTTGGGGTGGGTGGGGGAGGGAATTTTGGGGTGGGTGGGGGAGGCATTTTGTGGTGGGTGGGGGAGGCATTTTGGGGTGGGGGGAGGGAAGATTGGGGGGGAGGGGGGTCTTTTCACGTTGTGTTTGCGGGGAAACGAAAGGGAAACCCATTTTGGGGCACCAGAGAAGCCCACTTGCTTGACATGATAGTGCATTACAAGCTTCGTTACGTTAGGACCCGACTAAGACTTATGCTTTTTGGCTGAGGTAGTTATTTTGACTGCTTTTGGGGGTTGTCAAAGTCAGAAGCTGGGGGTATCTCCCTTTCACCTACCGCTTCGGGGGTGACTTTGGCAATGGTAAAAGCAGGGTCGCCTGTTGGACCGATGTGTTTGGCACACAAGAACATCTACAATTTCCCTTCTTTTGTATTTATAATTATTGTTTTGCTTCTAATATATTTTCACACATTGGACAAACAAACTCAATCACTAATGCTTCATTATGAACGGAATGACTGCCTTCATTTGTTGAAGAAACAACTGTTCTAGAGGTTGATTCCCGATTATTTTCCGCCATCGTTCTTTTCCAGCACCAGCCATTCCCCAATATTTGTCGGGTGGTTTTCTACAAAGAAGGACCCCCTGGAAAGAATGGAAATGGGGAAGTTGCCCCTACTGTTCCTGTCTGATTCTCTTGAGACCCATCTGAGGTATTGGATCAGCCACTCGGACGAGGCTTACGCACAGCTCATGGACCAGGCCGGCATCCCCCGGGCGGGGAGAAGGCGAGCCCCAAATCTCACGCCCGAGTTGCACTCGGACTTCAACCCTTTTGGGTTTGGCCCATTTTCCTCGGGTTACCTTCCATTTCCATTTCCAGGGATCCTTCTAGAAAACCTCCGGACAAGGGAAAACGGCTGTTCTTTTTTACATGCGTGTCGTTTTGAGGGGCTCCCCCCCCCTTTTTTTGGAAGCCAAGAGGAAAAAACACCCTTTGCAAGGGTCAAATCTGCTTGTCGGGGGGCAGTCAACGTTTGGTGCTCTGGTTTTCTTGTTGGAAACAAGTTGCTGACAAGACATGTCTCTCTTTCCCGGCTTTGACCTCCCGAGCGGCTCGGGCGTCTCCGAGACGCGCCCGGAGACAGGGAAGGTGCAGCTCAAAGGAGACCCAACGGGCAACCCTGGGAACCCGCTTGGGGGTGTCTTTTGCAGGGATCCCCGCAAAATGGTGTTCATTTGAAAAAGGAATATGTGAAGGAACCCCCCAAAATGTGTTCATTGTTTTCACATGTCATTGCTTTTGATGAGATTCCAAAATTGTTTCATTGAGAAACCCCTCAAAAGAGACACACCCACTTAGGCTTGCACCCATGGATTTATAATGGCAAGGCTAACCACGCGATTCGCCCCCGACCATATATGTGGAGGACAAGGGAGAGCAATTTGTGGCCTTGCATTGGCTTCTGTGCGAAACACTGGCCATGCAAAGAGGATACCTTTCAAGCCTCTGACCAGAAGGCTCCATGTTGGTCGGTGGGAAGGTATTTGGAAGCACTACGCAAAGACAAATTCCTTCAAAGACCTTGCAAAAAGTAGTTAAGATGTGAGTTTCCTTTGAGCGATCCAATAAAATGACTGCAAGATCCCTGGAAGAACTGGGCCCGGCAATCCAAGGCTTCCTTCACGCTCCGCATGTTTGTCTGTGCAGCTCACGGCCCTTTTCTTCCCCTCAATTAGCTGCCCTTTTTGCTCTTTTGCTTTTTTGGGGTCCCTTTGTTTCCCCTTTTTTTCCAGGCAAAAAATATATTTTTTGCCGGGGTCCCAATTCCAGCCTAGTTTTGGAGGCAGATGGTCACCAGGAGGAATTGGCCTAAAGCGCATTCGAGTTCCCAGAGAGGGGCGTTCTTCAAGGGTCGTACTCGATATCATGGCCTCAATGAGCCTTTGGGCCGGTCAACGAGAGTACCGGGTTTGTTAAGAACCTCAATTCGTGGCTGCCCTTGCCCCTCAACGGCCAAGAAACAGATGCCTGCAAAAACAAAGGGTGAGGATTAGGAGTGGAATTCTAATTCTCTATTCTGAGGCTTTTTTGATTGGGTTCCAAAAATGTCCCTTGAAAGACAGATGCTCATGTTGGTTTCGTGGGCCTAAAGCTTCTCTCAGGTGGAGTCCTTTGTCGACAAGCCTGGAGACCGCGACGCGCGCCCGAATCGACGGGCAAAATGGGTTTGTCGCTCGGTCTGTGCTTTTGGAGGGTACCCGTTTCGGGGCTGTGCTCTTGAGAAATGAAAGGGGAGGCCAGTTTCGTGGCAATTTGCATGGTTCACTTCCATTGATTTCCCTTGACTCTGGCTGTGGCGTTCACGATTGGCCTTGCTGTTGGCGTGGTTGGTGTGCAGATTTGCCTTTGGCAGCTTTAGAGCTTCGGATGGTCCCTCGTGTTCTCACATCCATTACGGGCACGGGAAGCAATCATGTCAGGACTCTGGCTTGTGTTCGCCACTTTCGGTGGCTGGGAATGCCGTCCTCTTTGGGAGAGTCCACGTCCTATTGGCCCCTTGCAGTCTTCTCCCTTGATGGCTCCCAGCAATCTTGAATTTCACGGTAGCTCCCAGGCTTATCCCTAGGCTTATCCAGCCCACCGATAGCGATAGAGGTCTGCGGCGTCAACACCATTCTCTCCGGTGTGTCCGAGCTCTTGAAAAACCTCTCAAATCTTGGGCGAAGTGCTTGGGGAGCGATGGATAGAATCACACTGCAGCTCTTCGATTGGCCTTCTGGTGCTTGTGTGGTGTTTGAAGAGGAACTGAAAAGGCAATCAAATTGAAGGGTGCTTTGGCTTCCCATTTAGGGTCACGCACGTGCACTTCACAAGCTACGTGAATGGAACAAAATTTGTGGAGAACTGTCCTAAAAGTAGCTGCAGATTCCTGTTGGATACGCTGGCCAAGAAGAATCAAGCGAACAATCAAACATGGGTGTATGGGTAGTTTGTCGCGTATGCAAGGGATACATTCCGCCTCACGTGTATCTGTATTTAACAAAAACTGCCTGGAATTGGTGTTGAAACTGTTTCCGGGTGAAAACTATTTCCCAACGTCCCTCAGAACTAGGGCTGTGTCAAACAAGATTGACCTTTGCGTCCAGGTCCTTTGGTTGCAAGTGAGGTCACCCTCTCTATAGCCTAGGTCCCCCAGTAGTGCCCTTTTACTCTTTTTTTGCGGAGGGTTCCCATACGAAAATAGACTACCGAAAAAAGTGGGTACCCTTTTTCTATCCTCTTTACGGGAGGACCTAGGTCCTTTCTTTGCAAGTGAGACAACACCCTCTCTATCGCCCGGACTCAACGACTCCATCGCAGCATGGTGTGTGGGTGTTTGTCGTCTCCTTCCTTGGTAAATCATTCACGAAAGCCGTAAATGCGGAAGCCACTTTGGGACTTTGGTAGGAAAAATCGGGCCCAAATCCCAAGGTTGGACATCTGCCAAGCTCGTGCGTGGGGTAGACTTAGGATACATTTTACATTTTACCAGTGACTCAAAGTGAAGCAAACAATGAAACATACATTCTATAGTGGGCCCAACTCCAATCATGGTGGGTGTGCAGGCTTCTTGGGAGGTCGCAATGACAAGGGGACGAACCCCGGTCATCCCCAGTGATGACCATAGCCTGCGTTCTTAAGTCGGACAACGGGACGCACTGGAAACCCTCCACCCCCGCCCTCGCAGAACTGCCAGGAATTCCCCCGACTTTGCCGGGAATTCGACTTCTATTTGTTTGCGAAATCCTGTCTGCTTGTAAATTGATTGCCTTGCTGTTGCTCAGTAGGGAATGACCCAGGGTTTGAGAGTTCCCTCAAAGGTTCTTGCAATGACACAGGGGATGGTTTATAGGGGTCATTCCATGTTTCATTCCCTGCCTATCGCACCGATCGCAAGTAAAATGATTCCGCGCAGTTGTGTGCGACCCGAGACTTTTTGAAGGTGAAGTTCGCGGACAGGGGTTTTCCAGCCACCAACCCCTCCCCCCTTTATTCTTGAACCATAGAAACCGTGGAAACATTAGAAACCATCAAAACCATGAAAACAATAGAATCCATGGAACTTTCTAAGTCACCATGGAATCCATGAAAACCGCGTCACTCAAAACCGAGCCTTTGGCCAGGTGCCAGTGTCTGAAGTCTTCACGCAGCAGCTCTTTGAGGAGCTGGCGGGCTACATGAAGGCACGAGCAGACGAGTCCCCAGACTTGCCGATTGACAAGAAACACGTCACCAAATGATTCCAAGATGGTCTCCAGCACCGCAAACCGCAAAACCCCCAAAGAAGAAGTTCCGAATGACGCTATGCAAAGACTACGCGAAGGGTACCTATGCCGTTTGTCTCCTCCCCCCAAAGAAGAAGTTGGGAATATTCCCCCAGGAGCGAATTTTGAGGAATATTATCTTTATAGTGAAGAATTAATACAGGGATAGTGGTCTGTTCTATAGAGAGACTACGTGAAGGGTGCATACGCCGTTTTCCCTTGAAGGCGAGCGGTGTGATAGCGAAACGCGTTTGAAGACATGGAGCCTGACTGGAGGCCCCTGGTACCTGGTAATCATGTTTTCCAGTAAAAGGAACCTTCCGGTGGCATGTTCGTGGGCGGTAGGGTATATATTTCCAGTTGAGCTGGCAAACCTCAAACTGTCAGAACAAAAAGTGTCCAGCTGGCCAGCCAAAAAACAAACAAAAGATCCCGCACAAGTGGTCATCACTTGTTTATGTCCAGGCAGTTGCAATCAACAACACCGTCTCCTTCCATTGCGCCAAGCATGAAGCCGGACCAACAATGCTACACGCACGCTAAAGCCCGGAATCGCGAAGCCGATTCCAGAGCTGTGTGCCAACCTGTTCCTTCAAGGAACAAATAAGAGGATGGCAATCAAATTGTTAACTTCCCCAAACACCTGCCGAGTGGGTTGCGAAACAGCCAACTCACTTCAGCGTGAGGAAGGAGAATTGACCCTCTCGTTAAAATGTCCATTGGTTCTTTGACTTGTCATGGCTGATCTTGGTGAATCCGAATCATCCCAAAGGTCTTGTTTGGTTCTCCATGAGCAACGGAGGGAATGAAGACCTGTTCGGTCGATGGTGAGCAGGTACTCTTGATGCTTGTGGCTGTGATTCACCCGGGTCAAAAGACCTATTTGCGTTGGGTGGTAAGTCAGGAGAAACAAAATCAACACCCTGCCCATTCTAAGAAGCTTCTTACGGGGTGGTGTCGGGCGTGTTTTTGGTTGCCTCCCAGTGTATGGACAACCCCTGGAAATGGTTGACAGCCAGTTGTCGGGCTGGGGTGCCAAAAAATCAACCTCCTTGGCTTGTCCTTTTCACCAACTGTTTGTGCACCCAAACTTCATTGGCTTTGGTCGGGCCATATGACTTACACAGACACAGGCTCATGACTTTGTCCTCCCAAGTCTTTGCAGCGGCACTTGGGGCGGCTGCATGAGTTGCTTGCCTGCAAGATGCCACAAAGACACCGCCTCACCCAATGGAGGAAAAAGTACAACCACAACAACTGTCACTGTGTGCAGACAACTCTCGTAGCATGGTGGCCCCCAGCCATCCCCTTAGCTTTGCCTTTTAGTGTTCAGTGGTAGTTTCCGAATTTAACCCACTAAAAGTTAGTCACTTTTAGCGGGGAATCTGAGGGCAGCCCAGGTACTGAACCCAAGCGATTCTGCCTTCCACTTCACGTGTTCGCTTTGGTCTCCGCGCCACCGCCCGACGTGCGGCATCCTCAACTTGGGGCCAGGCTGAGGGCTGGCAGGGCGTGGACAAGGTGACAGAGCCAGGGGCCTTGAGCAAAATGGGCAGTAGTCCATCGGGTACTTGGGCCATTATGTTCAATTTGCCAACCCAAGAAAGGATGGATCCGATAATTGCTGCTTTTTTGAGAGCCCCCCTGTTTAGCACCCGATTTTGGAGGAATGACGGACCTGCATTTAGCTGGCGGCAACAAAGTGTCATAAAGTGTCTTTGCCTTTCCGCAGGGAATCCAGGAAGCCAGGGAGTCAACCACTGAAAGCCTCCCGGGCATCGTATTTGAGGCATTCGCCGTTGGTTGAATTTTTGGGGGGGGAAACAAAAGGAGAACCGTTCCCTCTCAAAATACCAGCTCCAATTCCAGGACAGCCTGGGGGTTGTCAACTAGGTCCGTAGTGCCCTTGTACCCTATTTTGGGGGAGTGTTCCTTCCTATCATGGACGTCCTGAAAAAACTTGGTACCCAAAGATTCTAACCTCAAACTACTGGAGGACCTAAGGGCCGTCTTCTGCGGGGTGCGACAAGCCAAGGCTTTGGCGCGAGCTGCGGGAGCGCAAGATCGTGTCCGGCGTGCTCAAGGCACCGCTGTGTTGTTTTTGTTTTTGTTGTTTTGCGGGGGAAACGCGGAGCCCTGGATTGCAGGGGCCCAACAAAAACAAGAAGCGAGCCCTGCAACCCTTGGGGTCGCCCAAAAAAAACACGGCTGCAACATGGCCCAGGCTTTGGCCCAGGCTTTGGGCCCCACTTTGGCACTTTTGGAAGGCCGCCGTTGTTCCATGTTTGTCAGCAAACGGTTGCAACCTTTGTTGTGTTGGTACAACATGACACCCTCCATCGGGGCGATTCCAAGGACAAACGGTCTACCCTTGTGAATGTGTCGAATGGGAACAACCCTCTTTTACAATTCGCGGGGTCGTGAAACAGATCTTGCACGTCAGAGCAACCAGTCAACGATAGCTTCTGAAACAAAGTTACATCAACACCAGCAAGGCCTCGTCTCAAAATAGAAAGTTCGGAGCCCCAGATCTGGGCCGGTTCTCCCTTCAAACCGCTCAGCGGCCGGCCTTGGGCTGCGGTTCGGCGGCTCGGTTCGGCTTCGGCTCGGCGTGCAGCGCAGGACAAAGAGCTGGGGGCGAAGCGGCTCTGCTCCATGCCCGCCCGGAAGCCTAATGAGCCCCAGTGAAGCGCGTTCTCATGCGTCCCTCCGAGGACTTTCTGACACGGCTGCACCTTTCCGCATCAAATTCGATTTTCGTGGTTGTTTTAGTTGATGCACAACAAAAGCCCTGATCCACATGGTTGTTGTTGGGAAACATTCTACATTTTTGTTCATGGTGGTTTAGTGCTTGAAATCCAACCACTGAACTGCTCAAATTTGAGAATTTTGGCTCCCCTTCCAACGTCAACGAAGCCTCTACCAATGTGTCCCTCCGGTGGATGGTTGTTCAGCCCTGTGGTTTGGTGGTCACAGCGTGGGGGTTTCCAGTTTGACCATTACGAGTCGGTATGGCGGTTTGGTTGGATCTTTGGACCTGAACTTGTAAATCCTTTTTTCGGACAGGTTCGGGGTTGTTTGATTTTTAAGGGACATCAACCTCCCTGACAGACAGATGTGACTCTCGGCTTGGTTCTTCTGACTTTAACTTGTTGGTTGCAATCACTTTGAAAACTTGTTGCAGAAGCGTCAACAGTAACCAAGTCGTTTGGAGGTGCCAATTCACCAAAACTAGCCAGGGATTTTCCCCCCAGTTGGCCGGCTTTTGTTTGGAGGGGTCCTGTTTTTCTGTCAAGTACCCAAAACCCAGGTGCCACTTTTGTCCCATGGCGATACATCGCCGCACCCCCAGTTTCAAAGGCCGCCCGTGAGGCTGGCGCAGCCAGACCTCCGTAAGGGCCATCCTTTTGGCGGTGTTGGGCCCGGGAAGACCAACTCAAAAGCAAGCGGCGGTAGGCGGTATGGGGGAAAAAATCTAGGGACCGGAAGTCGAACGGGAGCCTGCATTCTGAGATTGCCTTTTGGGAGAAGAAGTCGAGACTCGCCAGCCGATTCCTAGCAGTGCCAGAGTGTCGGCATAGGATTCAGCCGTGTTTTGTGGGGGAAGGGCTTGGAAGGTTTCCTCCGTCGCTTCCTTTCTCACCAGGATCGCTTCACCAACACCATCAACTTGGCTTCAGGCCCGGGTTCCTAAGCGGGACGTGTTCCGGCCGTCATGTGGACTCGTATCAGACTCAGAAGCTGGGGTTTCCACTTGGGGCGAAATGGATGATGGTCTCCGTTGCCAGAAGCGAATCGACCTGTTGACCTGTTGGGTTTGCAATTTGGGTCCTTTGAGGCTCAGCCATATGAGACGCCCGATAGAGGACCCACAAAGTTTTCCACAACGACTAGGGTTTCGGGCGCCCTGACAACATGATTCGTTTGTGGTTGGCTTCTCTTTACGCGCTTTTACCAACTTTTTTGGGGGAGGGTTCCCCACTAAAATAGACTACAGAAAAAAGGGTACCCTTATTCTAGCCTCTCTACTGCAGGACCTAGCCAACCAAGTCGGAATTCCACCCAACAAAAGATGCCCCCAATATGACCCTCTGTCGAGTTCATGGTTGTTTACTGGTTGGACGTGGGCTGACGGAGATTACACTGCCATTTTGCCGGACGGTGCCGCTGGAGTTCGGGCAGGGTGAAACACTGTATGGCTCTTTACGGGTGTCCATTCTTGGTGCTTCCCAGCCATTCCTGTAGGTGTTTCGCTCTTTTTGTTCTTGTTTTTGTTCTTCTTTGTCATGTAGGTGCAAGATATTTATACATCTATTCTGTTGACATGGTTCAGGCGTTCCGGGTTTCTTGGGGTACAGGCTCCATGGCATTCAGACCGACGGTGATCAACCACAGCACCAACTCGCTGCGCACTCAGAACGCAGAGTGGCGTGGAGTTCCAGAGGGGGTTTCCGGAACGGTGGACCCTGGTTTTGACAGCCAAAAGGAAGCAACCCATCTTGGGGTTCCCCGATTTTGAGAATTATTCAGATAAGGTTTGTTCACAATGTCTTTTTGGTGGACCCTTTGGTGACCATTGTGTCCATTCTTGGTGTTGGACATGTTCTCAAAGATGTGTTTTTGGTTGAATGGATCTTGCTGGATGTTCTGTTGAGAGCTGTTTCCTTGGGACCTTTTGTGACATCTTGAAAAGCTTTCTTGGTTTGGGCCACGTTCCTTTGCTGTTGTCGGGTTGGATCTTCAGACTGCAACTTTTCGGAGTCCGCTCATATTTCCTTCTAGCCAGCAAAAAGTTGAACTTTTGCTGGGGAACCTACAGCACCCAAGGTTCTATCATAATCCTTGGACATGAAAGTGCTGATAGTTCCTCGAAATTTTCAGAGAGCCTTCAGGCACTGGGGTCCTAACTTGGAGAAATTGCGGTGAGCGGCTCGGGCAGCAGCGGGGATCAGTTTTCGTAGGCTCCGCGCGTGTCAAGGGGATACAATATTCACTCGGTTCATTGGCACCAGTGTGGCTGCTTCCTTTTACAAACAGCCTTGCTGGAGAATGACTAGAGGTGCCTTGGGCCGCCCTTCTCCAAGAAGTCGGCAACAGGGCAGCCTTAGGCATTCACTTGATCAACTTAGCAGCCCCTTGGTCACAAACCTCTGTTCAGCCTCTCCTAAGAGGACTTTACCCTGTTGTTAATGGGTTATAGCCCAGGTGGCTTTGGTTTCCTTCATTATAAAGGCCCGAAAAATCCCCCCAGACCCCCCTGTGCAGGCCTGTGGCCTTGTGTGGCCTTGTTTCCGCTGAAGGCATGTTGACCACTAGCCCTTCAGGGGCCGTAGCGCTGTGGGCTGCAGGATCCAGTTTTCGTGGTGGTTCCCAGCCATCCGGTTCTTTAGGTTTGCAGGCTTTTTTGGTTTTCGGGTTTTCGGGTTTTCGGGTTTTTAGGCTTTCAGGGTTTTAGGGTTTAGTAGGGGTTTCCATTTCACCCACTAGAAGTGAAACTTTCAGCAGGGGGGTCGGAGAACAGATGGCCCAGTCTTGGTTCGCAAGATGTGAACCGAGGCTGGGCTCAGTGGCACAGTGGTGGCCGCAATGGGCCGAGTTCATCTTCAAGGCGCGGTGTGGCCGCATGTCCATAGCGCACCAATCCCTTGTCCATTTTAGCAGCTGCTGGGGTTGTGACTTTAAGCCAAACCTTCATAACACCTTGAGACGTTGGAGGCCAGGAGGTCCCTATCTCTTCAGTCTCGGCCAAAGGGACAAATTGACAAACGACGATGAGGGAAGGCCATCTTAGTGGTAAGAGGCTTAGACTTTTCTACCCAAGCCGCTCAGGAAGTGCTTCTGCGTGAAACTGCATGGGATGTTTACAGTGATTTAAAACAAAGCCAGAGGAAGAATCAATATTCCCTTGAATACCTTCACAATTCTGGAACGTCTCTGGCAGGAAGGGTCCCCCGCGCCTTGATGAGTTTGGGTGGTTTTTGGCCAGTCTGACTCCATCGACGGAGGATAACCAAGAAAGGCCTGACTACTTGCCCCCCCCATGTTCATGAACGGCCATAACTTGGCGGCTCCCAGCCATCCCCTTATTTGTTCAGCTTTTTAGGGTTTAGTGGGGTTTCCATGTACCCCCCAAAAGTTAAGCTTTTGGATGGGGATCTGAGGACAGCCCAGCTAATATGTGTCCCTCTTCATTTTCCCCTCAAAAAGTCTCCACTCTCGTTGCAGCTCGGATCCGTACCAATTCAGTTGGGCGCGCCAGGAGGAGTTGGAGGTGAAGACTGGCAAGAACGGCGACACAAAGAGGAGCGCGCAATTTAGTCTGGGCAGCGCAGCTGAGTCGGGAAGAAAACCCACAGGGCTACGATTTCCCAACTTGGGTTTAGAAGAGGTGCCTGCAACAAAGCAGAAACGTTGAAGGTATCCCCAACCCTTTGCAGACACACCGAGAATAAGACCCGGTCTTGGGCAAGCACACCAGACGAATCGAGCGCGTGGCATCAAATCAGCTGCGGATGCCAAAGGGGCCGAAGGACCTTACAGAATGGGCCGGGGGTTACTGGATCCCAGCTACCACTAAAGTTGCTAGGTCCCCCAGTGCCCTTTTACCGATTCTTTTACGGGGGGAGGGTTCCCCTACTAAAATAGACTACAGAAAAAAGACAACTTTCCTCTTGGCTTTTAAAGAGTGGTTACCTGCTTTGCAGGGAAACGGAGTCACTGGGTTAGCCAACCTTGCAGTAAGGAGTTCCCACTAAGGGAATTATGACCACAGGCCATATAGAGTTTTGACCATGGCACACATGGCGACGTATTGCCAAAGAGGTTCGATTTCCATTAGAAGCCGGGCCAAAGCGCAGGATCCGTCCCTGCCAGATGCTCACCACCATCAAGAAGGCGATGGGCATGGGAACAGCCCCAACTCAACACCTAAGGGAGGCTTTGGTTGAGCTCAAGCGCGGTGAGCATTGACTCAGTTGCTCAAAGCCGACCTTTTGACCTTTTGGTTTCTCCTTTTTGGGCTAGTTCTAGTCATGGCCCCAAAAGGTTAACCTTGCATTTCTGGGTCCTTTGGGCAAGTGAGTTGAAGGGAACGGTTTGCCCTTTGTGCTCTTAAGACCCCTAGTGGCCACCTGTTGATCAACGGATCCGGCCACAAATAGATCACCAGCCACCAAAAAAATCACCTCCAGCCAAGTCAATTCATTTAGAATTGGGTAGTACGCTTCCTTTTGTTTCCCCTTCAAGTACTCCCCGCTCTGTGGCACTTTGCGTGATTTATTAGGGCTTGATTCGTTTTTGTTGAAGCAGCTATGTGAACAAATTCGAGTTTGGGTTCAGATTGCTGACGAAATTGCAGTCTTGGGTGGCTGGCGAAAGTGTTGACTAACTTATCAGCATTGGGACAAGACTCCAATAGCTTTGTTTGAGCTTGCTTAATTAAGCTAGTTGCATTCTTGGATTAATATGTTTCTTCTCGTTCTTGTTTCCCATCCATTGATTCTCGATTGCTGGGGCACGCCCAGCGCCCAGGATCCAAGTGGCCAATTGTTGAGTGACTTCCTCAGGGCTTTGGGGGCTGATGAAAACCTGGCGCCAGTTGGTGGTTTCTCCCAGTCAGGGGGTACGGATTTTGTGCTTCAGAATGACCGTCAGAGGGCCTGGTAGGCGATTGTTCCGGGGCCAGCTGAAAGCTACGGGGTCTCCGCCCGTTTGGGGCAGCTTTCAGGCAGAGTTCCGGAGGGATTCAGGGGCTTCCGGGATGTCATCTGGGCTGATTTGTGGTTGGACTTAGCAAAGTGAGCAGACTTGGCGCGTCCACATCACCCCAAAACGTCGGCCAGGCCAAATATCCGGCAATCACCGAGGAGGAGGAGGCCGTAAGTCGGGGGTCAACGGTGTGAGTCAGGTGCTGGCCCATCGTGTCCTTCCAGGGAGACAAAACGGGAACCCATGATCCGGGGGCCGCAAAGGGATGAGAAGAAGTGTTTTCGAGTTTCCCTTCAAGCCAGCTATTGGCTCTGGTGTGGCCCCAGTTTGGGCCCCTCTATAGCGATATGGCAAGTTTCCTAAGCGGATGAGCAAAGGTGCCCACCTACTTTGAGTACCCCGAGGATTAAAGGTGTGGACCAACCATCCAGTTGTTCAGTGGCACGTGTGTCTCCCCTTCTTGTTCAGGGCTCCTGAAAAGATACATGTTGCACGTTTGAAACTTGGCTTTTTCCACCAAATAAAGGGAAACCGCCATGTTACAAGGCGATGTTCAGGTGTATAATGTAAGGATCCCTGTTGTTTGATGGTTTATGGTCCACAGGATTGGTCTTCCAATGAGAAAGAGGGCAGTTGCCTATCAAAAGTACCCAGTCGGTTGGTCATTGGTTGCACAACTAGGTCTCTGTTTCTTGACTAGGTCCCCCAGCTAGGTGCCAACTTGTACCGTTTCTTTTTGAGGGGAGGGTTCCCCTACTAAAATAGACTACGGAAAACAGTTGGTACCCTTATTCTCGCGTCTCTACTGGAGGACCTGGTTGAGCTACCCCGGATATGTTTGGCCTTTCCTAAGATAGTCTAAACTTCACCTCTGAAGCTGTCACAGGTTTGCATTAGGCATTGCCTCCCAACTTTGGGGGGTCGTTTTGCCACCTTTGAGAAAATTTTGGCGACCCCCTCAAAAAGGAATCCTTCACTACAAGGGAGTCGATCATTTTTTTCCACCAGGTGGCAAAGATGACCCTGACTTCGCGTCTTCGCTTCAGGCGGTGTCGGTGCCGCTGCAGTGCCTTTGCCTCGCCATCTTCGATGCTGTGCTGGTGCACATGCTGCAGGCGGCGGATCTGTGCGCGTCGGTCCGGAAACGGGCATGTGCCTGTTGGTTTCCGGCTCTTTCCGCGGGCATTTTTGTCACCTGTTGCTTCTTGGGGCGAGCATTTGGCAAAATTCAGGAGCCCAACCCAAAAGACCAGGTCGAAGGGAACATGGTTGTTGGAACACAGTTTACCTTTTTGCTTCTTGCGGGTTAGCGGTTGAAATCCAACCACTTAACTGCTGAAATTTAAATTGTCGCTCCCCTTCCAACCTCCACCAAGTTTCAATCCCGCTATTGGGTTGATCGCCATCAAATACCTTGCGGGTCGCTGGTTGCAGCATGGCCTTTGGTATCAAAGTTGCCAATTTGCATGTTCATCCCTTACGGGGATCTTAGCAATTTGGATTTCATGTGCATCGCAGGCCCAGCCCGCGGAATTCTAGGACGAAGTTGCTTCTTGGACCAAAGGAAATGCCATAAGCAGAAGTTGTCCTTCGCCCTGTCCGCTCAGCTCATTGCAACATGTTCCTTGAGGAAGACCCGCCACACTTCCCGGTAGAAATTTCAGGGGATGGTTTCTTCGCCAAGCCAAGCGTCCGCCGCTAATCTCTCCAGCTCGTTTTGTCAAGGCCAAGTCTGCAGGATCCATGGCTGTGAGGTTCTCCCCGTGGTGGCCAAAATCCTGGGTGAATTATAACGACCTCACACGACCGAATTCACCCCAAGTTGTGGTTTATGTGGGGAATATCCCCCCAACCACCGCAAGTTTCAGGTTGGTGAAATATTATAATTCACCCATAAAATCGGTGTTTAGGATCATCTGTTGTGAAAACAAGGAATCGGGACCCAAGTGAAGTCAGGGGATAGCCAATGTTAGCACAGACGAAATCTTTCTACATCTATGTCAGGAACACCAAAACATGCCCCTCATGTTGAAGGGTTTCCTGAGCGCAAAGTTAGACTCAAGGTTCGCCATTGAGGATGAAGCCACATATTGGATTTGTGGATTAGATGGAACATCTCCCAGAACTCACTTCCCAAGTTTCGGGACTTGATTTGTTGGGGGGAAAGCAAGCACAAGATGTGATCTTGGCTAGGTCCCCCAGCTAGGTGCCAACTTGTACCGTTTCTTTTTTGGGGGAGGGTTCCCCTACTAAAATAGACAAACCAGACAAAAAAGTGGGTACCCTAACCTCTAACCTCTCAAATCTGGAGCACCTAGCTGGGCCAATCCACTCCTGGGGGAGTGAGGGAAAGCTGACCAGGGACGAGAGGGACGCACGGCATGCGGGTCCAATGAAGCCTCACTGGAAGTTCTTCTTTCCGAAAGCTTTGCTCCAAGAATGGCGAAACTTGGTTTCAAAGTACTTAACCCCACTCGAACTAATTGGGACCTTATAGTAATGTTTGCATTGAAACGTAAAGCAAGAGGAGAGGACACAATGTGTCACCGAGCCTAACTCTAAAAACAGGATGTTAGTGCGGGGACGCCTGGAGCGCTTGCAGTCGGGCTGGTTGGGGTGGTTGCGGTGGTTGGCTTGGTTGGGGTGAGGTTGTGGCTGAGATGGTTGGTCGGGAGTATGGTAGGTTTCGAAAACGGTTCCTCAAGTTCTCGCGACGCAACTAGAAGCACAAGGGTAGGACTTGTGGATTACACCCCAAGAATCAAAAGGGCACATTCGGGCACAGAGACCTACATTGAGGAAGTGACCCACTTGCAAGAACACTCAGACGAAGCATGATGCAAATCCTTTTCTGGCAAGACATTTGAAGAGGCATCAACGTCATTTGGGTGAGTCTTAGCCCCCATCAAATAGCTTGAAGTAAACCCATGCTATGCCCCCCTGTAATGCCCTTTTACCGTTTTTGGGGGGAGGGTTCCCCTACAATATACTACAGAAAAAAGAAGAAAACAAGTTGGTACCCTGTTTCTAACCTCTCTACTGGAGGACCTAGCATGGATTTGTTCAATGTCCTACGTTACTTCCAGATTCCATGGCTTTAACTTCCCCAATTCCTCACCGGAAGTCATTTCCTTTTGGTTCACCCTGTGCTTTCCGTCCGAAGGCATGTCTTCGATGTTTTCACGTTTCAGGAGGTCCCCTTCCGTAGCTGGCACAGCAGGTGCTCTCGCCAGATGGTCACTGGCAACAGATCAAGAGCTCCATCTGTGAGGCCGGCCTGGCCCGAAAGGAAGACACCACTGAACGCAGAAGAAATCAAAAGTTCGGTTTGGACAGGCGATGCATTTCAATAGACCCCTCAAAGGTGATTGGTGGACATCTCCAGCTCAAAGGTGTCCAAAATCCCAAAGGCTCCATCATGCACCTAGAGGAAGCAACCCCTCGAGGAAAACCTCCACGGATCAATCAACCTAGTGGATTTTGGGATTATGACGGTGGGTTCTTTTCCAAAAAGTGGTCCGGATTCCCTTTGAAATGGGCACCATCCCAGTCACCATCCATACAAATCAACCCGTGTATCAAGCCCCAAACTCCAGAACCAGAAGAAAATCAAATCAGGATCTGAGCCAGCAGAAGAGGTGGCAACAGGTTTTGCATGATGGTTCCCTATGTTCACCCATGTTAAGAACTGGAAGCAAGTGGGGCTGTTTCTTTCCCCCTGGATTCAAATTCAGGGTCTCCACGCCCATCCGTCAAGCCCAAGTTTCAGCAAACTCTCCCTAGTTTTATAAAATCATGGGCCATGGTGGCTTTGTCGTTTTCCCTACGAGCATGTTGTAGTTCTTGCCCGTGGGCCTGTACGTGCACTAAGCTGATGGTATCTTTTCCCCGGGGGGGATGCTGATGCCTGGTAAAAGATGACGGTTGTTCGTGGCCCCCAAAGCACAACCAACAGAGGTGTTGGTTTCCTGTCCCAATTGCTCAGGTTCGGAACTCCCTATTTCCCTTTTGGATGGTTGCTGTCCGTTCCATACCACCCGAGGTTTAGCCAAGAGTAAACCTTCATGTCCCCTGCCGTAAACCCGTCGAGCAGAATCATTCACACCGAGAAATCCACAGGACTGGTGACCTATACTTGCTCCATCTCAGAGGAGAAGCATCCCCCCCAAATGTCGCCCTCAAAACATGGTTGCTGTTCGGAAACATTTCACATCTTTGCTTAGGTCCCCCAGTACTGCCCTTTTACCTGTTTTTGGGGGAGGGTTCCCCGACTAAAATTCACTACAGATAAAAGTTGGTACCCTTATTCGAACCTCTCTACTGGAGGACCTAGCCTTTTAAGGTTCCATGTGAATGGGGAGCAAGTGCCATTGAGCGATTTTCGAGCGGCCGGGATTCTCGAGGCGACCTTCCGCCGGAAGAACGCCCTCACCAGCCGAATACTCCACAGCTACAGCCCGGGTCTTGAGAAAACCCCAGGCGCAGCTGTCTCGGGTCAGTCATAGCCCCCTGTTGGTTTACTCCCCAAAAGGGGGGGCTGGGACCCAAAAAGGGGGTCTGGGACCCAAACAGAGTTGCTATGCTGGGGTTCCATGTTCATCTCTAGGAGGCTGAAGGGAAACAGCAAACCATCCATGTCAAGGGATCCGACCCAAACGAGGCTTGCAGGAGCTTAGGTTTCATTCGATGCGGATGCCCATAGACCTCACAGCGGGGGGAAGTCTCCCCTGGGAGCTCAACCCGCGAAAAATTCCCCAGCAAGGTCCTTCGGAAATGGATCGCGTGACGATTTGGGCGGGTGAAGAACGCTGCTTTAGCGGACCTCCTGGTGAAGTTTGGGTTCTTTTGTGGGGGGATCCGTCCTTTCAGGAACACTGTTTCCCCGCAATCAATGGAGAACCATATGTGGGTACGTATGTGTTAATCTAGGGGACCCCCAAAAATTGGTGGTTGTGATTTCCCGTTAAAAAAAGAACAAATGCAAGGTTTCCTCAAAAATAGCAGGCCCATGTGACAGCTGGCATACTCTGTCTTTTTCAGCTTCACCTTCCTGCAGATGAATCGCACTTGATTCTGACGGATGCCTCATTGAAATGCCAAATAAGCGTTGATTATTCTCAGATCAGCGCGCGGTCCATTCAGAAATGGCGAGGGAATGGCAACCCAGTTGCTGATCTGTGGGTGGGGGGGGGGGGGAGGGGGGGATTGAACGGATCGCATTTCCTGAACTGGCTCTTATTCACGAGTGGGTGTGCCTTGTTTGTCCGAAACCCTGACGGCTGAATGGTTTGACCTGCTCATACGAACGTTTCTGTTTTGGAGTTGGCACCCCTTTGGGCGTTGGTGTGGGAAACGAATAGAAAACCGGGCCAGTTGGAGGGTTTCATATCCATATCCTAGTTGGAGACAACCCATTTGTCCTTTGAGCGTTGCTGGGTGTTAGATGACGGTTCCCCATGGATACCTAGGGCATTTGGCCCACAAGCAGCTGGGCTGATTTTGTACTTCCTGTTTTGTGTTTTTGGTGTTTTTTCCTTCATGGGGGTGAATTTGAATTCGTTGTTGGGGGGGGAGTCATGTCCACCAACCATTTTGCTGTGGTTGTCAACACCGTCTTGGGATCCCATTTTGGTTGGCAGGTGAATTTTCACCCCAATTTTAAGACCTATTTTAGTGGGGATTGAATCGGATGTTCGCTGGGCACACGGGGTTTTGACCCATAGGCATTTGGGAGGGTATGCCTTGTCAAATTGGTTGTCTCCATTTCCCCACGACCGTTGCTGCGGAACCTGACAATGACACCACAGAGGTAGCGAAAAAGATGGTCTTGGGTCCAGTTTGCCTTTTGGGGCCAAATGTTCCTTGCTGCGGACTGAGCCCTTGGAAAAGTTCGGGCGCTGCTTGTGCACGCACAGGGAACTCTGAAAAACCTGGCCCAAGTACAGGACGGGACCTATTCAAGACAGCCCCCCCTTTGCAGGGATCCCCTTAGGCCAAAATTTCCAATGTCCAGAACCCCGACTGATGGAAGAAGAAGCTTTCAAGGAAGTGAGGTTGCTGGGACCAATATCGAGGACTGAATTTCACATCATCCCATGAAAGTGACGCAGCTTGATTGAGATTTATGACTTTCACTCTAAGTACCTCACCCAGTTATGAACATGCCTATATATATATATGTATGTTCCAGGCCGCGGACACCCCCCCCCCCTCCCCTCCCCCCCAACCCCCCCCCCCTCACCCCCACCCAGTTCCAAAATCTTTCAGAGTCCTGAGGCGATGCTGCCGTGATCTGCCTGCAGGAGGCCTCTGCACCTTGGCAAGTGAGTCTTCGAAACCGTTTTTTTTTCGTCGGAGAACTTCCGGGATTTTGAGGCGCCGGGGTTCTGAGGATAGATTTAATCGGAGCCAGTAAAAAGTATCGCCTTCACCAGAAGCGGATCCCTTGCACAAGCTGCTGGGTTTTGGATGTATCGTTTCAGGCACTCTAGGCACGGCTTAGTTCTGGACGAAATCCGCGGATGAAAATATCCTTTTCTGGGGGCTTCCCGAATTTTCAGTTTGGGATGGATAATTCACCCAGATTCAGAAGACGTGGCCAATGATGCATCATTCACCCCTGAATTATTGCACTTGAAGAACTTGGTGGCAAACAACAATGTTAGACTTCTGACCAATCCACTCAGAAAGAAAGTCTAGCGGTTAATGTGTGACCCAAAATTCTTTGCAACTGGCCTTCTTTTGTTTGCCCTGGGTGTTGGTGGGGTTCTGGAAAGACGGATTTTTGGGAAGGAATGGGGACGAGACTAGAAGCATTGCTAGAAGTTAAATAGAAGTAACTAATACCTAACTTACTAGAATGGGGAAGTAACTAGAAGTATTCCCAGAAGTATTACTAGAATGTGGAAGTTACTAGAAATCAATTCGTGCAGAGTCCCGGCAACAGTCAGAGCCCGTTTTGGAAGCTTTTGCAACCCTTTGGAACCCAAGCTAACTGGTTCAGGGGCCCACTCTGGGCGCTAAAAAAAGCGGTTGGGTGGGGGAAGACGCACACCCCAATGCTGTGGATTGTTGGCCGTTTCTTTCACATGCCTTCAAAAACGAAGTCTAGTGGGTCCCAAGTGCCCATGTGGTTTGCCTTTGACATCGGATGCATTTGAAGAAGAGAAGAAGAAACTGGCCACGGGGGTTTGCAGCTGGGAGGACTTGGGCATGACTTACCAGCCAGAACTAAGCCTAAGAAAACCAAGAAAAAGCCCCTAATAAGGCCTATAAGGTTTAATAGGTGATAGCCCCAATCCCCCCCCCCACCCCCCTACCCAGCCCCTGCTTTGCTCGCCCAAGTATCAATCTGGGCATCACACCAAGGCAGCCTACATCGAGTCGTTGCGCAAATGGCCGACGCACCATGTATATGCCAAGGCTGGGCGAGTTGTTGTTTTTGGGGATATATTTTTGTATGGAGAGACATTAGGACCCCCCCCACCCTTACGAAAGGTTCCCAGAACTCTTCCAAGAACCTGGTCTCAGAAGCTTCTTAGAACCTACGGTGGTGTCAAACATCGTCGTTTGTTTGCCAGCTCCAGGTGAGTATAATCATCTTAGCGTGTCCCGACTTGCGAACATTGGCGCATGTGTCTACGCCAGTTGCGCATCGTCACGAAGTGGCAGGTTCATATGGATCGTCCATTTAAGCAAAAGTCTAGGTGATTTTTCTGCTGCTGCCTCAAGGCGCCCTATAGATCCCCCGAAGACGTCTTCAAGGATTCGCGATTAAGAAGCTTTGAGGCCAATGCTGGTGTTGAGGGCGCCAGGCGAGGTTTTGCCAATTTTTCTTTGGTCCCGCTTTCTGGTTCCAAGTTTGGTCCATCCAGATTTGGGCGACTGTGGACCCCTTGAAAAGGTGCCAGCATCGTTACGTTCCTAGTAAAAAGTTCCCCATACTCAGCGGGGTGGGGGCGGCATGCGGCCTTGCCGTTTGCCCAAGGATCCTTTTTCTTCCAGGCTTTATTACCGGTCGCAAACGGGATTTGTCCAAGATCTGCAGGGATTAGGGTTGGGCAAACCTTGATGCAACAAGCCTGCCATGCCCCCTTTTTTCGAGAAAACAAAGTTGGTTGTTGAAACCATAGTAGTCATACCACACAAGTCCCCTAAATCGGTTTTATTGTATTATCTATTTTATGTGAATATATATATATATATATATATATGCAATATGTCATGTAAGGGATGTTCAGAGTTTCCAACCGAGAACTGGGCCAACGACAGCCACCAGCCACGAGCTTCAGGTGGATGAACAGCGAGACCAGAATTCCGCCGTGCTGCTGAGTTGGGGCCTCGGCAAAAGCAAGCCGGAGGAATCTCCCACCAGAGTACGTCCAGGAGTATGACTGGGGTAATTGTCCGAGGGTGGAAGTACATAGCCCTTGTTCATACCCCTTGGCTTCCCTGGTTTCCAACCCACTTTATAAGGGGTATGAACATCAGCAGGCTTTCTGGATTCATTTGTCCAAGGGGTATGCGAAAGGGGTATGTACAAGCACTGACAAGCACCCCTGGAAATTAGGCGTACTCTCCGCATAACCATGGTTATGACGTACTTGCTTAAGTAGCTGGAAAACTCAAGTGGAGGGGTCCCATGTTGGTTAGTTTCAACAGGGAAACTAAAGGGGAAACCAACCACTTTGGGGAGGAAGCTTTACGAAAGGCCAGTCTCAGTCCGAGACAAAACCCACCTCCCCGGCTCAAACCCTCACTTCGGGTTTTCCCCTTTTGATGCCATCAAACAAAGGTCTGCTCCCAATGTGAGGATATATCGCCTATGTTCAAAGTTGCCTTTCTCGAAATGATGTTGGCTCGCTGCTGTGGATTACCCCCTGTCCAACAAGGGAAGCTGACGATCGGAGGGCTTTGGCAGACCACCTTCGTCTTGGAAAGGCCTTTTGCCTATAGGGTTACCCAAAACACATAGGTTCTAGGAGGAATCACGGACCCCCATACCGTATTTGGGCAGGCCTTTTTGAGGGCACGAGCATGAACAAGTAGAATTGAGTTGCGGGGTACTTTTAACCCAAATTACCTCATGATCATGCGGCGAGTGCTTCGTGGCCAACTTTTTAGCCAACCTCATGTTTGGCGAACCCTGAGCTGAGATCGTCCATCAGACGCCTCACCAAAAGGTTCTGAACACGCTAGGCGAGGTCCCCAGTTGTGCCCTTTTGCCCTTTTTTGTGGGAGGGTTCCAACCTTCTAAAATAGACTACAGAAAAAAGGTTGGTACCCTTATTCTACCCTCGCTACTGGAGGACCTAGTAGGTCTTTACATCTCAAGCTACTGGCCCTCACATGCGCGATGGCCCAAACCGTCCGAGAGACCCGCGGGAGTCTCCTGTGCAGGCTGCTGAATTTATTCGGCTCCGGAAAAGACCAAAGGAGCGCGACCAGGTTTTCCAGACCAAAGCATTGGCCGTGACCCACATGAAAAGTTTGAAGGCTTTGTTTGTAGAGACTCGCCAAGTGTGGACTCAACCAAGGGAAGTACCCTTCAAAGTACAAATGGAGAAGGGTCACCTACACTTCCCACCTGTCGGCTTTGCAAAAATTCAAACATCAAATGACGTCAGTTCCTACGTTCCATTTCCCGGAACCGGCCTTTTGGAAGCCAAAATCGGCCCTGCGCCTGGAGCCACGGATCCGAAGCGAAGCGGGGGTTTTTGGAGGCACTCGCCCGTGGAAGCAAGGGAACGACCCTAAGTAGAAATGGAGAAGGGTCACCTAGACTTTCCGTGTCCCTTTGCAAAGCGAAACAGGACAGTAATGTTTTATTCCATTTCCTAGACTTCCCACTTGTCGGCTTTCCAAGAATTCAAACATCAAATGACGTCATGTCCGTTCCATTTCCATTTCCGCAAGAAAGCGCCCTGGCGGTGCACGAGGCAAGGCTGCCTTCCCGTCGGGTGCCCAGGAGCCCGGAGCGGGGGTCGTTCGGAGGTCCCAAGGCCTTGTGCGGTCCATGGGTAAAAAAACTCGCCATGGTCACGGTGCTTGGAACAGGCTGGTTCTTTTTTTTTCTTTTTTTTCGGTTATTGTGGTCTGCCCTGGCTCTTTGTTTGTTCAGCCACACCCGTGTTGCTAAGATGTCGCTGAAGCGCTAGAGCGGATCAACGGAGGAAATGGCCACTCACCAAAGGGCGCAGGGGTTGGTCTATGTTTCTTGGCTGCGCGGGTTAGATGGATCTTGAGAGTTGTTTCTCTCATTTCCCACACAGCAAGAGTCAAACTGTCGCGTAGCGTTGAGCCATCCAGACTTGGTCGAGGCCCCTCCCCAAGGCCTCACCTTTCGTTTGCAGGTCCTTTAGGCAGTGCTTCGCTCGGAAAAGAGTCGGTGGCTTGTGCAGGCATGAGAGACTATGGGAGGCCCCAGTTGCTCATGGAGTTACTCATGGAGTTACTCATGGAGTCCGCATGGATGTTGCAACGAAATACTTGGGTGTTTTTGTTGTTGTGTTTTGCGAAAAGAGGATTGGACCCCTGCAATGGTTGGTTCCTTTCAAGACTCAAGCAAATGAAGATTCACGTTTCATGGGGGTCATTTGTTGCAAAGTAATTTTGGGCCAAAAATTGGATGAACTGTGTTGTCCTTTGAGCCCAACCAAAATGAGGTCAACATACACCAAAGGGGTCCAATCCTCTGACAGGGGTTCTTCCATTCCCCTTGTTGGAACCTCTAAAAGTGGCAGTTTTTCGGTGGAAAAAGCCCGGAAACAATCTTTGGGGCAATTTGGGTTCCATGTTGATCTGAGGAGTTTCTGTGTGGCCCAGACAAAACCCTTTGTAAACTGTTTCCAGGCAAGTGGGTTACAGGAAAATCCTGTTCGGGGGTCAGCCCGGCGCTTTTTCCATCCCTAAAGTCAAAGCTGAGTGGTTTCCTGGGTGCCCCATGTCCATCAAGCCTTCTCAGTAAAGATCCTTTTCCTTGCCCCATGGTTTGCTTTATTTCAGATTGGTGATATTGAGATGTCAGCCAGAATCATGCGACCGGAGCTTGTGGATGCACAAACTGTCGGTTGCCCTGGCCGTATTCTGAGCCTATCCAGGGGCCCAAAACGAACCTTCTCGGCGGATGTGTCCCATCGGGCATAGTGGTTTGCGCAGATTGGCTCTTGCGTTGGGAACGTCGACCCCGGAGTCCTTAACTTGGGGGAGTTACTCACTTCCCAAATTCCCGAGCTTTTTTCACTTTTTGGGTTCGCACCGACAGTTTGGTTCCCGTTCTTTGGCCCTTCGATCGGAAGTGAGTTTCTGCGGGGGGGGGTTGCCCCCAAGCGACGGATCCTATCGGCACGCCATGGACCCTTCAGGAGCTCACCGAAGATGTGATCTCCGCGCTGACCGGCACACCGGTCGAGGCGGGGGTCGCCTGGGGAGGTTTCTGGGGAGTGACCCTGGGGAGCGTAAGGTGAAGAAACATCAGAGAGAATATACGAATCAAACCCTGAGCACACAGAAACTGGTTTAAGCAAGCACTTCCCTCGGACCTTCCCCCACAAAGAGAGGGAAGAACTGTTACAACAACCAAGACCCCAGTGATTCGACCCCTTTTGCCTACCATGCCCTTCGAGAACTCCTAGCTCCTGAGCTCCCTCTTTAAGAGCAAACTTGCATACCCCCAGCATCCCCCAGCTCCTTAGCTCCCTTACCACCAGCTAGTTGTTTGGTTCCTTTTTGGCATGGGCGCAACAAATTGGCACTGTTGGCGCCGTTGGCACTTTTGGCACTTTTGGCCTGGGTTTAGTTCTTCAAGTCTTTGTTGGGTGCACCTCAAAAATCCGACCCAAGCAAAGTGCCTTACGTCCCCGTGCCCGGCCGGAGCCGCTTCCGCTGCCAGGCCGGCGACCTGGTGGCGGTGCGCGCAGAGCACGTCTCGGGCAAGAGCTATTTGATCGCCTCCTTCCATGGGGACACCAACGGCCAGGCGGAAAGCGGAAAATGCTCTATGCGCCTGACAAAGGGCTCAAAAACCTCCAGTCTTCCGGGAGCTTTCCAGGTGCAATGGTGGGGGAAAGGATACTTGGGTGTTTAAGCTTGTTAGTAAGTAGATTTCCACTAGGTCCCCCAGCAATTGGTGCCAACTTGGACAACTTCTTTTTTGGGGGGAGGGTTCCCCTCAAATAGACTACAGAAAAAGAAAAGGAAAAAAAACAAAAAAACAAAAAAGTACCCTTACTCCAACCTCCTCTCCACTGGAGGACCTAGTCAAAATGACTTCTTCAACACTTGAAAGGGCATTTCCTTGGCATCACAAAGCACTAGATGGGCGTTTCGAAAACTGGTTGGAACCTGCACATGGCTCCTTTTGGTTCTCCTTTCAAACCCATGCAACGGGAGGAGATGCATACTGAAGTACCGTCCTTCTGGGTTGAAAATTGGAAAGCGAAGGGAAGGCGGGGTTCCGGTTTAGGAGACAGTACCCTTTTTGGGTGCACAGAAAAGAAAGCCAGAGGATAAAACACATCTTGCACCTCAAGAAACACGTCCAGGTTTTCCTGTGGTTTTCGTTCAATCCCAGTCCATGATTAGGGCTTGTCCAGCGGAATTGGCTTGCAAATGTGTGCAGAATTTCCGTTTGGCCATCTTGGCGAACGCCAACAAAGGATCTCTCCAAACATCCACCATGGGTCAAAGAACAACACGGGTTCTCCTTTTGAAAACCACCGTGGAAGAAAACGCAAACCACTTTCAAGGGCTTAGGCGATGACACCCATTTTGGCTCAGAGTCCTCAAATGTCCGCCAACGTCTCAGGCGTTTCCTGAGATGTCCTCAAAAAGCCAGCAACGCCGCGTTGGGCGGCTTTGGCGTTTGGTTTCTGCCCTGTGCTCAACCCAAGGGCCGTCCTTCCTAGAGACAAGTTTCTTCCTTCCTTCCTTCCTGCCTTCCTTCCTTCCTTGCTTCCTTATCTCACGAGTCCATTTTAGTGCCAAGCTTTTTGGAACTCCAGACAGTCGCGCATCTGTCCCATGGTTGAGAACGTTGTTGGCCAAAAGGCTTGAACTTGTTGGTGTGCTCCCCCGTCCATTTGTCTCACGGCCACTTTGTGGTGGCCGTTTAAATTCCCCGGTGAAGGGCCCGCAAAGGGTACCAACTCCACATATATATGTATAATAGAGAGAGAGAGAGAGAAAGAGGGAGAGCGAGAGAAAGAGAGAGAGAGAGAGAGAGAGAGAGAGAGAGAGAGAGAGAGAGAGAGAGAGAGAGAGAGAGAGAGAGCGCATCCCATGTTGACGAACTATGTAAGGCCTACTCAAAAGCAGGGTTCTCATGGCAAATCCCAAAGCGGCCTTTTGCGGGGGGTCCATTCCCGGCGCCAAACATCTGGAAATCCCGTTGAACAGCCAGGCCACAGCTCCAGTGCTGAGGCGGGCCGGTGGGCTGCGTTTGGCCCAAGTTTGGTTTTGCACAGCCCCAAAACTGGTGTCCCTTGTCCATTTTAGGTACCGATTTTTGACACCCAGGTGCCCTCTGATCCATTGCGTCTTGGAACAAAGGCGTTTGCTATTATGAACCTAGGTCCCCCAGCAATCGGTGCCAACTCTTACCAATTCTTTTTTGGGGGAGGGTTCCCCTACTAAAATAGACTACTGGAAAAAGGGTACCCTTGTTCTAACCTCTCTACTGGAGGACCTGGTTATTATGAACCGAAGGCGCGGTTAAACACAAGGCCAAAACCCAAAGGGAGAAAGCTTGTGAAAATGGTACCAGGCCGAGTTTTCCACCCTTGACAGCAACCCTGAGACGGGAACTGCCAGTTTCTTGGACGGGTTTTCGGACATCTACGTGCCAAAAGCTAGGCATCGGCAGGTCTCAAGTGACCGTTTGGTCTTCCCTGTGGCTTTCCTCGGCAGAGGTGAAGCCTTCCAGGTCCCCTTAGCACTGCAAGAGTTGCAGGTGGCGAGTGTTCTTGTTCTCACTTCTGCTTACGAGGTGTGTGCCTCAGGCTCCGTACCCGAAAAAGGCCCAAGCCCTGGGAGGCGATCTTTTCAAGTGTCTGGGGTCGCGATTTCCGACCACTGCCTGGAGAAGCTCGCTCGATTTTTGTTTGGAGCCAGAAACAGGAGAAAGGCGGAATTCGATGTTCAGACCTTCCAGCTTGAAGCGTCAGAGGAATTAGTGAAGTTGCTTGCCGACGACATCTATGCTTGAACAACGTATGTAACAACATGTAACAACATGACGTGGCAGGAGCAACCTGTTTATGCGAACTTAGGAGAGAGCAAAGAGCTGAGATTCTCTTCAAGACATGCTGAGTCTTCAAGCGATAGAACAGTCACTTTCTTAATGAGACATGGCAGAGACGGAAGAGCAGCTGTTTTAGGACAGACTGTTTATGTTAGAAGAAATCAACATGAATAGAAGCGATAGCGTGTAATACAGTGTGTCTACTACCCATGTCCTTTAGACTCACATGGATGTGTTTGGGTGGTTTCCTTGAGGATACTCTTCTTTATGTTGGTTCGATGGGAAACCAAACGGAAACCCACCACTTTTTTTCGGGTCCATATCCTGGTTGTTGGGAAACATGTTATTTGCTTGAAATCCAACCACCGAGCTGCCAAAATGTATGGTAACATGTGATTTGGTGGTTGAAATCCAACCACTGAACTGAACCACTGAACTGAACTGGTTTGAGAGTTGTGGCTCCCCTTCCTCCCTCCCAACGTCAACCCCATACCAACGGCGCCGCAGGGCGCTGCACAAAGTTGGGGGCGAGGTGCTGGTGGGCATGGATGCGTCTTGGAAAGACAGGGCCTAGCTGTCCCCCAGCAATCGGTGCCGTTTCTTTTACCCTTTTTCTTTTTTGGGGGAGGGTTCTTATTCTGAAATAGACAAACCAGCAAAAAGTTGGTACCCTAACCTCTAACCTCTCAAATCTGGGGGACCTAGAGGCGTTTGCGACTCCAACCTTCCATGGCTTTCAGGCTTGACTGCCTTTTGGGTTGGATCTTTAGACTTCAACTTGTTGGGGAGGTTTTTGTGTTTTCCACTAAACCCTCAAACAGTCAAGCTTTTTGCAGGGGGGTCAAAAGCAACCAAGCAGGCATACCCCCACCTTTCGAGGTTACTTAGACGGTTCACATACTCCAAGTTCCACAAGTTGGAAGCAACCAGGGTTCGAGTCCAAGGACATGCCAGGAAGAGTACACATGGGGAACTGGACCCTAGCTTTGGCCTATTGGGGGGGGCCCACTGGTTCGACACCCTGAGGGGACTTGGGGGGGGGGTCCATTTGGCTGCGGGTCAAAAATAGGTACCCAACATGGATCGCTGGTAAATGGAATCATGGACTAAAACCTGCGTTCCCCTGGTGGTTTACTTTTCACTCATACCCATTTGGCAGAACAGGGGACCCTGAGCATGCACATCTGTTGTATAATTGCAGTTGTTTGCTGAATTGTGCAATTCCAACAACAAATGACAACACACGCACATGAACAAACAGGAGAACAGGCCAAAACCAGACTCCAACATTCCTTTGTTTTCTGGTTTTCGGCCTCAGGAACACAAAAAGTCGGACAGCCAAAAGAAAGAAGACAAGGAAAAGAAAGGCACGTCCATGACCTGCCTATCTTCAGGCGAGCGTATGGTTGTTGTTTGTTGTTTTGATGGAATGTCTGCTGGTTTTTGCGGTGTTCCTCGGGCTCACCCTGAAAGCCAAGAAAGTCAGATAAAACCAGCCATAACAAAACAGAGCGCAAAACGGTAGTTGTGACCTGACATTGTCTCAAAGTAACATAAATCCGACTTAAATGATCTGACCATCATTCTGGAAATCATCAGGCAAAAGTCAATATACACTTGTTTGCTATGATCGGCATGCTCAATTTGGCCAATGTGAATTCATTGAATACAAACACATGAACAGTCATAGCAATCTTTGTTAGCCATGTGTCGACCAAAAACATATGTCGCTGCACACATCATTGAGTCAGATACGGCATGCTTCTGAACTATGGATCTGTCAAATTGCCTGCCATATAGTAACTAAATTGATGTACCATGTCACTTTAGTTTCAAGCAAAGTGCGTTGACCATGTTTGACCTTTCAATCGCAGAATCATTGATATGTTGGTACCTTTGACGATCATTGACTTTGACACAGTTTCTAAAATTCCCCGATATTAAAATGCAATTCATGTGGCAGAAATGACACGAGCAGTGTTAGTTTCTGTGAAAAATTGATGTTCAATCTATTGTTCATACAGTAGAACTCGGAAAATGGTTGTCAAACACATGTACATGTACTACCAGAACCTTGCAGAAACTGAAAGTAACCGAAAGGTGGTTGAATCACATACACCTGTTCAGTCGTCATTCCTTCCTTCCTTCCTTCCTTCCTTCCTTCCTTCCTTCCTTCCTTCCTTCCTTCCTTCCTTCCTTCCTTCCTTCCTTCCTTCCTTCCTTCCTTCCTTCCTTCCTTCCTTCTTTCCTTCTTTCCTTCTTTCCTTCCTTCAATGCATAAAACCCTCCATGGGTGGGCCTGGCCCTTAAGCCAAGTCACCGGTAAGTGAAGTGAATTGGAGCATGTCTTTCCCAGAATTCTAGCATGGAACTCTCATTTTTGCTACGTATGTCTAAATTTCAGGACATGTAGTCGGATGCAATACTATAAGAGGCTATGCCCAATATGCTGAATACGCATTTGGTGCGCTCTGCTATGTTAAGTCATTGTTGGACGGGCTTGCTGAACATGTTGTTTCCCCTTGTTTAAGGCAATGCAACATGTAGACACTTGTCATTTTATGAATAGAACCAATCCAAAGCTTAGTTGAGTTGGCTAAGTCTAACTAGCAAGAACAGTTGAGTGTTTATGGTAGCAAAGCAAATACACACAAACACGCACACCAATGCATGAGATGGCAGCACGTTCACAGTTTTTCCGGGGGTTCCGAATGATGAAAACTGAGGCCCTTAGCAAGGAACAACATGACAACTAACCTACGCTCGACTTGGAAATATACAAAAATCCAGCTGAGTCTGAGCTGTGTGTCTTCGAGCTCGAAGACCGAGGGCAACCCTACCCGTAGCGTATACTGCTGACGTGTTGTATTGTACCAGAAGCTCCTCCTCCGCATCCCGTGCATCACCCTGACACAGGTCAGCCAGACATTTGGATCCCCAAACATCCCCGACATCCCGTGCCTTGCAACGGGCTCCTGATGCCAAGGCGGACATAGCGGGCATGTGTGCGATCAAGTGAGCCAGGTTTCTGCGAAAGCGAGGCCGCCGCCACTGTGCGGGAAACATCGCAAACACCGTGTGTTTCTTCATTTTTCCACGGGGCTGAGAGGGGATGCCGTGGATGGAGTCTTCGTCTGATTGGCTTTGGGCGTGCGTCTGTGAACGGTGTCGTGTGGTTCTCAAGTTGGCCCCGGACCTTGTTTTGACTGGCAGATTGACAGGGCAGTCGTCCAGGCGTCCAGCTGAGTCTCACCAAAGGGGAGTGTCCCCTGAGCAATCAGGAAGGCTCTGAATCAACGGAGATGTCATTCTTACCAAGTGCAAGATTCCTAGTAAGGCGAACACCTACCTCACCGGCAGCTCCACTCTTTATGGAGTCCAGGACTGAACCCACCGACTGCGTGTATCTGACCAAATTGCAGGCTCAGGTAGAAGTTGAATTGCTCTCTGGGGTCTAGACCGTTTTCCTTTTCCCTTGTAGGACCCGAGCCAACAGGGGGGGTGAAAGAGACGCCCTACTCACATTCCACCAGCTTCGAACGTCTTAATGACAACGGTCACTTCAAAAGCCCTGCAAGAGTAAGAACAGACCCGAGTGTGCTCGTGCCACACACAGAACACAAGAACTACAGGGCGAAGTACTATAGTTCACAACCAGAAATAACAGCACTCGTTTAAGGAGCACTTCATCAGAAATGAGCTTGTTTAATGCCTGATCGAAGTGACACGTGGCCGCAAGTTCTACATCCATGGTTGGGCCAGCCAAAAAAAATCAGGATGTTGTTTGACATGGAGGCTCATGTGGCGACACGTAAAGAGGAACGGTCTGTTCCAAAAAAGCAGCTGTAGAACTTCCCGTTTCTGGTGCCTACAGAAGCATGCATTTCCAATGGAAGTTGCTAGGGACCGTTTGTGCCTTTCTTTTCGAAAACTTTGTTGGGTTGGTTTTCTGCGGGATATCCACATGAACAGGGGCCATTTTCTGGCAAGCCCCTGTCAATGCTCAAGTTGCCATATCTTGGCCATCTAAATACCAAAAGGAGACTGTTTCAATAGCAAATGGAAGGACATCTTTCTAGTGCTACCTTCCCCATTCTTTCCAGGGATCCTTCTTTCCAGAAAACCTCCGGAATCCCAGGGAAACGGCCGGTTTTTGAAAAGAACGATGGTTGAAAAGAATGGAAAAGGAATCAACCCTTAGAATATTTGAAACCAGGGGGTTGAAGCGCCAATTGCAGAATCGCAGGAGTTCCTCGGGGAATGCCGAGGCGACTGCAGTCAGTTCGCCCGAACTGCCGTTGGCAGAGGTTCGTTTCCTGCTGCCCATTTCATGGTGAGTGCACCCGGGAGAAATAAAACGTGCTCATCATGCAGGTCCTTTACTGGGGGGCGTCCCTTTCAGATTTTGACATGATGGCAAAGACATCACGATTCCTGGCCTAAACCCTCCAAAATCCTCCAGACCCCTCCAGACCCCCGACCTAAACCTCCCAGACTGGCTCAAGCCAAAGGTGATGCTTGGCATCGGACCCCAGGGCATGTTTGGAACCCACGCTCGAGCTGAAGGAACCCAAGTGAAAGAGGGGACCTCTAGAAACCACCTTCCGTTTCCATTCACCCAAAAATCCGGAGCTTTCTAGCAAACCACCCGAAAAATCCCGGGGAAGTGGCGATCGGTGGTTGAAAAGAACGATGGCTGAAAAGAATGGAAAAGGAATCAACCCCGAGAGTACCCGGAAATGTGCACAGCATCCGGGCAAGCCACACCTCGATCAAACTGAGTTCGATGTTCCAAGTTGGTTAAACGTTCCACTCCTTCTCCACAACCCGTGCATTTCCCCTAATGGCATCCCCGGAAAGAGTTTGGGCTAACCCGAATTTGGGACCAGCGGAGGTGGCAAAGGGCTCATTGAGCAAAGGATGTTTGCTATTCCCAATCGCTACCAACAGCATCAATGATATTCAATCAATTCGCTACACACAAGCCACTGTAGCAAGGCAAACCAATGCAAAAACAAAACGCTTCACAAAGCAAACAACAAGACACAAAAAGATAAACAAAGATGAACACAGCAAAGTAGACAAAGAACGAAAAACAAAAAACAAAAGCAAAAAAATGCCAAGGCGTCCTGTGGTTTTGTAACCCCCAAAATGGTGGAGGCTTGGGCCTTCGTAGCTGCTGGCCAGAGGCACGTCGATGGGACTGAGTCTGGTTATCTAGGGTCCCCCAGCGAGGTGCCAAGTTCCTTTTTTGGTTGGGAGGGGTCAAACCTACTAATACAAAGGATGCTGTTTGTTTAATCCAGAATTTACAGGGGCCAAACGGTTCACTGCGGTCTGCTCCAAAATGGTGTTATATATGTTGGGGGTAGACTATATAGAAGCAGAACCCGAGCATATTGTACACTGGAGTGAGGTGGTACGGGACCCCAGCAAATGAAAAAGAACTTGTTGATTTTCATTGGGGGTTGCAACTCAGGCTTAGAGCGAGTCGTTGACTTGAAAGGGGGCGCACTTGGATGTCCAACCAAGTCAAGAGCTCATCAATTTTCTGTCGGGCTTCAATGAGACCGCCGATGGATGTTCTGGAAAAGCTCCTTCCAGCAGATCAAAAGTGACTCGTCGAACAAACATGCGGTTTCCTTTGCGTTTCCTTCACCAGGAGCCAGTTGTGCGCCATTGTCCGTTCCGGTCGAATGGGAGCAAAAGGGAACATTGAGTACACCTGGCTGAAACGGCTGAACCTTGGTCCCACATAAAGGCGACGCCCATTTGAGTTGGTGTTTCTTGCAGCGCAAGCGGGCTGCGCCCAGGAGCACCCGAAACTCTCTCAATCCCAGAAGTGGCGTGCGGCTCTTTTGTGCGTCCAATGGATATGTGGGGTTTTGTTTGAGGCTTGGCACCCCGTCAGGCAAGTTCCACAGTCTCTCCTTGTATGCGACGCCCCAAGTTGCGCCCGTAGGGACGAAGACCGTCTTGGCGCCATGTTCGGGCCAGGAAGATATGTCCAAGTACCTTACCACCTGCAACGCCCGCACCTTCCTGCAGCCGCAGCTGAACAAGGCCTGCTTCGAGAGCGGTTTGTTGGGGGGGGGGGTCCAAACGAAAACCGCAGGGGTCCCCTGTTCGCGAAAAAAATCCTCAGATTTGTCTTGAACATGTTGAAAAGGAGCTGGGGACATTTCAGAGCTATGCCCCCCACATGACAGGCCCACCCCTTTCCCCCCAAGACTCCTAGCGCAGAGGAGCTTGCCTGCGCTGTCCGGGTTTAATACAACAGCATAAGTTTAAAACCGGATGTGTCTTGCCCTGCTACGGGGGAAAGGACCAGATGCGACTCCGCTTGACTCTGCGACTCCGCGTGGGTGAGTGGGTGGTTGTTGTGGCTGGGTTGGTTGCTGGGTGTGTTTGGCTTGGATTGAAGCAAAGTTTGGTTGTTTGGGTGCGTGCAGGTGTGGATGGTGTATAATAGTATTATTATTATTTTTCGGGCGGTGTGTTTTGTTTGGGTTGTTTGCTGTTTCACGTCGCAATAGTTTGTAGACTTTGGACACATGTATGGTCCTGAAAGTGCAGGTTTCCTCTTGGTATGCGTTTTGGACCACCATTTGCACAGCGCAATTTGGAGGATGTCACTTTCCCAGTCGAGCCCAACTCAAGGGTCAAGAGATGTCCCTGTTTGGGTTGCACATTCGGCTTTTAAGAAACGTGGCCCAGCTGGTCAAAGAACAGAAAGTGCTCCAGCTGAGTTTTCTGGAGGTTGCGAAAATCCATGCTGTCCCATGCTGGTGTCGCTCCTAAAGCCCTCGGCAAAGTGGATGTCATGCCCAAGAACTGAGGCAAGTTCATATCGGACACGCAACCTTTTCGTGATCCCAGCAAAGGGGACCCTGTTCTTTCCGGGTTCTTGGCAAGCAGCAGGTTCAAGCTTAAACGGTTGGTGGAGTTTCGAGTTAGCGGGGTGGTGTGTAATTAAAGGGGCATTTGCGGGGCCGTGCCTAAAAAGTGACTTTACAAGCATCGCCTCAACCCTGAAGTGAAAAGAAGTTCCTCAAAAGGCCAGAAGAAAGAGTAAGACTGCAGCGCATAGTTTGATTTGTGAGTTTACTGCGGGTCACGTTCAAAGAGGAAATATAGGAAGCCTTGACCAACAAGTGGGCTAGAAGTGTTCACCTGCGTCTTAGACTTGGGGGAACGGTCAGTTTGGTTGAAGGATGAATTCCACTATGTCAACTTGGTTCCAGCCATCTATACCCTTTATACTCCATCTTGCCCCAAAATCTTCATGGTCACCGGAGGTCCAGCTCTGGACGGGCCCCACCCGTCCCGTTTTCGCGGTTTTTCTTTTTGGAGCCTGTGCCACTCCAGGCAGTTCCCAGCTCCAAGAAGCTGGAGAAAGGCGATGTGAACCCCAAGGAGTGAAAGATGGGCGAGTTGGTTCCCGAAATCCCATGTCGGTTCTCCAAAACTCGACAAACAAATCGGACGACGTCGGTCCTTCGCAGTGGTTCTCCAGTGCTCAACAAAAAGTTGGTCCATGTCGTTTCTCAGGCAGCTGGTCAATGTTCCGTGTGGCTTCCTGAAAGATTCAACCCAACGAGTCATAGTGACCAGTTTTTCTCCAAGAGCCAAGATGTTTAAAGTCGCAACAACCACAAAGCGATCAACTTGTTGAGTCACCCTTTTCATGTGCCCGGGCCAGACAAGACCCATATTCATTTTATTGGTTTTGAACATCACCTTTTCTAGGTCCCCCAGTAGGGCCCTTTTACCAACTTTTTGGGGGAGGATTCCCCTATACTCAACTAGACGACAGAAAAAAAAAAGGTACCCTTATTCTAACCTCTCGACTGGAGGACCTAGTTTCGGACCCTGTTAAAGTGGGGTGATATCTAAATGGAAAACGTAGAAGCAAGCAGTGCATTAAACATTAATATATATATATATATTAAAAAAAAAAAAAAAAAAAAAAAAAAAGCAAACAGGCAAGTGCATCGAAAGGCAAGGTTGCTTTCCGAGAAGCCAAACGGAAGGCGCGAATGCTTCCGACCTCAGCTCCTGATCCTTCTGTCGATGGGTTCGGGATATGGGGAGCTCTCGAAATGTCAAGCACGAATGCCAGGGCGCTTCAGCTTTTTGCAAGCTGATCGGACCACATGCCTTAGCCTCTGCAATGGCCTTCCCGAATTAAGCCATAATGATTGATGGGGTTGAGTGCACGGGTTTATATCGCAAGTTCACAGATTTAGCCTTTGACCTTGTGAGAGTCTCCAAATCCAATCCAAACAAAGTCCAATCGTTTCTCTCGGGTCATGGAGGGCGTTTATTGGGGTGTGGGAGCCGACCGTTCCCCAAATTGTTCTAAGTACCCTTTTAAGACGCTCTTCGCTTCGAAGAGACTTTCCGTGATTGTTGGGAAAGGGCCTTTGAAACTTTCTCGAAGGTCTGGCGAGACAGACAGCGCCAGGACCACATCGTCTTCAACCTCGGCAGCTTCGAACCAGTGCAGGTGATCAAGGCAGGGAGGTGGGTGGATCTGCTAGTGGCTGTATCTCCAAGTGGAAGCCGAAAAAAGGGTTTCGGGTGGCCTTTTTGGTTTCCAAAGTTGAAATCCACCATTTGAGGGGAAGAGCGAAATGTGGTTTTCCTTTGGCTTGCCTTCGGGTGTTTCTGGTTCCCTGTTGGAGCCCAATCTTGGGTGCCGTGCTTAAAAGGAAGGCAAGGGGAAATTAAAGCCAAGTTTGTGGGCACGTCGTATCAAATGTTTGCAGACAAACCGCACTCGGTTCGACCGAAACCTGTTGACCATGTGGGACTTGTTCAAAGACGAACGTCTCCAGACACCAAGACCCCGAAAGACCTCCCCCAAGGGTCAAACGGTCAACCCGCCTTTTTGTGTCCACAGGCCGCATAAGCGGTTGCTGGTTTTGGTTTGAGACGAAATCAAAGGGGAGAAAGAAGCGCATGGTCCACGTTTGAGGCTCGGTAGGAATCATTTTAAAGGAAGGGGTCGGAAATCGTTGGGCGGCACCCCTGAGACCGCTCTTTGTGATACTTGGGCGTGGTTGGGAAGGGGAACCGTTTTCGTGCGTCTCGAGTCGGGCCAACCTGTTTTGAAACGTGTGGGCCGAACCTTCTTTTGTGCTCTTTGGCGCTGGTTTTGCAAGATCAGATGAATGTGAAGCAAGTTGCTTGGGAGCCAAGCAACATGTTCTCGCCTTTGTCCACCCATGTTACCCCCCCCTACCCCCCTAGCCCTCTTGCCTTTGTGAACCCAACCTCGGGCCCCCTTTCCCTGGACCCCCCACCCTACCCCCTGCTGAAAGGTCTCCGAGTTTTGGCCTTTTCTCGCAGGACAACACGGGCCAAGGGAAGTACATCGAGGCTGTGCGCCCTCCTCATGGGCCGATCCACCCACTCGCGGCGGGATCTTTTTTCCGAGCGATCGCTTTGCACCGAAGGACCACCAAGTGAATCCATTTGCTGAAATGAGCATTTTTTCGTATTTTCCCTTGCTGGTTTTAAAGGGAATCGATTTCACTACTGGAAATATGGTTATTTTGTCCAGGGGGCTCAAGTAAATGGAAGAGTGGGGGTTGATTAAAATGCCCCTCGATACCCAAACGACGATGGGTAGTTGTTTCCCATTGAGTGGGAAATATCATATCTTGAGTGGTTTCCCCAACGTAAGGACATTTCTTGGGAACCATAAAGACGGGGTCACCCAATCTGTTTGTTTTGGCTTGAACATTCTAGCTGTCTACTTCATGTTTTCGTCCTGACTTCTTGGGGCTGATTTCCCCATCCACCTCACCCATTCTATTCAGAAACCACACCATTGACCCCTGAGAATTTCGGAGAACATGTCCTAAGGATCCCTGAGAATGGGGAGCGTACGGCTTTGCCGGTTTCAGGGTTGTGTCACTTGCAGTTTCGGAAATCGTCCTGTTGACCTTCTCCGGTTTGGCTTCTCCTCTGTCGCGGCCCCCAGAGGCTAAGCTTTGATTTCTTGGGCGGACCCAAGAATCGTTTCCTTTCTGCATCAAAAAAAGTTGTTTATCTTTTATAGACGTGTTTTACACATATGGTGGGTTGATCAAAAGGTCCGTGATATATGGGGTGACCAAACCACCATGGGGCCAGGACTCTCCTGTCCACTTCCATGATTGTTGGAAAGAGGGTAAAGGCAAACCAAAGAGAATCAAAACAAATGGGAGGGAAAAAGTCTGCGGTGAAGAATCGATTCGACAAAGCTCGAGCTTTTGCCTGTTTGAATTGCTGCTGAGGTGCTTTCCCTCTTTGGCATTCCCCAGCGATCACGGCCTGATCGCGGCAGTTCTGAAGCCCTCCGCTCTATGACGGAAGCGATTCACCAGCCGCGTGAGGGACAAATCGCGGTTGGGTCGAAAAAATTATGTCGTACATGGGTTCTTATTGGTGTTTCTCAAAATTCAGGACCCCTTCAGGTGGCTAATGTCCTGTTTGGCTTCCCCTCAGAACCATCCCAAAAAGACCCATAGATGGAGAAACACCCCGGTGTATCCCTTATTCTCAATTACGCATCACCAACCTTTGGCTGAAGTTGCGAGGTATTTCGCCAAATGATCTCATGGGGTGCGGGACATGGGACTCGCAAAGCTCATGCAAAAAATGTTCTCCACATGATGGATCTCTCTAAGTCCCCTGGATGGCACAACTCCCTTTTGCTCGTTTCCACCTTTTACTTAACTCGAGGGGAAATGACGAAGCATGGTCTCCCCAGTAAAAGGCGAACCTTTTTTGCAGCGGTCAAGCACACTGCGAATCTGGCGGCTTGATCAATCCTTGGCCTTGGATGGTTTCAGACAGTTCCCATGTTTGACATGAACTGCTCTTTGGTTCTACACGTTTGACGTGTTTGACACTGACTATGTCTAACGAAGTTCAACTGGCTGAGTTTAAATGCGGAATGCCTTCTACATCCCCAAAATCTTGTCCACCACATCCCAGCATTCCAGCACGCACGGAGTTCTGCTCAATTTGGATATTCCTCACGGCAGCCCAGTCATCAGACACCAGCGCTGATTGCGCGTGCACATAGATTGGGTCGCCGGGGCGTGCCAACTAGTGCCTTGGGAAGAAAAAATGATTTTCTTTCCATTGGGTCCTTTTTGATTTCCTGCTGGTTTCTAGTATTTTGTTGAAAGTACCTTTGGATCGATTTCGTTGAAGCATGCATCCCCAACTCGTGTTGCGCGGACCTTGAAGACGAGTTGGCCCTGACTCTTGCATTCCTCAGTCACTGCTCGGGGTAGCCCAGGCTTTTCAGTGTGAGGTGCAAATTATGGCTTCAACGCTCGGGAAAAAAAGGAACTGCTTAGATGGTCCGGGACTTAGGTGTTCGTAACGGCGATAAGCCACCAAACCGGTGGTTGTAAGTCCCTGTTCTGTGGCTTATAACCAGGGGTTACTATCCATGGGGTTCCTCCCAGACCATCTAAGCATGCCTGTGCGACACGCGGGTAAAGTGCCATGGGCTTTGGGCAGGGACAAGGTCCTTATGCTGTGACTTTCAACATCACTTTTTGCTGGGGCCAAATCCCCAGTACGGACCGTATATACAGAATCCGAGCATCATATTTTGTGTGTACACCAAACATGGAGCAAGGTTTTGGCTCATTTCAGCTGAGTGCCCCTTAAGGAGAAATAGCCACGTTTCGGGGGTAGAACTTCCGTTTTGCGGGGGGGGGGGGGGGGGAGATCCAAAGGCCGTTTAAAGTGTGAAGAAGGTAGATCAAAAACAGGGGGACCACAAAAATTGTGGGTTTCCTGTTGGCTTCCCTTTCAATCCAAGTAAACCCTCCTGAAAAGGCTGCCCTCAAACACAACAGTCCTATCTCACTGCAGCTCCATCCTGAACGCCGAGGAGAAGCTGCCCTATTCTCACACTCCCGTCTCTCAAAATCAACCAGGGCTACTTAGATCCGAAGGGGTTCCGTTGATTTAGTCATCCTTTGAGCATCCAGGGTTCTCATGAGTCCGTTTGAATGAGTCATCCTTGGGAACACCCCTTTGAATTCAGTCGCAACCTCAGGGATTTGCCGTACGACTTTTGTCCCGTCGGTGAATTGTTTGCAACCTGGGACGCCCATCAGCCATGCCCAGTGCCTAACCTCGGCCTTCGGAAGATTGCGACCCTCGTGAAGCTTGCTTGTATAGAAATTGGGTGTCCTCTACTTTCAGATCAGCTATAATACTTGAGAGGGCAAAAACTATCCCTCGGGGAAAGTGCAGCATATAGCAATTTACATAGTATCTAGTGGCTGTACACCCATTTTCCCTTGCTAGAATCCCACATTGCACGCGTCTTGCGATTGCCATGCCAGGCTGCGGCGGAAGTTCACCGATGCGAGTCGGAGCGGCCGGATCGATCCGCATTTCGTACCCAACTGAGCGCCCAAAAGCAATCCTTGTTTGCCCGCTTTCATAAAAGGTGGTTAGACTGCCGGGCTCATGGGACTTATAGTAAGCGCTATACAGAGCCGGTCGGCTCTGGTTTTTCAAAGGGAGTCTGGGAGCAAGCAACAGATACCCGGCCCCGACCGTTCCCAGCCATGCCCTTAAACTTTCAGATATTTTGGAGAGAGAGAGAGAGAGAGAGAGAGAGAGAGAGAGAGAGAAAGGGAGGGAGGGAGGGAGGGAGGGAGGGAGGGAGGGAGGGGCTTATGACATATCCAAAGATTTAGCAAGAGAGAGGGACGAAGCTGAGGGTGCCACGTCCAGCTCCGAAAAGGTTATTCTCGAGGAAGGACAACGCAGGCATACATGATTGTCAGAGGGCTGGGGGCAATCTTTGAGCCGGTTTCAGTCGAGGGCACTTAATGTTGTTTGTTTTTTTGCGGGAGCGACCCCCAAGAAACATAGAAATGGTATCCTTCATATATCGCTTTCCTGCGGCCTTGTTCAAGCAAGCAAGGGGGATTAAAGTTCGACACACCCTGCACCCCCTCCCCATCCCCACAGTGATTTAGCACTTGTCAAATACGCTTATCGCGTAACAGACCCCCCATGTTCCCATGTCGTCTTGGGCATCGAATCGAACCTTGTCGGTTGCCGGAGGACATTTGGTGCTTGGCGTTTCGGGCCATATCTGACACCAGTGTTTCACCATGCTCGCTGAGCTTGGGAGATATGCCAAAATGGCTTCACTGGCCGCGTGACGCTTCCCTTATCGGTAGGATGGTTTGGTTCCGTCTCTCGGGGTCCATTTCTTGGCTGGCGAAACCGTCTGATTCACCCAGAAGCTTCTTGGAGGGTAGGCTCGCAGTTTCTCTGAGAGGAGATGCTAGGGAAACTTTGGACACCCGCGGAGCAGCTTGGTTTGGTCAAGTTCCTATCGTCAGCGCCTTGTGGAATCCCAACCTAAAAACCCTATAAAGCAGCCAAAAATTGGTACCCCAAAATTACCACACGCCCAAAGAGTTCCATTTGGAGTGTTCGTTGTTTCCGACCCACCAGCCGGGGTTCGTAGGGAAGCCAAAGGGAAACGGCCTTGAGCTACCTGGTTTAATGCGGATGATAACAATCCCTATATAAACCATGATATCCATCTCAGTAGAACCCAACAGTCAATAGGTGTTGGTCGCTGCACGTATGGGCAAAAGAGTAGTCTCGAAGGGACGCGGGTGCCGTGTGCTCTCATAGAGAATGGGCTTTTTTGTTTTTTCTCGATTTGACTTCCGAGTGCTCAGAAGGGAACCTTACCTAAAAGCACAACTTGTCAACTTGGGTAACATGGGCTATATGTCTGTAAAAGATTAACTTCCGGGCTTGGAGTTTTAAGGGGTAAGGAACTGTTGACTGAAACCCCGAAAACCGACCCTATGGAACCCAAGAAACATCCTGATGACACTTTTCAGCCTGGCTCAATTCGCCGACTCAACAGTTGTATGTGGGCTGTCAGGTTCAAACTCAGAGGTATTGTCAGCAAGAACAGCTTGTTTCTCACGCGTGCATCAGAAAGTGGAACAATCGATGGCAGTGCTTGTTTGGACCAATCCACTCAGGAAGCAAGGACAATGCGTAAAAACCCGGCCTCAAAAACTGGCAAAATCGGCTTCAATTTATTTGGGACCTCCATGCGATCCGGAGCCAAATGCGCTTGCCGCTTGGCTCGAAGGTCGAAGGGAGAAAGCGCACCCCAAATCTGAGCTTTGAGTTGCGGGAACTCTGGTGAGACCTAAAAATCCCATACCTCTAGAGAGATGTGCCCTTTTTGCTCGGGTGGATGCCCTTGTTTCTCAGCTGGAGGTCTGAGACACTGAGAAAGCTCGTGGGATGACAGAATCTGGACTCTGTTTGCACCATTGAGGAAAACGGCGGTGATTCATGCCCCGGCAGTCCACGGATGGGCTGCTTTGATGATGTGTTGTTACGTTTTGCTGTCGGTTGGAAAGGAGAATTATGGAGTGTTGTTCAGCGTTCTGTTCTTTCTTTGTTTTACATGGTGGTTTCTCCAGAGGAATTACACACGTCAATGGCAACCAGCAAGCTCTTCTGATTCTTTGGTTTCTGTTGACTGGTCCCTGCCTACTAGCATGAAATCTGATGGTCCCTCAGCTTCCGTGATAGAGAGTAATATGAGGGGCTAGGTAGCTACGCACATTTTTTCTTTGGATCATGACTTAGTCATTAGTTTCGTTTTTCTGGATATGAGCTGGGAACCGGTTTGTGGACCTTGAACTGGGAATCGTTCTCATGGGTGTACCCAAATGTTCTACTTTGCGTAACTATTTTTTTAGACAATTTGGCTGACTTAGTTTTAAAGATGTGAAAATGGGCTACATAACTGAAAAAAATAAAATAGAACATTAACATATTTTTCTCCACGCCGTCGATCATCGCAAGACTGGTGCCTCAAGTCCTTCACATGGAAGGTATCTTCCAAGTCAACCTTCGTCCGTGGTTTGTCTATTGTTTGATATGGTTCACATTTGAAATACTGGCGAATTTGATTAGCAAACCAGAGTACAAATCGTCATTTTGGTTTATGTTGGATATAGTAGCTACCATATCTCTTGTTCCCGACATACATTTGTTATTGCTTCTTTTTGGCATAAGTCCGGCTGATGTCAATGTATCACAAGCGAGAGCCGGATGGATGCTTCCTGAACACTTTGTTGCGAGCTGCACATGGAACTTCCTTTCGTCTACCCTCCCTAACATGGAACCCACGTACCCGGTAAAAGTCGGCAATTTTCCCAAAGGATGGCAGCTTGTTTGCTGGGAGGTGTCCTCAGCTCCACTGCTATTGGGTAGGATCTTTAGACTTTAACTTTTTGGATTCCCCTCATATAATTTCTCGGTTGAATTTGCGATGACGCGTCTTTCTCTTTGCCATCGTCTTGGTCTTCATCACAATCAGAGAACACTATCCCAAAACATAACTTGCACAAAAAAGGAAGGGAGCTCAATCCCGAGTCACTAACTTCCACCATTTGGATTCATCATTTCCTTCTAACCAGCAAAAAGTTTCAAACTTTCGCCGGGGGATCTACAGCGCCGAAGTCAGCTGGATCAAGAAGTGGCCATTCGGGGAGCCAGATCTCTGCAATCCGAGGCTTCCGCTGCTCTGGGCAGTTTCCGCGCCATGGCTTGATTACGCGGTGGGGTCATTGACTAGGTCCCCCAGCCAGGTGCCAACTTGTACCGTTTCTTTTTTGGTTGGGAGGGTTCCCCTACTAAAATCGACTGCAGAAAAAGTTGGTACCCTTATTCTAACCTCTCTACTGGAGGTAATTGAACACTTGGCACGTCCTGAGATGCTCCGATATTTCTCGGATTGCCATATCATCCAGCTACACCGACTCAGATACACCAGCATCACGAATCACCATGTTGTTTTTGTGGGCGCTGCTCAAGTCCACATTGTATATGATATGATAGCTACATTCTGTGCATAGTTGAACACGCTTGTTGGACTGAGAATGCAGAAAATTGCATGGTTGGTATGAGAACTTGTCGAAGCTGCGTGACTCAGTTGCTGAGGGGGACAAGCTTGCAGCTTGTGTCCACAAGCCAGTGGTCAAAGTAGAGATGACTTGCTCAGATAGGATTTTGATTCAGCAAACTGAAGCTATTTGTGTTGGTTCGCCATGTTGCATTTATGCCTGCTGAACAATTTCGCTGAACGCCCCAGTCATATTCAGTTGTTTTGAGGCTCACCAATGATCACCTTGTTGTTCTTGTCACTTGTTTCAGGTTTTGTCATGGCCCCATTCAAGAAGCTGAACGCCATTGCACCTGTTGAAAAAGGCTCACTCCATGCCCTCCAAAGTCTCCCGCAAGTTTGGTTGAAACCATGTTGCCAGGGGCCCCTTGAATGGAAAACCCGAATGCGTCAATGTTTCAGCAAGGGCGTAGTGCAATGCTTGAACAGGTAATTGACCCCATGTATTTGTTCAGCCGTGCTGTTAGGGTTGAGCATGGTCAAGCGCATTTAGTGTTCTGGCAAAGCATGGCGACCTACCAATGGGTATTGGTTCGCCCTTGGGCCAAAAGCCAATGTCAACATTTGGGAGGAGTAAACTTCAGCCAAAGCAACTGTTGAACTTCCACTTCGTCGATCGCGTGCGCTTAAGCCTTTGGTTCCCGTCGATTTCCTGAGGCTGCGGCTCACCGCCCGCAATACGCGAAGGTCAGCGGAGCCGAGACCTTGTGGCAGCGGCCAGAGGGCGAGGTCAAAGGCGAGAGGGACTGGGGGCCTCCTGCAAGAATATGTATATGTTTGGTAGGCTAAACATGAAACGGAGTCGGAAAATATGTTTTTGGGACTACCCCAAAATGAGGCCCAATGTATTGTGCACCAGTTGGGGTGGATGAAACTGATGAAACCCTAAGACTGCTGGGATAAACCATTTGTCCAGCAGTATGCAAAACACTGGTTGTGGTTTCTCTTGTACTGTCTCAGTAAGGGTTACGGTTAGGCGTCGCTGCATAGACAATACCTTCGATGTGGGCGTGTCGTTGTGCGAACGACGCCGCACTGAACAGTCCAGAAAGCAAGCTTTACAGAAAACTATTACCTTTCAGTTTGCTTGAACTGAGTCGCTGCGAGCGTGCCTCAAGACAACCAATGCATGACCAAATTCATGCAACTCGATATATTTGCCTTGACTTGTCTCAGCGGGCAGGGTTTGTTTCATGATCCAATGCTCCATCTACAAGCAGTGTGTCCAACATGCGGTGGTCCATGGTCATGGCTGAAGGGAGAATTCTGAATGCAGCCTAGGTTGTATGCAAATATGGCTCATATGATTTAACCATGTTTTGTGCAAGCAGCTGGGCCACTGGAGCAGGTAGGTGTACAACATAGAATTCTGAATGCGTTTCTTTGTCCTTCAGCCATGATTTGCTGGGCTGTGTCGGTTGCAGTTTCTCCAAAACTTGTACCAAGCTATCAACTTCTACATGTGATTGTCTAGCTGGCATCCTTCCTTCTCAGGACAGGTCGCCCAGTTCGTTTACATTTGGAGACAATGTCTCCCTTGGCGTCTGGAGCAAGCTGACGGGGAGTCCCTCTTAAATAGGTACCCTCCATCATCTCACAGGTTTGTGCGAACTCCACAAAGAACCATTCAGAAAACTGTGAAAGGGGCCCAACTAGTCGGGTTTGGCGCCCTTGGTGAGTTGGAGCCATCCGTTTTCGGGTTGGTTCATGCGCAACCCGACCTGGGGCTTGGATGATGTGACCGTTGGGGTGGCATGTTACACCAAGACTAGGTCCCCCAGTAGTGCCCTTTTACCCTTTTTTGGGGGAGGGTTCCCCTACTAAAATGGACCACAGAAAAAAGTTGGTACCCTTATTCTACCCTCTGTACCGGAGGACCTAGAAGAGTTCCCTAAGTAAAACCATCCCTCGGCTCCGCACTTTCCCGATCACTCCGTGCAGTCGTGCAGGCATCCTGTTCATCGCCCACGGCTGCAAGCACCAGGCCACAGACGTCTTCTCGGAGGCCGGGGAGCATGGGATCGGGTACACCCCGTGTGTCTTTTGATCCTTTCGGTGGGTTTTTCTCGGGAGACCAAAAGGAAGGCCACATGTTTTGGGGTACCTTTCATTTTGAAACATACCCAGCTCTGTTGTTTTGTTTGGGTGTATTTGGATGGTACCCGTCCTGGCCAACTCTCATGGATTTCGTTCTCCAAGTGCTTCCCTGCATCGGAAAGAAGGCATCCATACATGCACAAGTACCGGAGCTCCCGTGGAGGAGACGAGACCATTTTCCTGACCCTTTTGGTTCCATCGCTCACTCCCCGAGTGCATGAACTTTAGACTTTTTGGGCTTGGACCATTTCAGTGGTAACTCTAAGGCTTTCCATGGGTCCTTCGGAGCCCTTCACAGGTCACTGACGGCTGGAAGTTCGAGAGCTGCGCGGGGCAGCTCAGAGGAGTTTTCCTATCGACTTGGGAAAGAGATCGTAGGTGGGTTCGTCTCTTTTTGTTGGGAGACCCCACAAATGGGCGGTTTGCCTTCTGGTTTTCAGCCGCAAAAACGAGTACCGAAGAAGAATGAACATAGATCCTCTTGTCTAGCTACGAGACCTCATCTTTCCAGGGGCTTAGAAGGAGAATCCATGAGAAACCAGACCCTGATTTTGATCGAGGGTGTCCCGGTTAAGAGGGTGCGTTTTCACTTTTGGGGGAACTGTCCCGCTAACAATCCGACAGGATCCAGCGTCAAGTTTCGGAGTGGTTAGCATAAGGACCTGCGTGTTGGGGGCCCCCTGAGGCCCAAGATCGCACGTCACTTTTGGGTGTCTAGTTGAATGATTGGGTCTGTTGGTCCAATGACATGTGTCAAAACAAGTGTTGAAAGCCAAATTTCATATCACCTTTTCGTCCGATGTCCTTCAAATCTTCCTAAAAGGAAGAGTGATGTTTAAAGGGTACACATCTGGGATGGAATGTGCGTGGGGTTTTCAGCAGTTCTCCAAGTGACACGGATTTGGGCCAGTTCCTGGGTGATTGCTTGATGCCCGGTGGGTGTGGTTTTCGTCGGTTGCCTGGTGCCGCAGTCTTGACCAAGACAAATGGCTTGGGCCGTTTTGGGTTGTTTTTCTTACTTCTGACCACTTCTCAGCCAGAAGTGGGCTGCCTTTTGCCGAGTCACCTGATATTGCTTCCCCACTACTTAGCGTCGGTTGCTCCAATGACATCGTGTATGAACATATGCCTATATATATATATGCTATCCCCCCCCCAAAAAAAAAAGTTTCATCACTTTTCAAGTGAATTTGTGCCAGCAAGGGTTGCCACACAAGGTTCATTCTGATAGCGGGCCAGGTTGGTTTCGTCACTCTTCAAATGGATTTGTGACACAGTGGATTGAGGAAGTGTCATTTTAGTTGATTGAACAGATGAGGCTGAACAGAAGTGAAGACAGACATTGCCCTGATAGATGACGAAGAGATGAGGAATGAAGCGGTGGTGAGTGACATGTCCTTTCACCCAACCACCATTCTATGCTGTAGGTGAAAGACCATGAGATTACAGTAAAGGAAAAGAGATGGAAAGAGATGAATGATGGTGAGATTTCTTTGTCACCATCTGGTCATTACATTTGGTGTCTCTCTTTGACTCATCCAAACGTAACCCAAATAATCTTAAGATGTCTTTATTAATAGCCACTGTGTCTTTTCTATCTCTTGGACACAGCTGTTTTCATTTTGTATTATGTCCCTTTCATTTGTATTCCTGAGATTCTATAAGATACGAAAGCTAAATAATAACAGAAAAGAAAGGGAGATGATGATGGGTGACGAAGGAACAGGAAACTGAGTGAGGAGACAGTGAGATGACACGGGAATGAAATGGTGGGTGAAAAGATGTCCACCATTCTAGTCCTTTCGGTAGTTCCTAGAGACACAAATATAAAATATCAATGTATACAAATATCCTGATAAAGAGGTAGAAGTATAAAAATATGAAGATTAAATAGAAAAGCAGTTAATAATTCCTAGATCTTAAGATGAGACGGTGAGGGATAAAGAAGTCTCATCATAAAACCATTCTATTTCTCCATCTCTTTCTCACATCACATCCCTTTCACCTCTGTATCTAGGATGTGATTAAGAGGTGAGAAAGGGAGAGACCAAATGATTTCCAAGATGAAGGAAGAGGAAATCATTGTGGATGAAGAGGAGAAATATAAGACAGAAAAACATGTAAATGCTATTAATCTAGAGATTTATTATTTGGTTCCAAGCCTTTCTATTCCTCATCCAATTTCTAATGCTGGATGAGGTCATATCTCCCTTTATCACATGCCATTCCTTCCTTCTGTACCTCTCCTAACCATCTGGATCCGGAGATGAAGGCAAAAGACAAGGAAGAGAAGCCAAATGATGAATCCAGGCTGTTTCCTTTCTCCTCTCCAGCCTGTCAATCACCGGCCACACGAAGGAATGGGCCGGGTGAGTGGGTTTGTAGGTGACATCTCTTCATTTGTCACCTAATATTGGAATATTTGGTTTATTTAAAAAAAAAAAACATTCTAATTCTCTTCATCAAGGATTTTACAGATAAATCCAAGATGAAGGTAAAGAGAAAGCAATTAAGAGACAGATGAATGGGATCTCTTTCGCCCACTCATATCTTCTCTTTGTTTTACTGTCTTGTATTTCTCTCCTCTTCATCCACAATGATTTCCAAGATGAAGGAAGAGGAAATCATTTGTGTGTCTATTCAACAGACTCTTGTCTGCAGATGTACCTGAAGCCCTTTTGTTTAGCAGATATTTTCATGTGGTGAACTCAGCACGCTGGGAAATTCTGCATACCATGTTGCAAAAACCTTGCAAAAATGCACGTGTTTCCATTTATGCAGTGAGCACACAACTTCAAACACAGCATCTTAGCAGCACCAAATGCATGTTTTTTGTAGACACTAGAGCAAAAACCCTGGACACATGATGATATTCTATTTTGGTAGTAAAAGTGAACAAAAACAAAGGGAAAAAAGTTGTTTTTAACAAAAAAGTAAAATATATGGACTCATGAAAAGTAAAAAACAAAAAGGTAAAACCGCCAAAAGTAAAAAAGACTAGGGTATTTTTACTTTTATTGGGAAAAAGTTTTAAAAAAAAACCTAATCGTTTTTACTTTTTCCCCATAAAAGTAAAAAACCCGGGTCTTTTTTACATTCTCCCAATAAAAGTAAAAACACCCTAGTCTTTTTGCCTTTTCGCAATAAAAGTAAAAAAAACTAGTCTTTTTTACTTTCGGCGGTTTTATTTTTTACTTTTCATGAGTCCAGATATTTTACTTTTTTACTTTTCATGGGTCCAGATATGTTACTGTTTTTCCTGTTTACTGTTTTATTGTTTTTCTTTGCTTGGTTTCTGCTCCTTTGTATTTGTTCACTTTTACTACCAAAATAGAAGAATCATCATTTTTCCAGGGTGTTTGCTCTAGTTTCTACAGAAACATGCATTTGGTGCTGGTAAAATGCATGTTTCTGGAGTTGTGTGCTCACTGCATACATGGAGAAAAAAAACGTGCATTCCCAGACACTCCAATGTTGGTGCTATTTGCCAACATTCGCGAACGTTGGCCTGAGAAGGAACATTGGGGTTTATAGGGCCAATGTTGCTCTGAGAGGCATACATCCAAAATGTTGTTCGACAAATGCACGTTCGACAATTCTCCTGCGATTAAATCACGCCAAATCACGCCAAATCACGGTATTACATGAATGTACCCCAAATTTGGCATACATTTGGCCCAAATGTATGCCAAAAATGGCACACATTCAGTCCGACAATCACGCCAAATCACGCTCAATCACGCCCAATCACGCCCAATCACGGCATCCGACAAATCATAGATTCCGATAAGCCCAATGTTGCCAAATTATGCCTACATACCGAATGTTGCTCTGAGAGGCTACATTTGAATGTTAGTAAATATGACCAACATGGAGTGTGTGGGATTGTTGAAGGGTTGTTACAATATGTTATGCAGAATTTACTAGTGTGCTGACCTCCCCCCCCCCCCACAAAACCTAGGTTTTGGGGGGGGGGGGTACCATATATATAGATGGCGTACCCTTTGTAGATTGGTTTCAAGAAGCAATACCGACAGGAAACCAACCCATTTTCAGCGTCCCCTATTTCAAGGCCACCCACATGCCGAGCTGATGTTAGGGGTCATGGGTTGGAGATTAGAACGGACCCCTGTTTTGCCCAGCTTGTCGTTTTGCAACGGCCTTCTTATAAGGATAAATGGGTTGCCCTCTACAAGAAGTCATGGATTAACCAAAATGTGTCAACGAAAAGGGATTCGGCAAAAGCATGTTTCTGAAGACACCAACAAGTAAAGCAAGGAAGTAACAACTCAAATGCTTGAAGGTTGGGTTTGGACAGCTGGGTGGCAAGTGGAACACAAGGGAAACTCAAAGATCCGCCCACTTGTGCTCCTTTTGAACATCCAGCACCCAAATTCAGAAAGCGGCGGATTTTCGCGCGGAACTTGAAGGAACCTGAAGCGGGTGCGAAATAGATCATAACGTTAAGCTCCCCCTAACGGAGCCAAAGGGGAAGCTAGTTGTACAGCTCGGACAGATGCACAACACAGAAGGACAGTCATGTGCAAAACTTCACAGCCCCCATGGGGCTCAGGCCTCCAACAAAACATCCTGGCAAAAAGCCGCCAACTGGTGAAGATGTTGATCAAACCCCACTTGGCACCGGTGCCGAATGGCTGTGGTGGTCAAAACCGTTCTGTCAAAACCAATAGGATCCCATTTTGGGGTAGGTGAATTCACCCATTTTAGGACCTATTTTAGTGGGGATTGGGATGTTCACTGGAAGTACGGGCTTTGGATTTTGACCCACGGCCAAATGGACCAAGGCCGGCCCCCGAGTCGCACCCAGAGAAACGCCCGAGTCTTCGACGTCTCGCGACTCGAAGGCGCGCTCCAACTTTGGCCGATGCCTGGCGCTCCCGGAGGAGGAGCGGCGTGGCTCACGGGAGCCCTTGACGGGGCGTTCGGTCACTTTGTGTGTGTGTGTTTTTGTTGCCACTCCAAAGGAGTTTGATGAAACCCAACAAGAATAGAAAGGAATTTTGCTAAAGAAACAACTCAAGTCGAATGCCCATCGGAAGCTGAAGATTTCCTAGGTCCCCCAGCGAGATTCCAACTTTTGCCGTTTCTTGTTTGATTGGGAGGGTTCAAACCTACGAAAATAGACGTCCTGAAAAAAGGGTACCCTTATTCGAACCTCTCTACTGGAGGACCTAGTTTCGCGCGTGGTTGCCATTCCTTTGTGGTAAGCAAAAAGTTTGGATCTTGTCAATAGGCTCTGGAAGTGAGTTCTGGTTGTCCTTTTTGGTCTCCCAAACCGAGGTGACAAGGGTTCCCCCGAAAAACAGCTTTTTCGTGTATCTCCTGAAAATCAGGAAACATGGTTAGGGTTGACTGATTAGGGACTCGAATAAAAAGTCACATCGTTGATTCGAAACAAAAACTTTGAAATAGTGGTTGAGGCCGGGACATCTCTGGGTATTTTGGGCATGATCTTGTAAAAAACAGACCTTCAGCACATTGCCTCACTCCAAATCAAAACCGCTCAAACTTGTTGGCCATGGGACAGTTTCTTTTGAAGGAGGGTCCAAAAAGCGAAAGCCTTGCCAACAAGGGAATTGAGCTCATCCAGTTGTCAGGTGTTGTGATTCTATGTTTGCCTTTTGTGTTGGTCGTTCATCATTGAAAACGATCAACCCAAACAGAAAGAATCCATGTTTGGTCGAACAGGGTCACTTGGCAGGGGTCGTGTTGGAAATTGTCAGAGGCGTTGCTGATTTCTCGAATCGGTTGGTTAAACTATATGGCCTTGATTTAGAGCGTCCCCTCCTGGGTGGGTTTTTGCAAGCCATGAAATGCAGTTTGAAGCCCAAAAGTTGCAGATGTCAGAGTCGCGCGTGTTAGTCAAATTGAAAGTCGCAAGTAGGTAGACACGGCGTTGCCGTTGTATAGCATTGGATGGTGTGCCCAAAGTTGCTTGCTTGGAAGAGAGTGAAAGCCCCTCGTTTTCAATAAATACAAGGCTAAAAATGGCATCCTGAAAGGAATTTCAATAAGCAAACAACTCAAGTCGAATGCCCATCGGAAGCTGAAGATTTAGTGGGAGCCCCTTTCCAAATAGGGTTTTAATTGCAGTTTGACTAGATTTTGAGTTCATGAATCAAGGAAGTGTTCTTCTTGTTTCTTCTACTTGCCCTGCCCTTCAGAAAGAGTTGACAGCTCAATGGAAACGCAAGAGAAATCAATGCCAGACCTATTATTTTAATACAAACAGGCTAGTTAATCTTAGTCAAATCCTGTTGGTCCTATTTGAGCCCTAGCTTAAGGTAGGCAGTCTAAACGACTTGTTCCTTACAAAGTTCTATTCAAATCCTGATTACAGTCAGACCCTATGTATGCATGTTGGCTGAGTCAGGGTTTGATTGTGTGTCGTGTGTTTGCTTTTTGGAGAACTCCAGTGGTTTTTGCATGTTTTGGAAAAGTGTATGAAACCTCAAGAGCATGTGTCCGTGTTGTTTGAGTCAGGGTCTGATTTGTGTTTGTGTTTTTGTTGGTACAACTCAGGGTGCTTTGGTTTTTTGGGGGAACAGTGCTTATACCTTGAGAAAACTGCCTATGTGAAAAACATCTCCCCCCCCCCTAACAGGGGCCAATCTATAATGATACCCCAGTAGCATCGAACTATGTGTTCCCTTGGGAGAGAACGACCCCTGTAAAGTAAAGAAAACATGCGTTTATCAGAAGCCTTTGCTTCCCCCTGGAAAAGCCCAACTGAGATGGGCTGCAAGTATGTGTGGGCTTTTTACAGTGCCAGAGTCAACACACCCTTTTACATGGCATGGCAGGCATGGTCATCCACCCCTTTTCCAAAAGACGTGTCGACCATGCTGGTCTCTGGAGCCAGGTGGAGATGCGCAACTATGCGCTGAGCCGCGGCTATGCTCCTCGGCCTAAGTAGGACTCAGAGTCTTCGTGTGCGCCATGGTCAAAGACCTACTTCAGGGATTGAGACCAATTTCCAACTGTGGGGCGGAGTCTTGCTATACACATAGTGTTTTTAGAGAAGACCATTTCCCGCAGCAAGTGACGCCACCTGAGGTGGTCATGGCAGTGTCGGGCGGATCCGGCGTTCAGAGCTGCTGGCCACTCGGGCTTTTAGCCGTGAGGATAGGGTTGATCAAAAGGTCCTTTAAACAAACCGATCACACGGGGGGGGGGGGGGGGAAAAAAGCCGCTGAAAAGATGCCTCGCCAAACAAAAGTTACCCTATGGTCACTGAAATCGGGGGCCCGAATATGGTCAAACCCCATATGAGCAACAATCAGTAGTTGCTGTCAAATTAATTTTGGGAAATGGAGCCATTATTTTTATCCGAAGCTCGTCTGAAGCATATCTATCCAGGCCTATAGTAGTTTTTGTTTTTACCCCGGTGTCCCCCCCTTTCTTCCGGGTATCCAACCAAAAACAACCAAAACACAGGCACGCGTGTTTTTCTCCAATAGCCGCAGGTCAAAAGATGGCCATCCAGGTGTTGAGCCCAATCCTCATAGTAAAACACCCATTTCAAAGGAAGCCTTGACGGAGTTTGTGTCGCTTGCGACATCGTGACCCATCTTGGGGCTCCTTTCATAGAGAAGCTTAGTTTGGGGTTGGCGAAGTATCTTTATCATCATTCACCCATGTGCCAAAAATCATCGCCCGATTCAGAGTTTCCCTATAGGGAACTCTGGAGACATAATGTATATATATATATATATGTATATATGAATATATATATATACTTGCTCATAGATAGAAATCGTGTTTTCTTGGTGGTGTATGTGTGTGTGTGTGTGTGCGCGTGTTGGAGCCCCTCAAGCTGAAATCATGCACTCAAGGGCCCTGCATGGGCAGGATTTGTGGCTAGTCTCCATCCAAACCGCAGAACCCGAGATATTGGCAGTGCTTTCGAGGTACGGCGAGCGGGATGTGGACAAAGCAACTCGGAATGGCCAGGTGGACATTGGTCAATGTTTTGTGCCCAGATACTCTTTTCAGGGATTGAGTTCAAGGGAAGGGGACACATGATGATTTCGGCGTATAGCGCATTTGGAGGCAAGCCCGCATCTATGTTTGTCAGACAAGGAGCTCATTGATGAGGCAAATGGGCTTTGCAACGCAAGCCATTATTTGGCGAAGGCTCCCATGTCGAAAACGCGGGACGAGCCCTACTTTTGATTTGGAGAGGACCAGAAGAGGACACAATACCTACAAAGTCCAGCGGCCAGGCCTCGATTTTCCCATCAAACCAGTCATGAGGGGCCCCCTGGAAAGGAATCACGTGCCAATCAGAATTTCGGCCGGGGGTTGTGTGTTATTTGGGGTCAACATTGGCCATTCGCTTGGGAATGAGTGCGGTACAATTGCCACGGTGAGTCGTGAATACGCCCCGCCCTTCAGAACTCCACATCACCCAGCCCTAAAAAAGAGAAGGAAGAAAAGGCAGCAGGCACCCTTCCCGAGGATCAGCCCCCCACAAAAGAAACAAAGGAACCGGCGCCCTGTTCGATCACCTCCGAGGATCGCTCGCTCGCCTGAGGTGGTGGAGGCTGTGGCCCACGTGCGCCAGGCCGAGAACCTGGCCACTGCCCCGCTGCTGGCGATGGGCGCCTCCTCTGGCGGAGCGCCTTCGCGGTGAGAGAGCTTCGGTCGGCCAGGGCAGCCTTCAGCTAGGTTTTTCCAGCAATTGGTGCCAACTTGTTCCGTTTCTTTTTGTTGGTTGGGAGGGTTCCAACCTACTAAAATAGACGTCCTGCAAAAAAGTGGGTACCCTTATTCTAACCCCTCAAATCTGGAGGACCTAGTTTCAGATGAGCAGCGCCCAACAGCCCTCAAAAGGGCAATTTTAGTAGGTGGTTCTGATTCTACTGCCTGGTTTTCATGTGGGTTATAGCAAGGGTCGAAAAGACGCATAGTCAATGGGGTGGATACTTGAGAACGAGCTTATATTACATGGTTGGAAAGCAGACTTCCATCCACATGTATTCTTCATTTTGTTTTTTGCTCGAAGAGGGATCTTGAAGGTGATATATGAAGCCAGTCTTCCCCTTTTCAGAGGTAACCCTGTTTCAGGTCACCCCATTTATTGGGGAAATAAGGCTAACTACGGCGGAGGGGTCTCCGCTCGCGTCAGTGTTTCAATCATTTATAGATGTGTGTGTGTGTGTGTGTGTGTGTGTGTGTGTGTGTGGTGTGTGTGGTGTGTGTGTGTGTGGTGTGTGTGTGGTGTGTGTGTGGTGTGCGGTGTGTGTGTGGTGTGTGTGTGGTGTGCGTGTGTGTGTGTGTGTGGTGTGCGTGTGTGGTGTGCGTGTGTGGTGTGCGTGTGTGGTGTGCGTGTGTGTGTGTGTTGTGTGTTGTGTGTTGTGTGTTGTGTGTTGTGTGTTGTGTGTTGTGTGTTGTGTGTTGTGTGTTGTGTGTTGTGTGTTGTGTGTGTGTGTGTGTGTGTGTGTGTGTGTGTGTGTGTGTGTGTGTGTGTGTGTGTGTGTGTGTGTGTGTGTGTGTGTGTTGTGTGTTGTGTGTTGTGTGTTGTGTGTGTGTGTGTGTGTGTGTGTGTGTGTGTGTGTGTGTGTGTGTGTGTGTGTGTGTGTGTGTGTGTGTGTGTGTGTGTGTGTGTGTGTGTGTGTGTGTGTGTGTGTGTGTGTGTGTGTGTGTGTGTGTGTGTGTGTGTGTGTGTGTGTGTGTGTGTGTGTGTGTGTTGTGTGTGTGTGTGTGTGTGTGTGTGTGTGTGTGTGTGTGTGTGTGTGTGTGTGTGTGTGTGTGTGTGTGTGTGTGTGTGTGTGTGTGTGTGTGTGTGTGTGTGTGTGTGTGTGTGTGTGTGTGTGTGTGTGTGTGTGTGTGGTGTGTGTGTGGTGTGTGTGTGGTGTGCGTGTGTGGTGTGCGTGTGTGTGGTGTGCGTGTGTGGTGTGTGTGTGGTGTGCGTGTGTGGTGTGCGTGTGTGGTGCGTGTGTGTGTGTGTGTGTGTGTGTGTGTGTGTGTGTGTGTGTGTGTGTGTGTGTGTGTGTGTGTGTGTGTGTGTGTGTGTGTGTGTGTGTGTGTGTGTGTGTGTGTGTGTGTGTGTGTGTGTGTGTGTGTGTGTGTTGTGTGTGTGTGTGTGTGTGTGTGTGTGTGTGTGTGTGTGTGTGTGTGTGTGTGTGTGTGTGTGTGTGTGTGTGTGTGTGTGTGTGTGTGTGTGTGTGTGTGTGTGTGTGTGTGTGTGTGTGTGTGTGTGTGTGTGTGTGTGTGTGTGTGTGTGTGTGTGTGTGTGTGTGTGTGTGTGTGTGTGTGTGTGTGTGTGTGTGTGTGTGTGTGTGTGTGTGTGTGTGTGTGTGTGTGTGTGTGTGTGTGTGTGTGTGTGTGTGTGTGTGTGTGTGTGTGTGTGTGTGTGTGTGTGTGTGTGTGTGTGTGTGTGTGTGTGTGTGTGTGTGTGTGTGTGTGTGTGTGTGTGTGTGTGTGTGTGTGTGTGTGTGTGTGTGTGTGTGTGTGTGTGTGTGTGTGTGTGTGTGTGTGTGTGTGTGTGTGTGTGTGTGTTACATCGAAGGAATCCGAGGAATTTGGGTTTTGCACACAGGCCTGACTGAGCTGTGCGATCGTTTAGCTTTGCACCACCTCAAAACTAGCACCCCAAAGGAACATGGGGTATATGCATGTTTGAATATATACAACCTGGGAAATCAAATAACTGGAAGTCTTCGCAAGTCCCGGCTTCTTGGTTGGTTTATGGGGTCCAGGGAAAGCAACACCGAAGAGGGTAGCCCCCAAAACCACGCACACAGACACACGCACACACACACGCACGCACACACACACACACTAGAGGGCCAGTCCCCTTACCATCGCAAATATCCGCCCAAGTTTCAGAATCCGCCTTTAGAATATCCTTATACAATTCGCCTTTGTCAGAAGGGGAAGATGGCGGCACCTGATTATTGCGCATCAAAGCAATGATTGTCGTAGTACACCTCCGGTACTTGGACGGTCCTTAGCAAGCCTGTTGCCCGCTTGCCCTACAACCATGGTAAGTGGTGAGCCATTGAAGCAAAGACTAGCGATTCGTCCCGGACCATGTAAGTATCAAAGGCATCAACCCAAAGCCCCATAAAGCCGAGGGACAAAGTGTTGGGCGCTTCCTTGGTGACTACAACAAGCCATGGCCATAGTGTTTGATTGATGAATGAAGTAGGGATTCATACCGGCAGTGCACAAACGGACACCAAGACTTTCTTTTTGCCTAATCAAATTGATTCAAGTCTCAGGTCTCAGATCGTAGGTTTATTATGTTTGTGCACTTTAAGGGAAACCATTGTAGTCCGTCCTGTGATGGGGGAAGGCTGGGAGAAAGCTCGCGCACTGCATGGCACACGCAAGAACTGGCCGGTGCACGACAGCGGCTCGTGAAGCCAAAGGCATGGGTCTGAGGGAGGACCTGCAAGCAGAGGTTGAAGCACAGAACCTCCTCTGCTCGAGGCTGGCATCGAGAACGGTAGCTGTCTCGAAGAAACTGAGTAGAGACTCCCCGAAACGGCAGATAGGCACCTTTCAGTGACGCAGCGATCAGCGTACTCGGAGGCTCCTGAAGGAAGCGACCCCATCAACTTATTTGTTCGCAGCGCTGGAGGTGCCATCCCAATTTAGAGGAGCACCATTGTTCTAGGGGTACCTTCCCCGTTCTTTCCAGGAATCCTTCTTTCTAGAAAACGCCCAAAAACCCAGGGAAAACGGCTGGATTTTGAAAAGAACGATGGTTCCAAAGAATGGGGAATCAACCCCTAGAATTGTGATAAACAAAAAGGGCTGGCGCTGGAAAAGGCAACCCTAGATTCACCCAACAAGGAGAAACGCTCTAATTAGCCAAACTGAAGCAAACCAGAGGCCAACTTGAAAGGTGGCCCAGATCATGGCCAACGCACTATTGCCTTCAGGAAGTTTAGACATCCACTGTAGCTATTCTCCAAACAAGATTTGCGAACATCGCAGGGCAGACGTGGCTCGACCTTGACGCATTGGCCATGCCGGTCCCGTCCTTTTCCGAGGCATTCGTAGGACTACTCCCAGCAGCACAGGACTTGAATTTGCTGCTCGGGCGAAGGGAGGCTTTGGAAACCCACGCGCTGTACATACAGTGAATGGTTGGGTGGTTGGTTAGGTTTGTGCGTGGAGTTGACTTGTTTATTGAGCTTGTGGCTGGCTGGCTGCCTGTTTGGTTGGGTGGTTAGCTGGGTTTGTTTAAGACCAGGGTATAAGTGCACACCTATTTGGGGATACTTGCAACCACCATCCATTTTCTAAGGCGTGCTGGATCAAAATTATAGCTACGACGTGTTTCGAAGCGCAGAGTGTGTGTGTGTGTGTCATGCCAAAAAGGGGGCCTGTTCTGGTAAACCCGTTTCGGTGACATGTGCCGCCTTTGAATGGGTTCCGAGAAGGTACAATGCTTGCAGAAAACGCCTTTTGAGAGAATTGAACAGTCTCTTCCATTTGCTTAAGAATATTTTATGTTCCCCTGTTGGTTTTCAAGGGAATCTATCACTACTGGACATTTTTCTTCAGAGGGCTTAAGCAAATGGAAGATCTGCATGTGCCACGCTCCACATTGTTTGTTGCCATACTGGACATGGGGAAATTGGATGTTCTCACCGCGAATCCAGCAAACGCAGGCCCTAATGATGCTGAAAGGTCTCTGTGACAGGGTTTGCCGACAATCACCCATCCTGGGGTGCGCGCTCGATTTCAAGGTCGACACGCTTCGGACAGGAACGATGTTGGAGGTCCGACGCCTTCTCAATTGTTGGTGAAGCCTAACTTTTGCCTTTCACTGCATGGCCCAAAAGGAATGACATGAACAAAAATGTGCTACAGGAGGAAAGTGATTTGTACTGAATTACTGAATCTCCTTTCCAATGTTTTGGACAGCCGCTGTTGCCGCTAAAACAACAAAAACAATCCTTGAGCATGATGGGCCATCCATCTTTGATGTGTGCTCGATCAGCGAGAATTTGAGGAAGTGCATCGTGCCGGAGATCATGGACGTGCAGAGCGACCTCAATGACAAGGTCCCCACATTGTTCATCCACATGCCCAGGCGCAGAGATCAGGGATCCTACCAACCCCCGCCCCAAAGACCCCGGAACCCCAACTTTTGTCTTATGTCTGCCCATTCAGGATTATGAAAACGCGGGGGATGGAACAAAACCAACCCACGGGAATAATCGAGATGAACATAGCCAGATGCTTCAGACTTTCCCAAATCCATCCCCGCCAGGGACCATCGCACTGCTCGAGGGGTCAAGGAGAACATCCAGGACCTCCAGGACCGAAACGTGCGCGTCACCGAGCTCAGTGACTCGGCGCAAACTCTTCGACGCACGCGCGGCGCTGGAATCCTTTCGGAAGAGATGATGTGTCCACCCACACACACACACATACATACATACATACATACATACATACATAGATAGTACCTGCCTGCCTGCCTGCCTGCCTGCCTGCCTGCCTGCCTGCCTGCCTGCCTGCCTGCCTGCCTGCCTGCCTGCCTGCCTGCCTGCCTGCCTGCCTGCCTGCCTGCCTGCCTGCCTGCCTGCCTGCCTGCCTGCCTGCCTGCCTGCCTGCCTGCCTGCCTGCCTGCCTGCCCTACCTACCTACGCAGTACATACGCATACAACATACATACCTATGTATCTACCTACCTACATACATCTGCACATACGTACATACGCACGTATTCACATACATGCATACATTTATACACGCATACTTCCATTTATACATGCATGTGCGTGCCCGTGGGCGTCCAGTTTGTTGTTTCTGTATCATTCTTGGTTTCATGGTTGTAGCAGAATGTGCAGGCTGTGGGCTTGTGTTTGTGGTTGGTCCTCTGAGATTTCGTTTGAAACCATAATTGTTCAATCATAAGTTTGATGTAGATGTGGCCTTTTCCACTAAGCCCCCTCTTTGCTGCTTTTCAAACCAAAAGAGCAATTCCATGTCCAAATTCGGAGAAGCCCATCAGGCGCCAAGCCTCGGCGAGTGACCTCGGAGTTCCTGCAGAAGTGCGTCACAGCCGAGCTGGCGAAGAAACTGCTGCGCTCCTTTGAGGACTTCCAACCATCCTCCAGCGTTTTTGTTTCTTGTTTTCTTTTAAACCATGCAACAGACGACAACCCGTATTTTGAGGCGGGGTTCTTTTGGTTTCTTTAAAAAATGCAAAAGGCGGAAAACCGTATTTTGAGGCACAAACCAATATCTCGTAGAGTGAAACGGCGCGGTCGACTCACACAGACGGCATCCAGAAAGGCTGCCTTTTATCCGAAATCCACTTATGCCATGGTCAAATGAAGTGGGGTGTCTAGGCTTGGTGGATACTTTTATGGGGGTCAGACAATCAGCAAAGATAGTGGTATCCCTTGATTTAGGGGGGGGTTCACTGGAGGGAAGAAACCCTCGGCAGGCGTTTAGCCGTGCGTTTCGACTTGAGGAGGGGGGCGTCATTGACAGCAGCGGGTATTTGCAGGAGGATCCCAGGCGCGGATCTTGGCTTTCGGGCCCCAAGGTGCAACAAATGTGGAAGAAGGTCGTAGCTTTATCAAGTTCTCGGATCGATCTGTGGTAGACGCTTGCACAGCTCTCCGTTCTTCGTGTATAGTTTGCCAAATTGGGGCGGAAGCGGCAGCAAGCACAGGAACCTCAGACCATTTGGAGTTGAGAGCCGAGTTGCATCTTCCTTGGCTTCAAGCCCTTCATTTGAGGCCCGAATGGATGCACTTGCGCCAGGCGTCTCGTTTCATGTCAAGGCCCATGGAGTGGTCAACCCTGTTCGACGCTGCCTTCTTGGGAACCGTCCAGGAGTACGAGGTCTGGCTTTGGAGGCACTGTGTTCGTGGGGCGTCTTGGACATGTGGAAGTAGTCACGAAGAAGCTGCATTCGACAGATGAGGCGCTGTTCAAGGAGCTATATATCGGACTGCTGGCTCCGGCTTCCCCCTGCGTCGGCTTCGCAATTGCCGCGGATCACAGCTTGCGCTTGGTGTCGGCCCGGCTCGACGAGACGCTTCTGGAGTTCCTCAGCCGCGATCCGCCGATTGCAGCGCGCAAGCAGGTGGCCCTGGCGCACTTTCCGCGGTCTCCGGCTTGGCCGACTTGGGCCTGGTCCATTGCGACTTGAAGCCGGACAACTTTATGGTCCACGAGGGTGCGGTCTACTTAATCGACTTTGGTTCGACATCCCTGGAGGGAGATACTCCGCCGCTCACCTGCCGAAGCTACGCATCGATAGTTTCTGTATGACTTCCCGCCCACATCGTGGTTTCCGGCTCTCCAAGTCATACCCGGAACAACTCGGCGGTTTCCCTTTCACCTACCACTTGCAATACTTGGGACTTGGCCACGAAAACCGCCAACAGCACACACACACACCACCACCAAACCGCGCAGTCCCCGTCGCGCCGATCGGAGCGGCCAGGGCGCGGGGCTGGGTGTCGGCGGCCAAGGAGCTGCTGCCGGAGGAGTTGGACTCCCTGGAGCCGGACGAGAGCTGCCTGGCGGAGCTGAGCCCTGGATAGAAGCGAGGGAAGAGGAGGGCGGGGAGCAAAAGGCCCGGCGAAATCTCCCCAGAAAGTTGAACACAAAAATTGGGGGGTTGGGCAGGGGGGGGAAAAACATGAGGGCGACTCAGGGGTTTGAACAAATATGCTCGAATGTGACTGCAGAGTTCCGAGCCACCCCAAGCCTTGTTTGGGCTGAGACCCCTTAGCTTTCAGCTGTTGGGGAAAAAGGGGGGGATTCAGAAAAGCAACTCCGGGCACGTCAGAACATGGCTACTCACTCCTTTGGCTGGCGAAGGTGCCAATTTGATCAGAACGACCTTCCCGACACGGCTCGCTCTCACTTCTTTGATCAAGGGAAAGCACTCCGATTTTGAGAGACAAACCCAATTGAATTCAGAAACACAAGGAACTCTTCCCCAGGTAAGGGACATGTTAGGCATTCGTTTCCCAAAACGGTCTCCTGAAGGGAGTGGGGGCGATGCTTCATGGAGTAATAAGTTGCCTTTGCCAGGCGGGCGCTTGAGTAGCTAGGTTCTTCCCAAACAAAAACTAGAAGGAAGTATGGGTTTTTGATATCTCCAGAATATTTTGCAGGTCAAGACACAGTACGTTTGTCAAATGTTGTGGCACAGTCGCAAGGGGGTGCACCTGCCATGAATCTGAAGTCTTGGGGTGTAAAAGGGACCTCCTTGTTTCCAACAGGTTTATCCTACCTATCCCTGGTTCACCAGCAGAACAATGCGTTTGTCAAGCTACTTTTACCCTGGTGTATGATGTGTTTCTTTGAGTTGTGATTTCCAGCCCTCACTGTTGCTTTGCCCACCCGCACGTGCTGTTCAACCATACATAGATTTACACAGAGTTCTTTGACAACCACAGTGTTAGACTCGGTGCAGGACGCCGGCTTTTTGCTTCCGCAGCTTAGCGAAGCCTCAGGATGAACGTCGCTTGGGCCTTTCACGAGTTCACCGCGGAGTTCGTGCCCCGGCGGTCGGGCAAAGAGTCCCACTTCCAAGAGGAAAGGCTATGTACCCATGGGAGGACTGGGCAGGGCGCCAACCTGTATGAGAGGCACATAAGGATGCTGCTTGCGTTGACATGAAGCGCCAAGGAACGACAATCACGAGCTTGGGGATGTTAGGCTGGAGCACATGTTGTTGTCCCGCGGCTGAAACTCGCTAGCGGTTCAACAAAAAGCGGCATACGACGACTCCCTCTGAGATTAGATAGTTTCCCACGAAAGGGTAACCCTGACTGATGCTCCAGGCTCATCCAAAGTTGTCATTTGACCCTTGAACCATAAGCTGTTGAGTGGGAATCACTGGATGTCCCGAATAGACCAATCAGGATTTGGTGGGCTTACAAAGACTCTCAAAATCAAAGCCGGGGATCTCAAGTTCGAAACACGGTTTGGTTGCCAATGCTGATTGAGTTTCTGTTAGGATTACAGGGGACATCCGTTCTGAGGGCGTCTTTGGAGATACCGTGAGGTACCCCATTTTATGTTTGTCATAGGCGGCCTGGTGTCTGGGCCCAGGCGCCGCAAATCATCGACTTCTGCGAGGGCAAAGACATCACGAGAGGACTTCCGCCAGGTGCTCAGAGCTCCTCGTGGCCCTTCCGTGGCTCCAGCGGCCTTTGGGAATGTGCGAGTCTCATAGGCCCAAATGCTCAAGCACCTGGATCGTCTTCGACGGTTTGCTGGATATATTTTGTTTCAGATAATTGTCAGTTGGTCCGAAAGCAATGCTCTCAAGCCTTAGATCCGGATCTTAGCCCTTTTGAGATCCTCGAATTTTGCCTCGTGTCCTTTTGGGCTGAGGACCGATGGCTGGCAGACCTCGCTGGGATCCATGCAGGCAGAGTGGGAGGGGGTGGAGGAGTGGGTCCTATAAACATGAGCCAGTTGTGGGGCTATGGCCAGTTGTTGTTGGGGTAGGATTTTGTCTAAAGATAAGGAGTTATCTAAAAGGTAGAAAATAACCTAACCTGACGTTATGGGTACAGTGCTTGAACAACTGTCCTGGGTGATTTGTTTGAATGGATATAAGATTGGAAGTAGGCTAGCGGCTAGTTGGCTTTGGTTTTCAAGGTGCCCCTTTTTGGGATTGTTTTCAGGGCAAAACTACCGCAGTCCCAAAAGATGATTCGGACCTGACGGGAAAGTTGGAGGCTGAAAGGTCTGCACGCCTCCAAGCGTTTGGCGTGAAATCAGCCTCTTGGATCATACACTCATGGGCTGTTGCCTACGGGAGTTGCCAAGTCGAACGAATCTGGGAAGCTGATCATCTCAACCGGGCTCCCTTTTTTCAACGTTTGGTTCATCCCCGCGCCTTGAGTGATGAAAACCAGCCTGAGCGAATCTGCTTGCAAGTCACTGCAGGAGCGTATGGTTCGCTTGGAAAGGGACATACTGTGGGTGGTCGGAATCCATTTCGCACCACTTTGAAACCATGGTTGAAACCATAACGTTTGTTGACATTGACGTTGGGGAATCAAATCATTCCGTTGGGTTTCTTAGGATTTCGGAGACTCGGACAGTTCCATTCCCAAGGCACGGGGACGTGTTCTCGTTTCGGGTCTCCGGGCCCCAGTGGCCTCTCGGCTTAGGTTGAGGAGTATGGGCGCAGCGGGCCGCTGGCGATTGCCATCCACGGCTCCTCGTCAATGGGAAAGGAAAAAACCTGTAGTTCAGTGAGTCTCACCTTAGTGAAACGATTTTGTTTGGTGAGTGTCCAACTGGTCAAGCCCCGCGACTGGGAGAATATACCAAGCAGCCGGTGGGCTTTGCATTGGCTGGTGAGTCTTGCGGGCTGCGACCTAAGGATCTGTTTTTTCTTGTTTTGGAATCCTCGCCTTTGCCCATTGGGCGCGTCTTTTTGGGTGTTTTTTCCCTTGTCTTTGTTGCATTTTGCTTGGATGTTAGGACTTGAACTTTTTGCCAACTTTGCTGGGTTTTCCGAATTAATCCGCTTAAAAGTTATTCACTTTTCGCAGGGGAGCAGATTTCGCAACCGAGTTGTGGTGGCTAGGGGGTAAAGCGATTTTGCCAGGGGGAAACGACGGGCACCCACACGTGAGGCATGGCCAAGAGCATGGTGACTGAGTGGGACTTCACCGCCCAGCACCTGGCGGAGGAGCGAACTTCGGGGCCCGAAAAAAAAAAAAAAAAAAAAAAAAAAAAAAAAAAAAAAAAAAAAAAAAAAAAAAAAAAAAAAAAAAAAACGGGGCGGTGGCTGCGTTTTTGGCCGCGGAAGAAAGGGGTTTCCTTGGGCAAAAAGGGGGCTTGATCGAACTTTCCGAACAACACCGGTATTTGAACATGTCGGTCGTAAATGCCTTTGGTTTTCTTCGAAAACTGCAGCAACATTTTTGGACCCCGCGCGTTCGCCGTTTCGCAAGAAAGAGCGTGGGCTCAGGTTGGAGGCCCTCATGCTCAACCGGTTTGGAAATGGAGTTTGGCAAACAGGTGCGTTCATTTTGATTCGGCCGCACAGCTCGTCCATGCGCCAAGGTTGCAAAAGGTAAACCTGTTTCATGTCCAGGTTTGGGCGGTTGTGAGTTATGCTGCCCCAGTCGCAATCCAAAAGGCTTGGCTCAGGGAGAACTGCTCGCAGCCTGACCTGGTTTCAGAAAGAAAACAAAACGCCAAATGCTTTTGGGATTTGCCGTATACTAGGTATAGGAACTCGATCTTTTGGCCATTTGTTGTGTAGGATCCACGTTTCCCAAAGGCTATAGGAACTCGGCTTTTGGCCAGCTGTTGTGTGGGATCCCATGTTTGGTCCCAGATGCGAAGAGCAGGGCAACGCAAGGCGACCTCTGGGTTTTGGTGTCCGACCGACGTCATGCATGCTGATTACGTTCCTTTGGGGGGGGGGGGGGTAGTTTATCTCAGGTTGGTGAATGACTCTGGGGTAGACTTAGGATACATTTTACATTTTACCAGTGACTCAAAGTGAAGCAAACAATACAATATACATTCTATAGCTGGGCCCTAATCATGGACTGCCATTCACATACGCCTCTTTCAGCTTCTTTGCCTTTCTCCCAGCAGTGCAAAGGAGGGCTACCACGTCCTCGTGCCCAACTTTCACTCCAACAAGGACACTAGGCTCGGCTGGGCCACCCCCGGCCCATGGGTCCCTGGGCCGGGCATTGCCATACCAAGGATGGACTCAACGTACCGGTTGGTCGGGAAGGGATTGCTCACCTGGGGTTCACCATTAGGAGTTCAAGGGCTGGTCCAGAAAAGTTCGAAGTTGCGCATGGAAAGTGTAATGTTCACCAAATACTAGCCAAACGCGAGTGAACCTTTTGCCAAGGTGCCAAAAGTCAAACTCTGTAGGAGCATGCAAAGTCTATGTGTGTCGCTCCTGTGCAGCAAAGGGTTTGCATTGGGTACGCTCGCCAGTTTCACAGATGGTAGTTCTTCTGACTCTCGGAGTGGCGCTTGCGTTGCGTCTTCCAAAAGTCGGCGAAGCGGGATACGTCCTCAGTTGTTTCCCCACAAGGTGCATGAGCAACGAGAGCACGGTGTTTGCCGGTTGGCTCCGTAGGGCCAGTAAACGATCACCCAAGGGCAGGAAACTGGTGTTGACCTTTCTTTAGGGAACCTCAACGAGTTACACCACCACGGTTCTTTTAGCTTGCATGCCAGACTGATGGGCCCCGTAGAATGTGTGCATTCCCCACAGTTTGTCAAAGCTATCCAGAAGAGGTCACCTGTTGCAAGACGCCCCAAAATATGAACCAAGTCTGGAATTTGTGGGAGAAAAACAAAGGTCCTTTGCTTGGACCAGATAAGTTTTTCTTCAAATGTCCAGTTGGTTTCCGTTGAAAGTCCGGCAACCGTTTTGACACATACCCATTTGGATCAGGAGACGATGTTGGAAACGAGGGTCCTCCCGGCCTAAGGTGCCATGGTTTCAGCAAGTCATTTGCGACACGGCCATGACACCCAAAGGCCATAGCACAATTCGAAAGCCGTGATTTCGCCATTGGGCAGAGGGAGCAAAGCCGGAGAAAGAGTACAGATCATCGCTAAGACTGTTTAATGCTCGAAGGTTGAGACAGAATGAAACACAATCTGAAAGTATTCTTTTTGGGTCATCTTGCCCCAACCCCAAGTATTCTTGGCCCAACCCCAATCTTTTTGGTGATCAGCCATCCTGGGGTTGGGCCAAGACAAGGTGCTTGACGCAAGTCGCCCTGGTCTGCCGCTTCTCGCAGGCCGGGCAAGATCTCCGCGGACAGCGCGGCCGCGGTGCTGCTGGATCTGCAACTTGGCCGAACTGCCGTGCCGATCAAGCCACCGAAACCGGTGTCTGTGGGTCAAAACCGTTTTGGGATCCCCATTTTGGTTGGGATTGGTGAATTCACCACCCATTTTAGAGCCTAGTTTCGTGGTTGGAGTGGGGTTCGGGCTTTGGATTTTGACCCATGGCCTGGTGGACCTTCGCTAAATGGTTCGGGATCCCAGGTTTAGACCACTTAGGGGAACGTGGTTTCTCATTTAGAAGACCAGCTAAGCTGTTTGATTTCGGTGGGTCACAACTGGGGGACTCTACAAACTGCGGTCTTCATGGTGGTTTTGCTTGAACCTGAAACGGGTACCTTGAAGAAAAATCAGGCATTTGCAATGTTACATGCCACAAGGAATAGCGTTCTGCCAACACCGTCCGTACCCCTTGTATGAGTGGTGTATACCCTCTATACCTGCATATCCGATTTTGGCACTGCCCTGGACGTCTGGTGGGGCCGCTGTTTTGAATGGATTGGAGGATTAGCATGCGTGTTACATGTGTTTACTTCTACGAAAAGTGAAACAAAACAACAACTACCTGGTCAGTGAAAGTGTTAAATGAAACCAAGAAGGGAAGCAGCAAGCGGGCAGTCCTTAAGTACACCGGCATAGACCCCAAATAGTGAAAAACTGCACCAGCGCCCCAAATTGCATGCCCCCTAGCACCCAGCCGTCAATATCGCATATAACTTTCCCCTTGTTATTAGAAGTTAGAACCCCATAGCTGTCCGCTGTTTGGGGAAAAACAAAAGTAGAGCGATCAAAAGACCAACCCTGTGTACCAACGGCAGTGTGTCAAACCAAAAGATGGCTGCCCTTTGGGAAATGGACGAGTTTGAAGGAATTGTGGGTCTTCATAAAGCAGTGACTCGACAAGCAGGGAACTACCACTGCTCTTTCGTTTCAAAGGGAAAAACCCGTATAGCGGGGTTTAAAGGACTACCTTTTGAGTTTGGGTATTCCCTTGCAAGATTCAAAGAATCAGGCTTACCCAGGCCCCAAATCCCAACACCCAAGAAATCTGCGAACAGAGCCTTCGAAAGGCTTCCGAGCGCAGGGGCCGAGAGGGGCTCGCCAGGATGAAGCTCGTGGGCAGTTCCAAGATCTCGCTGCTCATGGGCAAGTCCTGGGGAGGCGCGTGGCATGTGGGGTATATGGGTCCCCACAAAAGCGGAAGACCAGCTAAATGGCTGTGGTTGTCAACAATAGGGTAACCCCCAAATCAAATGGCTTGCCCTGGTAAATGGAAAGAAGGACTAAAACCTGCGGTTTGCCGAATCTGGCAGGTTCTGATTCTGGTAACTAAACCAGAAAGACGACCCGCTGGCACATCAGAAAGCAAAAAAAAGTTAGAGTTTCCCAAATAGCACCTCTATATACCCAGCAGTGGCTCTGAAGTTGAATCGGGAACACCCTTAACATTGTTTGTATTTGCATAAATCCGCACGCCTCTGCTTCATCCCATTCAATGTCATAGCTGAATATCTTGCAAGTGAACCAACCTCATCCAACCACAAAGCCCGTGGTAGATTGCGGTAAGACAGGGATGCCCTTGGTCTTGCCTACCCAGCAGGTACATACCGTTGCATTGGATGCACCCTTGACATGAATTTAAGTGGACACCAACACGACATGCCGATGGCTCATTCAACTGCCGTAAGCCATGGATGCTTGTTTTCTCATTGCATCAGAGCAGCTTGTGTCCCCAGTCATCTTTGGCGCAAGCAAGCCTTGCCGCAGCGTTCCCCAAAGCACTGGGGTCTTTTGTTGTGGACAATCCTTGTGAGTGTCCCTCATGCTTTAGGTTGGGTGTATGAATTAACTGGTATTTGTGAGGTCGAGGAAAACACTGAACTCATTCTTATGATCTTTGGGGAGCTTAAAACCACCATGGTACTGGCCAATGTCCTGTAGAAAATCCCGCAGCTGTAATCCATGCAGTACCCGACCCGCCCTTCACCAAACTGCTCGCGGAGACCAGGCGGCATGGCCTCCGCTCTGGTCAACAAACCCGAGCTGCAGGCGCGCGGACACGAGGCCAATGCAATCGCCTCCGTGGAGCGAGCCAAAATTCCGGGGGGGGGGGGAAGTGACGGTGGTCCTTGGGGTCCTCTTGGGAAGAACCCCGAGCTGTGTTGTTGTTAAAGGAACAAACCCCAAGGGTAGTGAACGATGTCCTTGGGCCCAACGTACCCTGGAGCAAACTGAAACTGGTCCAGAGGTTTGCAAGACTTAAACGTTTGTTTGCCCTTTTACCCCTGCATCGCCCACCTCAAAGCAAAATCGACAACTAAATGGCAAGGCGACGGAATGGAATCTTTAGAGTTCTGCGAACTCACTCGCCGCGCTTAGGGTCCTAGCTGGAAAATTGAGGACGTACCTTTGAAGAAAGTTGGCCTTTCCACCCAACAGGGAGTACAGGCATTCCCCTCCTTCCCCATTTTGAGACATATGCAGCGCAGCGTGCACACCCAGAAGCAGTTTCTGGCTTTTCCGTTGATCAAGCTCATTCAAGGTAAAAGGATAAGCCCCAAACGAGTCATTCTTGGGTCGAGTCTGATCTTTTTGCGGGTGTCAGGTGGACATGAATGACAGTGTTGAAGTTTAATGTTCCACCATGTGTAGTTCATAGGCAACTATTGCAAGTGAATCCACTCTATCGACCCACAAAACCGTGGTGGTATGAGTTGGTGTTCCAACCAGTACATTTGGTAGCCCCATTTCACCCAGATCAGTTCAAGGACTGCTTGCTCCAAGGGTTCCTTTCGCCATTTGAGGTTCGCTCAAACTTAGCTCATGTGTGAAAACATTGAGAATCACAAAATTGTCCAGCGGCGCAGCCAAAAAAAAGCGGTGTTTCTTGTGGTTCCCTGTGGAAAAACAAATCCACAAAAAGATTCCCCACATCCAGGGACTCGAATTGAGTCACAATCAAAACCCGGGTAGATGAAGGTTAATAAGGGATGATCCCAACCAGAAATAGCTGCGGTCGCCTTGTAAATTCTTCACGTGGCTCTGGATAGACCAGTTTGATACGGGGTTTTGATTGTGACTCAATTGTCCATGTCTCTTTCTCTTCTTGACGCAGCGGGCGAGGTGGAGAAGATGGTGCTGGTGGCGCCTGCGAGCTTGCAGCCCTGGCCGGGGACTCCGGGGAACTTTTTCGGTGACCCGGACTCGGGTAGCTTCGGTTCAAAGCGAATCGACCGGATCTGACCTTTTCGGTTTTCAAAGGAGATGACTCTTATCGGGCAACTGACGTAGCAAATGTCATGGTTGTTGTTGGGAAACAATTACATTTTTGCTTATTGTGGTTTAGTGGGAAATCCCCACTTAACTGCTAAAATTTAAATTAGGTCCCCCAGCTAGGTGCCCTTTTACCCTTTCTTTTTGGTTGGGAGGGTTCAAACCTACTAAAATAGACTCCAGAAAAAGAAAAAAATGTACCCTGATTCTAACCTCTGCGGGAGGACCTAGTTTTGGATTCCTTTGTTGGCGGCCATGTTGAATCGTGGTTTTCAGAGGAGATCGCTTTTGTCCAGGCGCTTCGGGCACCTGAGGTAGCAAATATTCAGGCTCCGGAACCTTTGGTGGCTTTGGATTTGAACCGTTCTGGTAGAGGGTCAACGAGAAGCTACTCCTCCATCCTCCAAACCTATCCAAAACAGAGAGAGGAAAGCTGACATGAGTTCCTTTCGGAGGCACATGATTCTGATTTGATGAAAGCAGTGAGAACCCGTTTATTAGAACCAAAAACAGCGTCTTTTGAGCCGTTCCCTAAAGATTAAAGTTGTTCCTTTCGATCAAACAATTCTCATTTCTCAGGTAGGGGTCCAACTTAATTTCCCAACTTGGCGTCCTAGACGTGGCAGTGAATCACTGGAAACCCACCGGTCAATTGACTGAAGGGAAGATCCAGTGACGCTGTTCTGTCTTTTTCCAGTCTGCTATGGAGATTTCACCTCGCCGATGGGTATGCAGGTGGCTCTTTCTGGAGAACGTCGTGGAAAGTTCGGCCAATCTCGGGGATACGCCTTTGGCCTTTCTTGTTGTCTGATGCTCTCAAAACAATGACGACACAGTAAATTCAGTAAATGGTCTGGAATCCTTGTGTATTTTCCTGGGACCAAACTTATCCACTCTGCCATGGCGGTCCCCATTCTTGCCCGCCCGATCAGATCGTCTTTGGAGCAAAAAGCGCAAAACCCTTAGGGGTTCGATGCTGCACTGAGGCCCGCAAGCTGCCGAGCAGCCCTCTTCTGGGCTGAGGATGACGCAGTGGTGCGGGAGGGGGGGGGGGGGGGGGGTGTTCCGTGGACGCTGCACGCTGGGGCTAGCACCGGGGCGAGGTTTGACCGGACACCCTGTGAATCAACCAGGGATTAATACGTACACATGGCACCAAAGAAGTCAACCAAGCGAATCTCGCATGTCGTCACGAGCAACGACAAATCGCATCAGGGAGCTGCCGAGCCTCCACGATTTGCTCAGCGTGCACCTTTGCAAAGACGCCTCACCCTTTGGGCAGCTGGACCTTGCAAATGAAAGGCAATGAGAAGTAGGCTGGCCACCTCCGTCTCGAGCAAGATGGGGGGGGGCGAACACATCATATGTGTCCAGGGTCACCGCTTGCCAGGTGCCCATCAAGAATGCTGAAGCTCAGCCGGAGTTATTGCAGCTCCTCGCCGTGCAAGTCGGAAAAACACCAATAAGGCGAAACCATAACTTTGGTGCATTTTGCTTGGATGTTAGGACTTAACTTGTTGCCAACTAATGGGTTTTCCGAAGTAAACCACTAAAAGTTATTCACTTTTAGCAGGGGAGCAGACAGCAACCGAAATAAGGTAGTCTACTGCTTGGTTTGCGGAAGTGTTGTCACTCAGAGTGCCCCGAATACATGGTGCGCCCCGAGCCTCCAAAAGACATCAGGGTGGAAAATCATGGGTCCTTTTGGTGTTTCTTTCCAGCGAACCAACATCTACCCTGTCAGCGTCTTTGCAACTGCGCAACGCAGTCGGCCACCAAGGAAGCTGAAGCTGTTCCACAAAGAGCGCACGGGCGAAACTCTCAGTGGCCTTTGCCAAAAAAGGGTACCCCAAAGCCCCCCAGAGCAAAATTTCGGGCCAATAAGGCCTGAAGTCAGCTGGGGTCTCCAGGTCTTTTGAGGGTGGGGTGTCTACTGGCGAGAGGATCCAATGAGCCCAAAAGGTGATCCAAGGCGGCCATAGGATCTTGGACACCTACTTGCCCGCGATCATGGAGTTCGCGGAGCCGCCGGCATTGCTGGAGGCCGCAGCTCGGGGATGCGTCTTGTTTTCTCTCATCGCTTGCAGATTGTGCACAAACACCAGGGCTTTCGTTTTGGGTGACCTCCCTATCGATTTGGGGGTGACCACACCAAAGGCTTGTGAACGTTGCTCATCCGGCCCGGTGAATCGTAGGTCACCGCCGAAGGAGAGACCAAAGAGCCTGCGCATACCAGGACTCGGGGGGTTTTACGTGGTGTGCTCGAAACTCGGCAAACCGGGGATTTGTTGGTTTAATATTGGGTTTGACTGAAATGGCCATGGGTCATAACCAAATCGTACCCCTAGTGAACATCCCAATCCCCACTCAAATAGACAAAAATGGGTGGTGCACCTACCTCAAAATGGTACCATTGGTTTTCACAGCCAAATCGTCCCTCAAAAATGTCCCTAGCTTTGGCATACCACATAGCCCAGTGAAACGGTGCCAGGTGCATTGCCAGAGTTGGACATCGTTGTGAGCCTTTGGCCATATTCTGAGTATCACCGGCAGACACATGACGACGCGAAGCATTGACAACCTCATCCATGCAGAAAAGTCATGCACTGACAGCATCTGATTCTACCTAGCATCTTGTATTCCAGAGAAGGTTGCAAGAGCACATCTAGTTTAGCTTTGCAAAGCATTCTGCGCTACCTAACATGACGCAATCTGGGCATGAAGTTCGAAGTGATTGGCAAGTGGTCAACATCAAGTTGCTGCATGTCATTGAGGTCTTCTAAATTCTGAAATCCAAGCACCAGCAATGTGCAGTGCCCACATTGCCAGCTTCTGACGGTCAAGAATCCACGCATGAGGAGCTCTCTCTACGATCACAAGGCCACCCGTTGCATGTTTGCTGAACTGAGCCAAATGAAGGTTTGTGGGGAACAGTCCTGATCAGAAAACCAGAAGGCACGCAGATCTGCTCGTTTGCCTTTTGAGTAGACCAGATTGAGTCCAGGCTTTGATTGACTCAGACCGTCTTGAGAGCAAGTCCCCTGTGCAGGTGGCCCCCCGAAGCCTCAGACTGAAAGCCCCTGAACCAAACTTTTGCAGTTGGGGAAATCGAAAACTATGGATTTGCCTCCAAATAGAAGAGAGATTCTTGTACGCGCCTCTGCCCAAATGGCGAAAAGAATCTGCCCTTGGACCATGACTTTGTCTCAAACTCGGGTTTCGGCGCTGCGGAGGTGCGGTGATCCTCAGATGTGCTCAAAAGCCCCGACTCTCGGCTAGCTGGTCATGGACTCTCAATGCAAGGGTTCCCCTCAAGGGGATGAAAAACAAAGATGAAGCTGCAAACCTGTTTGAACAACCTGAGGCTTCCCCTAAAACTGGATCAAACTGGCTAGGAACGAAAAGTGGCATTCAAACAGAAGCACGACAACATGACCATTTATGTGTGTGTTTTCTGGCGAGCTGGAGATAGAACGAGCTCACGCAGGATGAAAGGCCTTAGCTTGGAGCTCTAATTCTTACTTCGGACGTTATTCTTGCCAATTTGGCCAGATGACAAGGCGACTTGGGGAGTTTGGAGCAATCTTGTCGCCAGGCCCAGGGTAAACTTGCGCTTTGACAGATCATCCTCGGCCTGGTCCTGTGCGTGCTGGTGGCGGCCTTCCTCCTTCGTAAGCCCGGGCGCCCAGGGAACTTCTCAGCTGTGCGAGATACTGTGGCAACGGAATGACTCGATTCCCCTGCACGTTATGGTTTCAACCATGGTTTCAAAGTGGTGCAGGATTTCGTCCATCCACAGTAGGGGAAGCAAACCAAGATGCCATGCAAGCCGGTGTTTGTATTTGCTAGGTCCGCCAGCTCGGTGCCCTTTTACCCTACTAAAATAGACTACAGAAAAAAGGGTACCCTTATTCCAACCTCTCTACTGGAGGACCGAATTTGGGTGAACTGCTGTTTGTACCCCTTACCCTATAAGTGGTCGTGCTGGAAGATTGTGTCATCCATCCTTGGGCCCAAGATTCGAAACGCTTCCATGTTCATGGGCGAGAGAGTACCTTTTCCAGTCAAAGTGGACGATCGGAGAGCTTGCCATCCTGTAAATGCCCCAAACGTCCACCATTGGAAGCAGGGCCAGGAAAGACCTTTGCATCCAAACCAATGCCCTCCCAAGGGCTACCGTATCGGTTGATAAGCCTAAGCATGAACCTGAGGCCAGACTGGCGGCTCAAGGCTCTCCTGAAAATGGTCCACCCCACGAAGAGCTCTCCCCGTTTTTTCCCCTGCGACGCATGCGGAGGCGGAAGAACGAGGAGCCCAAACGCAGCCCGCGCCCACAGAAGCTCGGCGCGGCGGAGTGAGGCCAAAAGGAATGCGCTCGCTTGGCGTTTCGGCCGCCTCGCTCCCGGCGTTTGGAGTCCACCGCTTGAAGCGGCGCATGTTTTTTTGGGGGGGTCTATGCCGCATGGGACGGTTTCGGTCACGGTCTCAAAGGCGAACCCTTCTGTTCCAGTCCGGCGGGATCAACCCAAAGCGACTGGACCTTTGCGTTTGTGGCTCCAGCTGATCTAAAAGGCTTGGGTAAATCTTCGACCCACTCTAACACCCAGAGCTCAAGCAACTCGTGGCGGATCATGCCCAAGCTTTGCCTCCCCTATTTCTGGGAGTTCAGCCCGCAAAGTGACCGAGGTTCGGCAGTGGGAACCGGGAAGAGGCACCCTTTGAAGGGCCCTTCCAGACGGACAAGGACAACAACTGAAACGCCCAAAAACCAAGAAACCAAGCCAAATCAGCGGAAGCAACAACCAAGAACTCCAACAAAACTAAGTGGGACTAGCTGACCGTCCTTTGCCTTAACCTGGCCCTTTGCTTGACGTCTTAACCGCTTCGGACCTGGCGACATGGCTTTGGCACCGGGCCCACAGATGACGCTGTACCACACCGTGCCGCCCGGTTGGAAGCTGGGCGTTTTCCAGAGCTTGCTATATGGATAAGTGTCAAAATTGGGCCCAACGATGGTGGATTTCCTCGTGGTTTTCCACAAAGCACACCCATATTGCCACAATGGGAGGTTTCAACCATTTCCCCTTGGGCCACTTTAAAGTGAGTTTCCTTCCGGTATGTTGAAGGCGAATTCTGTCTCTTGAAGTCAGGGTCTCCGAGGGAGCGAGTTTTGGGAATACGCCTAGGGATCCTTTAAAGAAAACCACCATGGTTGCTTCTTGCGGGGGTCCTTCCCACTGTGAAGCAGCAAGGGTGTTCTTTTGTTGGTGTGTTGCCCTCAAAAACCAGCAGCAAAACAAGAGGAGGTCCCTTTTCCTCTGGTAACTGTGCAAGTATGTGACCAGGTCCCCCAGTAGTGCCCTTTTACCAACTTTCTTGGGGGAGGGTTCCCCTACTAAAATCGACTACAGAAAAAAACGTTGGTGCCCTTTTTCTAACCTCTCTAGGTGAACCTATCTAGCGGATCAGGATCTCCGCTTGGGGAAACGACCCGCATCAGCTAGATCAGTAGGCTTCAGCAGGGGTTGTGAGCGGGATGCCAGAAGTTGCCCCGGCCTCGCTGAGGGGTCTTCCTGGCAACCAAACATCCATCTCAAAAGGATAGTAGTCTTCCGTCTATGCTTGATTTTGACACATCGCGACATGCCAAGAAGTTCTCCCAACAGTTGGTTTTTCGGTATTTTGGCTTTACCTACCGCACCCTTCATTGTTTAGCAAATCACCATGCGGAAGGTTTTGTGGGGGAACCCGCCTTGCCCGCGATCCCAAGTTGCAATCTGAATGTACTTGATTTTACTTGACACCCGCCGACTCAGAGAAGGCGTTTTGCAGCCATGGAGGTGGCATCGATTCCGCTCGCAAAGTGGCAAGGGCCCAGAAAAAATGGATACAAGCTTCTGTGCCTTTTCTAGCAAAAGCCTCCAAGGGAAAGAGGCACAGCCAAAAATAGCGACAGCCCCTGCCATCTTGAGACGGTTCAACCTGAGGTCCGCCCGCTCCTTTCGAGTTCTTTGGACGCTGCATGCGCTGGCCTCAAGGGGTCCTTCAGTTCCAGGGATGCGGATTTCGGTTCGGCGGTCGCGTTATTTCGGGTTGAGAACTGCATTGTTATTGAGGCAAGGCCCGGCAAGTTTAGCATTCCCCACTCTTTTGGCCAGTAGGGGTTGATCAACCTCCCCTCTAAAGGGGTATCACAGAAGTCGTTGCAATGCTCACAGCCTGATTCTTTGTTGGATCTACAAAGTGGTACTGAATCATTGGAATCCACCAGTAAATCACAGATTTGATCATGGGATATCCAGTGGACCCAGTGAATTCTCCAACCATGAGCGAGGCTTGTGTGCTGATTTGGAGGAAAAGGCATTGGCAAAGGGTGCCCAGAACGAGGTCTTTGCTTGGTTAGGTCAGGTTTCGGAGACGGCGGGGGGTGTCCCGCCTGCTTCGCTTCGGATGTCGTTCTCTTTGGAGGAGATGGGCATTTCCGACAAGTGCAAGCTCATCACTATGCCGTTCCCTCCGCGTGTTTTCGCCTTTGGGCTGCAGTGGATTTCTGATCCTCCAGAAAGCTTTTGGATGGGTCTACCCTCCCGCAAGCGTTTCCATGCAAGCCCACTTCAAATGAAACTACGTTGTCCAACGGGGTTGTGGGGGCTTCCATGTTTGCTGGGGGGAGGGTGAAGAAAGGCAATATTCAAACCAGCCACCCGGAGAGATCCCTCCATTGGCTTCCACAGTTCATTCTCGTGGGAGGTGCGCGAGTTCCTGAAAGTGAACGTCCTGGGAACCATTCCGTACTTCATCGACGACGGCGGCAAGGTGAAGACTCGCGGCTGCACGCTGCGATCAGAACTGCGCGATGTGCACCGAGGGGTTAAAGGTTCAAAAAGGCTGTGCGCCGCCAACTGCACCAAATCTGGAACCGAGTGCACAGCTCATCTCGGGACTTTGGGTCATGCCAACGGAGCCTCGCGGACCGAGTATTCTTTTTGTCCCGCTACATTGAGCGGCTCCGAGACCAAATCTTTCAGTTCATCAAACCTGGGAAGCCTAGGTGGCTTTGGTGCAATTTGCCAAGGGATGGTAGGACTTTACCTTTTTGCCAACTCATGGGTTTCCATGAAGCCACTAAAAGTTAGACTTTCGGCAGGGGAGCAGTTTAGCAACCGAGGTGGGTTGCTAGTGCCAGCCTTACCCCCTTCCAAGTCCTCATTTCCAAGCGGATCCGCTCAAGTGCCCTTGCTTCCAACGTGGGACGTGGGTGTCGGCTCCTTGCTTGAAAGCGCGCCCTTCTCGAGTCCTCTTGGGTCGGGTCAGTCAAATGCGCCAGATGAGCCACAATCACAACCCGGGTAGATGACGGCAAGAGACAATCCACAAATTGTTGCGGCCGCCTTCTTAACTCTTTACATGAGTCATCATGGTTCTGGGTCGACTGGGTCGACCATTTTTGTACAAAGGGTTTGGGGCAAGTGACTCATGTTCAGATGCGACGAGGATGACGGAGTCCTGCGCCATTCCAAAGTACTTGGTGGAGAGATACGGCCAGGGCCTCGGCTCCGGGTTTCGTAGGAAGAGCAAGGAGACCTCACGTCGGATAGGTTGGTTCACTAAAGGTTTCCGGGGTAGCCTTAGGATAGATACATCTTACATTTTAGTGACTCAAAGTGAAGCAAACAATAAAGTATACATTCTATAACTGATTGCCTAACTCTAATCGTGGTTTGACAATTCTTGCATGGGACTCACTTGGAAATCACCTCCTTTAAGAATATCTCGAGATAAGACCTGGTTGCTTTGGGCAATAGTAATGCCCTCCTCATGGGGAACCGGGGATTGCTGAGGCCCCACACCACTGCAAGTGAAGCCACATGAGCCAGAGTGGCCTGACTACATCAACTGGACTCTCGGCAAAAACCATCGAGGAGGGAAGTTAGTGAGGGATGCACTTGGTGACAACCAAGCAACCGACCAACCAACTAACCAAAGGAATGCAAAGAGACAAGCAAAGAAACGAACAAACCAGAGTCTGCTGCGAGTCAAGATTCACGATGTTGTTTCTTGTGTCAAGAGTGGAATGGCAAGTGACCACCGGAGATATAAGGATCGCACATGCGGATGCTACGCTGACCTTTCCACAGACTGTGGTTCTGCGCTACACCTTGCAGGACTGATGGAGAGTCACCCCAGAGTTCCAGCGGAAGACAATCATAGGAGTGTGTTTCTTGGGACGAGAAGCCACGTTTTTTTGTGGTGTCCATTACATGTCCCTTGAAGCACCCAAAGGAGGATATTCTCAGAAAAGACGCCGGCATTGGTGGAGGGTTGGTATGTCGGTTTCCCGTCACAGCCACGCTCAAGTCACTGCACAAAGCATTGGAAGGACGCAGTCGGCACAAGCTGCCAAGGAACGTTCAACCAGGGACAATTCTAAGGCAACTCCGTGATTAGACCACAGGGCAAAATATATAGGCAGAAGAGCGGTTTGGAACAATGTGCCCCTGTTTGTATCAGAAACACTCAATGAACTCGCTCATCCAAAGCAAAGTTGCTGACGGATCACTGCTGAAGAAGCCACTACTGATGTTAATTTACGTATGTACATGGTGGTGAAGGTGAGCGATTGGGCCATTTGCTGCAAGGGATTCGTAATCAAAGTTAAGGAAACGGTCCATGCTCCACCCTTGTTGAGCCAGATCCACTTGTTCGTGACACTGGCTACTGTTGTATGGTGAACCAACCCCAAGCAGAATGCCCCCCCCCTCCGGCCAGCATCATTGAGAGTCTTGCGGGAATCCACATATGTGGCTCAATAATCAAGACCCAGGGTTACGCAGGTGTTAATCTAATTTTCCACTTGCCAGAGTTCCATTTTGGAGCCCTATTTTTTTGACCCGCAGCCATATGTTCGGTGATTCCCCTGCAATATTTCCATACTAGGTCCCCCAGTAGTGCCCTTTGAATGTGGGGGAGGGTGTTTCTACTAAAATAGACGTCCTCAAAAAAGTTGGTACCCAAATATTCTATCCTCTCAAATCTGGAGGACCTAGTTTCAATATTTTGGGGGGTGAATCGCCCCTATGCCGTGGCTCTTCTCTCGTGTAAAACAGATCGGTAGGAGAAGGGCCGTGCAGATTCGGCGGCGGAGGCCCGGAGCGATCGTCGTTTTTGAGATATCCGTTTTGGGGGGTGGCCGTTTTTTTTTGCCACCTTGTTCCCGAAAATTCATGGTTGTTGTTGGGAAACACTTTACATGTTTGCTTATTGTGGTGTAGTGGTTGAAATCCAACCACTGAGCTGCCAAAATTCGAGTTTTTGCTTCCCGTCCAACGTCAACCAAGAATTGGCGGCCCCCTCAAAAAGGAATCCTTCACTAGGGGGTCGATCATTTTTGGTACAAAAGGCGGCAACAAGCCACCCCGATCCTTTTTGGGGTTGGTCGCGAGTCAAAGCACAAGGCTGAATGGTTTGGGAGCTCGCGTCATTTTACCGCGCCCAGAAAGCACACCATTGGACCATCTCCTGAAGTGTCGGCAGCGTGGCATCCTACTGATTGCTTATTGGATTGACGGTCCACGCCTTGATCAAATTGCTGTTATCCTTTCGTCGACCTCCAGGCGACCCGCCCGTTTCCTTTGCTTGTCTTCACGGCGCCCCGTGGCCCGGCCCGGAACACGCAAAGTGCCCATGGGTGTCTATGTGCAAGCATTCACTGGGCATTGACAGGACTATGGGAAGTGGTACATTTCCAGACTGCGACTTTTGGACAACACCCTCGCCGACGGCAGGGAGTTCCTTTGCGCGAGCCTCAGCTTGCATGGAGATTGTCGGCCTGGCGTGAGGCAGTCGGGCGCTGCAGACAAACATTGACTTCTGCACGCAGCCTATCAAACAGCCAACACTTTCAGTGGGCAACAGCTTTTGCGCAGTCCAGAGATGTCATGACTGCGTCAAGGTGCCGGCAGATTTACGCTGGCAGATATCTGCATCTTGCCACGCAGGGCAGTTGGGAGGTTGTTTGTTTTCTTTAGCGTGCCAAGCTTGGGGCTGAGTTCTTAGCAGAAAGTATTGCACAGATCAGCGCGGACGGGTTACGTGTTCAGGCCTGTCATCTGAGGTGTGGTCTTCGCACTGGATTTGGGCGTGACCTTCGGATTCGATAAGCCGCCTGGCGCAGGTTTCCCATGTTGCGCCAGCAAGGGCACCCGTAGGCACACCCACATCGGAAACAAACAAAATGAGAAACCCTGAATAGCATGTTGGGTTTGGATGGCTTCACTTGCTCTTTTGGAATCAACACCTCCACCAGGCCTGGAAAGAAAATGGACACATAGCCACGGAGCATGGTCCGGTGTCCAGGATACTTCTGCTTCCAAGAAACAGGCGGATACGTCAACGGCATCAGCCGTTTTGGTTCGCGGAGAATGCGGTGCAAGACTCAGTGTCAAGGGCTCAAGCAACCAATTCGGTCCTAGCTCAGTTTGCTTAAAGATGGATGCCACTGTCTCAGTTTGGCTCTAATCATTTTCCAGCGCCATGTCAGAAGTTCTATCTTCATCCTGTATCATGAATCCTGTATCATTATTGTAGTTTGTCCAAGAGGACACAGGCAGTTCTGTCCTTCACAGCAAGTGCTGCTGAGGAAGTACAAGCCGCAGACGGCCAGCTACTTGCAGCGCATGCGCACCCGTCCTGCCTTCGCAGCAGCCATGGACGCTGAGTCGCATAGTCGGTCAAAGCCCAGGTCATTTCTTTGGGCTATCAAAATGAAAACCCGTGGTTGCTCAGTGGCAAAGAAAAGTTTGGCCTTCTTGGCCAATCCTCTCAACAAGTGAGGAAAAGCGTTGCTGAGAACCAGGCCTTAAGGTAGGATTCCTCTTGACAAACCTTTGTCAACCGTGTGCGTAAGAGCGCGTCAGTTTCGATTCATGGAGACATGATGGGTGTTTATTCACGCATTGGGTGTGTTTGTGAACCTTTTGTGACAAGTGCGGGCACGCCACACCTCAAATCGTCCTGTAATGTTTCCTTGGTTTCTCCTTCGTACAAGCTATGAATGGATTCCCTTTTTTGGGTGTCAAAGCGCCCATGTCGGTCGACCGACTTGGCTTGCAATGTTCAGGAGCACCAAGCAGAGAGCGCTCATGAATTCAAAGAGCAGGTGGGGCGTGAGTGCGTGGATATTGATTGCGAATGTGAGTGGAGAAAGACATGTGGCTTGTTTGTGCACTTAGGAAGCAGGGAGTGCAACGCACTTCCCACGTTGATCGTTGCATCCAAGCCAAAGCACCAAGCGATGTCATAAATGTTCGCCATGTACTGCGATGGCCAACTGCAAGCCAGCCAGCTGTACTTTGTTGCATGTCCTTTGCCTTCAAGTCATGGTCTATCCATTTCGGCATGAGTTTGTTCATTGGGACGCGGTGGACAGCAAGCATTTGTGACATGAAAGCTGACCGCCAAGTGGCTTTGCAGTCCCAATCTGTGAGGCCAAACTTTGATATCAACCCTCCAACCTGACGGGCTTAGCCTCGCGGCGAGCGAGTGTGCCTTGCAGTGGAATGATGTTTTACAGCTGGATGTCTTTTAGCATTCTTTATTTGCAGCTCGAGCACGAAGTGGGGCCAGTGACAGTGGCTGGCAAAAGTGCAAGCAGCCACATCACTGGAAAGGGTTTATCTATTTGGGGATGCACCACAGGGTGCATTGAAGTCTGTTCTGATTTAAATTGAAGCATAGGTTCTCTGCTTTGGAGCAAAAAGTGCAAAGCAAGTGCGCTGCCTGTCATTCCAGTGACAGCGATTTGTTAAAGGCGCCCGGCTTTGCTGGGATCTGTTGGGCCACGGGGTAATGAAACCAATTTGCTGCTACGCACACGCTGCCTGTTTGGCTCGCGACGCAGCCTTAGACGTCGCCCCAGATGGTCCTGCCGCAAGCTCAGTGATTTGGGTACATGTGAAAGACAGGCTGACATGAAAGCATTTGCTTAGAAGGGTCTCCAGTTTCAAAGAATCACCATGTGTGCGTAGAGGGGTTCCAGCAGTCAGCACGAAAACATGTGGACACAGACTTGCTCAGAAAGACTTAAGAGCTCAAGCTGCGAGCAGAAGAAGAAGCAGATGAAAACATTCAAGACCGGAGAGTGCCAAATTTTGATACGAGGCATTGGTGCCATCATGGAGGAGGCGCAGGCGCGTGTACGCGAATGCTTCAGTCACAAATTGTGTTGTGAACACCGCAAGCACAGACAGTGACACACAGATGCTAAATGGTGGCTGTTTGCAGTGAGCCACGAGCAAGCCAATATTTACGACCCTGCTGCGGTTCAATGAATTGCTTGGAGCTGTACTTGTTGTGCGCAACACTTTCCGAATTGTCCGTATCCACTAGTCAATTGGGCCGCTGGCTTGTGTTATACAGGAAGCTGACTCTTTCCACAGAAAGGTGGTGCTTACTAATGCTCCTGGTGTTGACACCGGTCCTTGTTGTAACACATTCTGGACTTGCCCACTACTTTCAGTGCTCAACGTGTGACCTTGACACGACCACCTTGACACCGACGCCTCATGTTTGCTCCAGGCTCCAGCCTCCAGAATACCTGGCAGGCGGAATGGCAAGGGTGGGGCCCTCGCTAAATTGGCTATGGGACCTTTGCGGGGTGATATGAACCTCTGAAAAACGGTCCACACATTCGGTCTGCAAATTTGACTATGCACAAGATGCACTCATCTCAGCCATTCTGTGAGCACTGTTTGGCGCATTGACACACACACACATACATTTTAGGAGCTGATCCGCCCAAGCCCCAATGGTTTGCCCCTGTCCAAGTTGCACCAATGAGATCCTGACGCCAGGCCAGAGTTCGGTGAGGGGAGCGAGGAGATGCCGGATGGCAGCGTGTACACAGGTGCCACAGTGCAGCATGTGACGGACGAGTTTGAATGTGTTGGGAAATGCTCATTGTGGTGCCCTTGGTGGCCATGATGTACACGGGGATCCACCAACCATTTTGGAGTTGCCGACCATCAACGTTCATGACCATATAGGGGTGGACAAAACCGGCAGAGATAGAAGGCAAGAGGTGTCCAAGATTGACTGCTCTGATTTGCATCTTTCTGATGTCCGAAGGAATCTTCCTGGTCCTAGTGGGTGTGTTTGCTTAGGAGTTTGTTCATGCTTCAGGAAGCCACAGGCAAGCCATCATTCCCCCTTTTTTGGAGACAAGCCGATTTGAATGTTCTGGCTTTGGTTGTTGTAGAGTTTAACCCCATGATACCAGGACTGAAGAACACCAAGTCCAGGATTAGTTGGGCATTATTCCGTAGGATTAGCTTGGAACCCACAAAACCATCATCCTCTGAGGAATCGGCTTATAAAAACTGGACCAAGCCATCTTTCTGATGGTTTTTGTGTTACACCCTGGGATTACACCCAGAATAGCTCAAAATAACAGGTTTTATGCGGAAATGGGCCTAAATGGGGTCAATACCCAGTGGGTGTATTTTCAGGGTGTAATACAAAAACTTTTAGAATCTTGATTTGCCGCGGAGTACTCCTCATTTGCTCGCGGCAAGGCAGCTTTCGCTTCAGCCAGCGCGAGGGGCACGGCGTCCTGCTGCTCAATGCAGAGGGCACTGAGCGATACGAGGCAAGCCGCGCAAGCCCCAAAAGGGGATGCCCAGAGCCGGAACATGGAGAGTTAGGTCAGCTGGACAGAAACAAGGGTACCCTTTTTCTAACCTCTCTACTGGAGGAGAGGACAACATCAATGGTACCATTTTCGGGTAGGTACACCACCCATTTTTGGAGCTATTTTAGTGGGGAGTGGGATGTTCAAGAGAGGGTCAGGATGCAGAGTTGGGTTTCGCAGGGCAGCTTCCTTCGCGGCCACTTTGATGGGCATGGCATCCGCAAAATGGCGGACGGCTCTGTCTACGAGGGGCAATGGCGAGCAGGAACGAGACAGGGAGACTCGGGATGAGGCGTTGCGAGACAAGAGGACACGAATATTATGTCGGAGCGCATGCTTGCGCCATGAAGTTTGTAGTGATGTTCATATTTTGTTTTTTCTCAAACCCGCTAAGTTGCATGTGTTTGGTTTCAACGGTGTTGTGTGGTGATACGGTTTCTCTTTTCTTTTTACAAGCCGGCGTGCTTCCAGGTGAATCCCGAACACAGTCACAGCTTCACCGAGCGCCAGTGGCTCACTTCTTCATGTTCTCTGCTTTGATTCCCATCGCATGGTCCTTTGTTTTGAGTACGTAGCTGCTTTTTGTGTGGACAACTTTTTGCGAAGGTGGCCACACTACCTGAAAGTCGTAGCACCTTTTGGGCACCTCTTTAGGTCCCAACCAAACGCGTCCAGGACGGAAGCATGGGGAAGGCGAGCTGCGGGAGACCTGTGTTCCCTCCAGAGCCTACAGCGGTCAGTGGAAGGACGGCAAGAGGCGCAGGAAAACGAAAGGTCTCATCTTGGATTTGGCCATGGTTCAAAACCATTGGTACCATTTTTGGGGGTAGGTGCACCACCCATTTTCATTTTCACTGGGGCTAACCGGGCTTTTGACCCATGGCCGTCCATAAGAACGGTCGGCACAAGGCCGTGGTTGTCAAAACCGTTTTGGGATCCTTTTTTTGCCGGGGGGGGGGGGAGGAGGGGTAGGTGAATTCACCAGATTTTAGGACCTATTTTAGTGGGGATTGGGATGTTCACTGCGGGTACCGGATTTTGACCCATGGCCAATTGACAAGAACACATGCAGCAGCTGCAGTTGCCAGCTCTGAGTTTTGACACACTCCTTCGCCCATGCATCAGCTTGTGGGAGCTCCTTTCTGTTTGGGTTCCGAGAAGGCATGGCTTCGGCGTCCAGCAGATGGACAGCCACACGCGCTATGAGGCAAGCCCTGCTTGGATCGCATGGGGCTCCACTTGCGTACCTCAACCAGCAGCCACTTAGAGCTATGGTGAAAATGCGGGGTGGATCCAAATGTGGGGTGGATCGATGGGGCATGCTAAGCAGTGTGGGTTTGAACTACATGATTCTCAAGCGGACTATCCGGTGCAAACACTTTTCACGCAGGGCCGCTGGGAGAATGGCATGCAGCACGGCAGTGGGCGATTCATCGATGCAAGAAACGAGACGGCATCCTGGACAAGACTTTGCCGGAGCAGTGCGTAGTGCATCGCTTGCTCTTTGGTGAGCCGGTTTGATTGCCAAGGTATTTCAAGGCCACTGGGTTTGCGGCGCGCATCACGGAAATGCTGTTTTGAGAAGCAAGGCGGGGAAGGTAGCAAGCAATCTGGGACTGGTCCGCATCTGCATTTTCAAGCAAGGATGGGTCGCTGCTTTGCAAAGTGCATAAAGTCTGATTCTGAACAGAGCACAAACCAACTTTGGTTGCACTTGCAGTCAAACCAGTCAACGGGTCTCGCAGGGCGGTGCTCGTGAAAAGCTGCGCTACAACCATGGAATGCTGGTGTCTGTGGAGGACTGCTCATTGCCTGACGTTTGTTCTCAGTCGTTTCGCAGCTCATGTGGTGGAAGAAATGCTACCGGTCACTTCTGAACAACTTGCAAGTTGCATTTAAGACTCCGAGTGTCCACATCACTGGCAAATCGCAGCTGTTTTGCGTGTGACAGCGTTCAGCTCAATATAATCGCATCCACAATCCAATATGGGTATGGGTCAAAATAGAGCCACCAGGGGACCGCTGGTTTTTGTCTTTGCACCCTTTTTGACCCATAGTTTCGCCCTCCATCTCAGAAACGCCAGGAAATCCCACGGCCGCAGGCAAGGAACCTTTGCTATCGCTGCCTTGTGAGCAACGGACAATTCTTGATGGGTATCGTTTTTTTCGAAAGCTTTCGGTGCGTGCAGCTTATTGGTGGTCCCCTGCCAGTTTTTTGAGGTACTCGTTTTTTCTGACGGCTGATGTGAAGTGCCCAAGTGTTCCCAAGGTGCGGCTGCCAGTGTCAAAGGCGCGGTCCGCAATGCTTTGATTGATACATTTGCCTTGAGACCTTCTATCATATGGCCATGGTTCAAAACCAATGGTACCATTCTGGGGGGGGCAGGCGCACCACCCATTTTAGAGCTTATTTTAGTGGGGATTGGGATGTTCACTGAGGGTACGGGGTTTCGGCCCATGGCCATGAGCTTGCCATCTCAAGTTGCAGGCAGCCCACGCCGTGTGATTTGCCGGAGTTGCCCGTCAAGTTGGCGATGCTATCAGAGAACATGAACTCGTCGACATAGATTTCTTACTTGTTTCAACGTCAGCCGATAGCAGTGTTTCATTGCTATTGCCGACGCACTTCGCGTATAAGATCTCACCAAATTTGTTAGCTTCTAGACCCTGTCTGTAAACGGATCGCGGTTGAAAAAGGATGTCCAAGTTGGCTGTGGGCAAGAGCATAACATATCTAGCCTTACAATGTTGATTGCATGTTTGGTTTAGTCATAATATTCTACTCTTGAATTATTCTGACGAAATATTCTGAAAAAAACAATAAGAACCATATTACATCTAAAGAAATTATTCGATATATATATATATATATAATATATATTATGATTTAACTCGCAATATTTTGAGATGATATATAAATAATGGTTTTTGATAGAAAAAAAATGGAAGATATTTGATTGAGATATAATTATATTGTAGGTTATGATATATTTATATAATAAATGATATAAAAAAAAAATATTATAGATATTTAAAAAAGAAAAAAACAATATATTATGGGATATATATTTGTTGTTGTTATTATAATATTGTATTATAATATATAGGTGTTTATTGAAAATATATTTTTAAAAAAAAATGTTGGCACGAGATGCTAAATAAGGGTAGATGGTTATGTGTTGTAGAATATTGTATGGGTAGCGTCGTAAAATGGTGGTTGTAATTAGGAAATTGTAACATTATTTTGCGGTATTTATGTATAGATTTATAGAGGAATAGACATATATAAGAAATTATAGTAGACACGTGTCGAAGCTAGCGTTATGGTTGTGTGTGTGTGTGTGTTTGTGTGCTTGTGTATTTGTGTATTTGTGTATTTGTGTGTTTGTGTGTTTGTGTGTTTGTGTGTTTGTGTGGCTTTGCGTTTTTGTGTTTTTGTGTTTTTGTGTCTTTGTGTTTTTGTGTCTCTGTGTCTCTATGTCTCTATGTCTATCTTTTTGTTTTTCGGTTGCTCTGTTTTTCTATTTTTTTGTCTTTTTGTCTCTTTGTTTCTCTGTTTTTCTGTTTGTTTGTTTGTTTGTGTTTTTGTTTGTGTGTGCGTGCGTGTTAGTGTATTTTTATGTTGATTGCGAAATATGTATGGGAATAGAGATATATATATATATATCACTAAGAACAAAAAAGACCTATAGGCATGGTTAGTAGGCATATTCGATTTTTCTTCTATGAATAGTATATATCGGTGAGACGACAGAATCGTAGGACAGGGCTATTGGGATGAGTCCGTTGTATTGTGCGTAGCCGTAGTCGTCTGGTTGATAGATACAACGGCGTTGTGGTTAAGGCATGGTAGCTTGTTGTTGTAAACAGCCGACGCGGCGTACGTAGAGTGCTAATGGCAGTGTTATTAAGGCAGGCCCAAACATTGGGTTGTCTGGCTCGGACCCTTCTAAAGCAGGTATGTACATAAAGCTAGATCATAGGACACCTAAGAAGGCGTTAAACTCATTTGGCGCTATATTATCGAGATAGTTTATGCGGTATAGCGCTGCGAGGGGCGGTAGGCCGCGAAGGCGTGGATGTTGGTCGATCTATTGTTGTATGGTAGTTTCGTTTACATAGCGGAAAGAATTGTCAAAGAAAGTCGGTAGGCGGATTTGTGCATGGATCCACTCGCGCGGATAGGGCGGGAATCGAGCCCGGGACAACCCATGCCGCCGCACCACGAGACAAAACCCCCATGGTCCCGGAGCCGCCGAAAAAACAAAAAAATCGAGTTTCTGCGTAGCCGAAACGCACTTGTACATCACGCAAAAGCAGGAATCTTCGGTAAATACCACACGAAACGCTCGTGGACAGAAGTCGTTACCTCACTTTGTGCGAGCCTGCGCAGTCGAAACGCACTTCGAACTGGCACCAAGGCACCCGAAATAGATATATAGATCGATATAAAAATATATAGATAGATAGTAAATGAAAAAAATGATTTCTAGATAAAAAGAGATATACTAAAAAAAAATAAATAGATAGATTGATGAAGAAAGCAAAATATATATATATAGATATTGTTTTATATTGCCCACTATTCCGCCTCTGAGCGAGATTCGCAATCCCAACATGAACCGCGCAAGCAAATAGCACAAGTCCGAGGGCGACAACATTTAATATGTTGTTTCATAACATATTGAGTAATCGAAACAAGAAAAATATTTTTCTTCGCACTATTTATCCTATCTTTTGACATCCCTGCCATTTATATAGAAGCCGTTTAATATAAACCTGTAAGGCTTCAACAAGCCATCATAAAATGGCCGTCGGATTTATCTTCGTAATGCAGTAACGGGTCCACAGCTTTGCCTACAGCCAAATGAAGCAAGGCCAAGGTCCAAGCCGTAATCGGGATTGAGAACCAAACAAATATTATAAATCCTATTCCATTCATTATGATATAATGAAAAAAAATACCATTATAACAAGTTTACAATATGCAAAAAATACAATGTCCAAACCTCACCAATGTATTTAAAAAAATCACATTCTAGTAATAATATTTTGAAATACCCATTAAAACCACCTCACTTGGTCATTGCAGCAGGTTTGGCTTCGGCCCCACCTTTGCCGTGACCTTTGCACTTGGCGGAGTTGAGCAATTGCAGCTAGATTCGAGCAAAGAACCGCCAACAACGCTCATACATCATGAAAACACAGAAAATCTGAACCAACAGCCCTTTGGGGACACATGAATAAAGAAAGTGTTGGTTTGACATATGATAAATGCAATGTGTTTATATGGTTTGGTAATGCAAATTATAAAGATATTATATTTAAAATGTAAAAAACTATGATTTTTTTGAAAATAATTGATTTTGGAAGGAATTTTGAATAATATGTATTAAAATTGTTGAATAGTTTGTTTGTGGCATTTAAAAATTTTCTATAAATGATTTCAGTACAGCCGATGCAGTCGGTGGGCCGAAATATCAAAAAATATAAACAATAATTGTTTATAATTTCCGATTTCCATCTATCCTTTTTTTTAATTTGTGGGGCCTATCTTAGTTTGGGCCTGTGCATGAATTTGCGTGTCCGAAGAACTGAAAGCGAGCTGGACCATTGTCGCGCTTGTGATTTGAAAACTCATCAAAACCACTTATGAAGGATTGGATTTGCTTGTTTGTTTTTAGATTGGGCTTGTGAGGAGCATTAGATTGACTTGTGAGGCGGCGCAGCGGGCGGAACGCCGGCGCGGCCGAGCGCAGGGACTGGCTGCCGGTGAATGAGCTGGGCGGGGCCATAGGCACCCGGCCCACCTCACGGAGGAGCAGGCAAGAGGGGTCAGATTACCTTGTAATGGTTTTAACAGCTTCGAGCATCAGATTGGCTTGTTAATTGCTCACCGAAAAGCCATCATTCGTCATTCATCGTCCTCCTCCTCATCATCATTATCGTCCATCGATCATCATCATCACCATCATCATCATCCATCCTCGTCCATCACCACCATCATTGTCATCATCATCATAATCATCACCAGCCTCAACATCATCATCATCATTATCATCAGAATGATCATTCATCAGTATCATCACCCTCATCGTCGCATCATCATGATCATCATCAATCATCGTCAATCATCATCATCGGCATCATCATCATCATCACACTCATCATCATCATCATCGTCATCATTCATCATCAGCATCGTCG